TATATAAACAAATTTTTATTTTGACTGACCAATACCGCCCGCGTGTAATGCGCCTAACGTATATATATTTATATATTCCTACCATCGTTTATACCTCAGGTATAACGTTAGTCCGACCCGCCCGCCCACAAAATACGGTTATACCTAGTGCATGCTACGTTTACGTACTTAAGTTGCATTATTTGTATATACAGGGTGTTCAGTAAGTCAGGAAACGGGTTTCTATTGTTCTCATTGTTTGTAACAATTACTGAACACCCTGTATATTCTAATTACTATTAAAATTTATATATTAACACGATTTATTCTAATAAAGAGATATAAAGTATTCATTCCGATTACGAGGGATGATTCCCGTATCGTCATTTTTCGTCACTACCTCCATGTTCCGGGAGTGGGTAATTTACGCGTCTGCTGATTTCCTTGGATGTGGTAGCTGTTTCTCAGACTCCCTCCCCGGAATCGAACTCTGATTTCCCGTTACAACTATGATATTGATAGCAACTACTATCATAACATGAAACTAAAAAGTAAAAAAAACATATAGTTTAAAAAACACGCTTTTAAACTATGTGTTATTTATAGTCAGGGTCGCATTTAGGAATTTTGCCGCCCCCCAAAAATGTTGGATTGGGTTTTTTANGGTGCACTTCATTTTGCCGCCCCCCAAAAATGTTGGATTGGGTTTTTTAGTTGGCGTATTTAATAATTCCGAATATTCAATTAATTGATTTTCATTTGCCATGGTTTCAAAAGTACTATGTAGAGGATGTTCACTAAAAAATTATAAAATTTTTCATTTATACAAAACTGAAATAACGTACAAAAGTTAACATTTGATTTTTAAATTACTTTTTATCACTAGACTCATTTAAAATCTGTTCAGCTGTAGTCTCTATTTCACTTGGCGAATTGGAGATTGATTGCCAAAAAATGAAGTTAATTTTGCGGTTTGAGAAATGACTTTTTGTTCTTTTTCTAATTTTAATTTAGCAGCTTTTTTATAAGCACTTCCACTTAAACGTTTTCTGCCATCACTCATTTTAATACGTTAATAAATAATAAAATATACAAATAAAAAAAAACACCTCAACACATTAACTCGGTCACTTGTAGTCGAGTACTAAACACAATGAGCTGTCTGTACACAACACATTATTAGTGTGACATTATTAGATAGTAATTTTGTGAAAAATGAGACAAATTATTGTGTTTTAACTTTCTTAGTATTCCAATAATAATCGACTATCAACGGCCGACGACATCCATAAAACCAGTTTAAGGGAGAAAATATCAATACTTTGTTAAAATTAGATAAAAACATGAATCAAATAAATTGCCGCCTACTTTATTTATAGTGCTGTTGATTATAAAAATTACTATGTATAATCAATACTATTATCTAACTACTAACTGTAGTCTATGTTGTTATACAGCTTTGATATATCTTCTTTTACATTTATATCTTTGTACACGTTTTAAATTAGAAAATAATAAAGTAATATTTTTTTTTAGAAATAGATATTTTTGTTTCATAAAAATAAATTGTTCTGTTTGAAAAAATTTAAAATTAAATAAAAATAATTAATTTTTAAAAATTGTATACTTATTAAGATTTTTGCCGCCCGGGGCAAATGCCCCCCCCCCTAAATGATGGCCTGTTTATAGTGCTGTCTTAATCAAGTGCAAGGTTCGCAAACATCATGGAAGACATTTAAACACAAAAAATCTTTTTGATATGACATCTTTAGCGGAGTCTAGATATTTCCGTTAAAGAAGTGAATCTTATGTAGTATTACCTTTTTTGCGTGAGACTCAAACTTAACCTAATTCACCACGCGTTTATTGTGAACGTTATACATACAGAATGCACGTAATGTACTCTTCGTGTACGCCTATAGATGTATTACTTTAATTTATACTATATCTTTATTAATTAATTGAAAATAATTATAACATAGTGTATACTACTAGTTTCGTTTTCCGGTAAAATTTCTTGAGGCTTATTGTTTGTTTAATTGATGTCAACATTCAAGGGGATTAAAAAGTGATTTATGCGTTAATAAAATTACTATATACAATATAATATAATTATATGAATCATATTATGTAATATAATTTGTGTTTATTAAATAAACACTTAAAAGTTGTATAAGTATATGGTTTTAATTAATAATATTTGTTGCTAAATCTATATTATACATCTCATATGTTTTTAAATTTTCTGAGTTTCACCCTTGACATGCTTTTGTAAATTTATCACTTTTGCAAAAACAGGTGTAAAAAAAAATTATAAATAATAAATTGTTTAATAATAAAAAACCAATACATTTACAAGCTATTTAAAATTTAGTCTTTCGTTTCTTAACAAATGATTTTTCTTTTTTAAATGTTTGATGTCCTTTTGATGACAGCTTTCTTTTTGCTTGATTAGCCCTAAAAATAACATCAATTTTAATAATTTTCAATCCCGATAAAATGAAGATTTAATAGATGAAAATAAGATTTTTTCATATTTTATAGTCAAATTTGATCTATAGGTTAGTTTGCCAATTGCATGATAAATCCAATTATTAAATTTCTATTCCTCTCTCTGGTGTTGAATTTTCTATTTGCTCTAAAATATTCATTGTTAAACATTTTTTAGAAGAGCCTATATAAGCTTTGAATGGAATCAATATACATTTATGATAAAATAATTATCAAACTATGTATTAGAATAAAAACTGTTAAGAAATGAGCTGCTAAGCAATAATAATACACTTTCTTAATATATCTATATAAAAAAATATCTAATAGATGGATGAAGTTATTTTGAAATTCAAACGCTATTTTTTATTATAATAAAACCTTTAACATATTATTTAACTTAAAATATGTGTTTTCATTAATAAGAACAAAGTTGACATCCTTCCAATGCATAAGGTATGAATTTAAAAAGTATTAGTAATAGAAATAAAAAATAATAGCTTATAATTCAAGAAAATGTATCTAAAAGTAACCAATACAAAAATAAAATTTATACAATTATGCTGATAATTAAGTAGGTAAAGTTTAAACAAATGATCCGTAAATGGTTTTTTTTCAATAACAATAATAGATAGAATAATCTTGTATATATATATATATATATATACACATTGGTGTACTCAGGACTTTTCAATAAGTCTAATACCAAAAAAAAAAAAAAAAAACTTAGCAACCTTTTTTAATGATTTTTGGCCAAAAACGTTAATTTATCACAATTAATATTTTTTAGCTTGAGCAATTTTTCACTATAGATTATGGATAATCATTATCTTTTAAAAGAATATGATAATTATGTATAGGGATGAATGGCTAACCCATTAACTAGATAATAATGATTTAGAATGACATGTTTTAAATAGTAAATCCTAGGATGATCTTTGATCCAGCAAGAGTGATATCCATGATTATACTAATTGAGCATCATATATTGATACCTAATTATTAATATATATAGTGATACCTTCTTGTTAAATATTTATATCTGTTTATTTTTAATTTTTACAAGATAATGTAAATTATAAAATGGTTAGTAATTAATAAGACATACTCATAACGATATTTCTTAGCACCAGACTTGCTAACATCAGTAAACTGAGAATCAAAAACAGAATTGCTTTTTTGTTTGCTAGCATTTTTTGATTTTGAATTAAATTTATCTGAAAAATATTTTTATAAAATAATATCATAAAAAAAATTTAATATTACTCATACTTTGTCCAGCATCAGGTACAGCTTTCATTTTTTTAGGTTTCATTTTATTTTTTGCACTTCTAGCTTGTATATTAGCAACTTTTTGTAACTTCTTAGCACTTTCAATTTCTTCAATATCATTTAGATCACCTTCCTTATTTTTCTTTTTAATATTTTTTTCAATTTTAGCAGAAAATGCTTCTCTGGCTCGTTCTAAAAAATTCAGTTTTTTCAAATTTTATTTTGTAATTTAGCTAGAACTATTTAATTTTCAAAGTGCTCTTACAGAAACAATTTTCAAGATATCTATGCAACTTTTTTTTTATAAATTAATTGAAATTTAAAAAAAGTGTTTAATAATAACTTCTAGTTTTATATTTTAACATTAAAAAATGTTATTCTCCTAATAAAAAAAGGGCAGTACAGTTGACTCGCAATAGTCCGATAATACGGGCCCGCGTGGGTGACATATTACCAAAAGTTGGCTCTATTAAATTGAATTTGCAGTGTATAAGTTTGGAAATCTAGTTAACAATGTATTTTTATGTAATATTTTACTAGAAAAGATTCAAAATAATGAAGACAGGCTTTAGTTTTTACAAAAGCTTATTTAATATTAAAATCATAACACAACATGAATCAGTTTTAAAGGTTAAGGTAAATAAACAATGTGAGCCTAACTATCTTCTTAACAATGTACAAAAAAAAACTAAAACTTAAAAAAATCTGTGATGGTCTTCTGTTTCTATTTACACATACAATCAGTCATAGCCTTTTCTTGAATGTCTTTTAAAATCAACACATTGTTCACGTCAAGTACACGTTAATCAAGGCAGATTACTTGGGTCACCCATGCTCGGTTCTGATTCATGTAAACAACTGGAAGATTTTCAATTTTCGTATTTTAAAAGCTCGAGGGTTTTTTCTTTGCCAACTGCTAGAAGTTTTAACTTATAGCTCCCAGCGTCATTTGAGCATACCATCAAATTGATCCTTTCTTTTTGTAACTTTCTTCCAGAAACCTTTTTCGTCCCTTGTTACAAATATTTTTGTTGGAAGTTGACGTCAGTTTAGGCCGGTTTCATTAGCATTATAAACCTGTTCAGGCGTCAGGCCAAGTTCTGAAATTTTAATGCTTTAACTTTTAATAAAGTTAGCGACTTCTGTCTCGTCAGCAGATAATTTTTCTCTACTCATCTGAATGAAACGAATATCATGCCGCTTTTTGAAGTTTTCAAACCAGTACAAAAATCATATTTTTATGTTATCTCACAATAAAGAAATTTAGCTTTCTCTTAAAAATATCCCCAGATATGGGCACGCTTCTATTTCTTAATCGCTTAAACCAAGAATGAAGTGCCTTTTCAATGTGGGAAAATTCGCTTATTATAAAAGTTTTTCTTTTAGAGTTGTCTTCAACAGTTTTCGTAAAATTTTCAATTTTTTTTCTATTTTTGACAATATCATAAAAGGTAGGTCGTCCTATATCATAAACTTGAGAAATAGCCGTGGGAGTCTCGCCACGATCATGCCTCTAAATAATTTCCTATTTTTCAAGAAAAGTTAATGTTTTATGCTTACGTTTATAGCTTCCATTTGTATTTACCATCACACTTAACAATAAAAAACGTAGAGTTAACTGTAATAAATCACAAATAAAGCAACTGCACACTCACGTTATTGCTACTGAACACAGCGAAGAACTAACGACGATTCGTGAAATACTAGACCGATGACTAGTCGGACTACAAAGTCCGAGTGTCAGACTATCACGAGTCAACTGTATATAATTACTAATGTACTTATTTTCTTACTATACTTATCAATTTTAGTATTAATTTATTTACACTTTATAGCCTTTAAAGTAAAAAAAATTTTTTTTTAGTAAATGAATTTTTTCAAGTGTTATATCATTCATAACATTATGTATAATTTGTGTCTCAATGTTTCTTGTATAGTATTCAGTTAATTAATATAAAAAATAGTTAATGAGCATAAAAAATGTACTTGTTAATAAAATAAATTATGAGTATAGTATACTAAAATCTGTATTAATGTATTTTAAATAAAATCAAGTAGTCATTCTAACTATAAACATTATTTTAATTGAAAAAAAAAAAAGATATTTTTTTTTAGATTTTATAAATTAAAAACTAACACTATTACCAAATTTAAAAGTTTATTAAAAAGTTAATCATTTATATACTCTATTAGGTAAAAAATACTTTATTAAGCAGCATCATTAAAAATTGATGTAATTTAGATGAGAGCTTTAAATCTAACTTGTCTCATTGTACTCACTATTGCTTTATATTATACTTCTTGTGAAAATTAGTCTTTATATTTTATATAAATTCATTTATTTTAATTAAAAATTTTAATTTTAAATCTTGGTTATTATTAACACTACAGACTGGGGTTGACAAAATGTCAATTGACCGAAGAGATTTTGACTGGTAATAATATGGCCAAAATAAAAAATCTGTATTTAAGTTTAAATTTTATTTTTTAACATGGTCTTTCTGCGCATTAAGTTATTTTATTTTTTTTAATGTTGAGCACTTACACGTTAAAAAACGTGGAAGTTAAGTTTATTTAATGTTTTAACTTAAGTAGATAACTTAATAAGTTAGTGATTAATAATTTTGGTTAATAGTTAATTTAGTATAATATCAAAATAAAAAGAAAATTTTTCAGAGAAATGAAAAATAATTCAAAAATTATATAAACGTTACTCACTGTGGAGGTATTGGACTTGAATAGAAATAACAAAATTAAACAGTATTAAATTTTTTTGTAATATCATAAAATTATAAAACATAGACTTCCTTGTTATAGCTTTTATGGTTGATAGTTGGAAGTTATTCTTTCTTTTGAATAAAATGAATTACTCTTTAAAGGATAACAAAAATTTTTATTAGTGTCAAAACTGTTCATAAACCCACCCAACCCTATCACACACTATAAAAATGGGACAGTAAAATTTCTTAATACTCATAAGTTTCAAATTTAGTTGAGAATAAACCATGATATTAATAGAACCAAATAAACCTTAAATTAATAAATAAATCTTTTAAAAGAAAATTTTAATAAAAAAAAATATTTCAAGAATGATGAATTACTGTTAGCTGCTTGACGATCTTTTTGAGATTGGAACCATTCTCTTTTATTTTCTTCCTTTTTTTTTACTAAGTTGCTTATGCTTGTTTGAGCCATTTTTTCAGTTTTTTCAGCCAAAACTTCTGTTCGGTTTATTTGACGTTCTTCATACTCTTCATGCATAATACATTTAACTTCATTGCGAAGTGAATCAACTCGATCTTTATATTTATCTAAAATTTCTAAAAAGCAAATATATCTGTGAAGTTACTATTAATTACAATTATATCTAAAAAATACCAATTGGAATAACACGATGTTTTACTGGATTTTTAGCCTTTTTAATTATTTCCTTTAAAACTTTCCTGTCAATTTCACTAGCTATAGAAACTGATACACCTGATCGGCCTGCTCTGGCTGTCCTACCAACACGATGAATATAATGCTCTACTGTAGGTGGCATTGTATAATTTATAACCTAAAGGTTATTAATTTATAAAATTCAACACAAATTAAAAATTTGAATGATTACTTCTTACAGCTTTAACTCCTCGAATGTCTAGACCACGAGCAGCAACATCAGTAGCAATGAGTAAATCAATTTCTTCATCTTTAAATTTTCGTAAAGCTTCTAATCTTTGAGGTTGAGATAAATTTCCATGAAGCTCACCAACCTTCATTGGATACAATAAAAAATTAATGAAAACTGACTAATTGATATTTTTTACTTTACCTTCAATCCAAAGAGCCCCAAAAGAATTTTAACCCTATGTGCATCTGCTTTGGTTCGAACAAATATCATAGTGTGATCTCTGAATGTTCGGCAAACCAATGCAGCTAATGTTGCATCGCGGTCTTGTTCTTTTCCTTGTCGTAATCTAAATAATGGAGTTAACTTTCTTATTTGATATTGATTTTGAAGAAAATATATTTTACCATAACTATAAAACTCTGATTTTACATTAAAGCAATTTATAATTATTACCTTACAAACTCTTGCCTTAAATTAAATGCAACATCTGTATTGTTATCTACAAATATTTTTACTGGTTTATTTAATGATACAGAAGCAAGATCATTGACTGCATCTGTCATAGTTGCAGAAAACAACATTGTTTGTCTTGTTTGGGCACACATATTGATAATTTCTTTCATTTGGTCAGCAAAATTTTCATCTAACATTCTATCAGCTTCATCTAATACTAATACTTCTAAATCTGACAATGAAAATGAAGGTGTATTTTGTAAATGATCTAACAAACGACCTGGTGTAGCTATAACAATATCTGGATTTTTTCGCAAAATAGATTCCTAAAAATGTTTAATGTTTAATTGAAGAAATCAAACATTTATAATGAAAATGTTACAATCAATCCCTAACACCTGGTTGCAACTCTTTACAACTCTAAACAAAATAATTTTATAAGGAAAATTTAGAAAAAAATAAACACTAATGTAAAGAGAAAAAAATCATCTTAAATATTAATAATAATTTGAAATTCGTTTAATAAAAAAACAAATTTACTTCTTCAGAAAACATGAATAACACTGGTGAGCTTCAATCAAAGTGATAGCCCTCTAAAAATCAGCACAGCATATTTATTACTAAAAACTTAGGAGTTAAATTAGCAATATATTTGAATTAATCATATGTTAACCCTGTTCCCATTTTATTAATTCTGTAAGTAGTCTAAATCATAAATATTATAGTAAATATAAGACAATATTATTAACCAATATAAAAAAATATTGAGTGTGTGATTCATTTTGACTTAGTTTTATAATATTTTCAATATTTAATTTCAAAATAAGTTTTAAAAATTATTATAAATTAAATTTATTTGTCAGCTGGAGCAAATTTCAATAAGATAAAATACAACATCTATCAAAAATAAAATTAAAATTATTTTTTACTTGAACTTTTAGCTCTAAACCTCCAACAGAGAGACCAACTTCAACTGTTGTAAACTGAGCCAATTGTTTAGTCACTTGGTATACTTGAACACCAAGTTCTCTAGTTGGTACTAAAACAAGTACTCTAAAATATAAAATTATTAACAAATTAAATTTATCCTAAATAATTTTATAAATTTTTACCTAGTAATAGGAGTAAATCCTTTAGGTCTATAAAGAAGTCGTTCCAATATTGGTAACATGTATGCTGCTGTTTTACCTGTACCAGTAGCAGCACAACCACAAATATCTCTCCCTAATAAACCGACAGGGATTGCTGCTGCTTGAATTGGTGTTGGATGAACATAATTCAATACGCTAATAGCTTTCATTAATGGTCTAGATATATTCATTTGATAAAAAGAAGCATTTTCTTCATATGGTGGAGCATCTTCAAAGAAAGTTCCATCATCTTCAATTGCAATTTCATTTTTATCTTCACTTGTTTCTAACTTTCTTTTTTTGTTTTTTTTACCAACTAATTTTTGTCTGTCTCTAAGACCATCTTAAAATAAAATACGAGAATATATAAAATAATTTAAAAATATATATATTAATATATTAATAAATTTACAATAGTTATAAGTATACAGAATGATTCTTTTAATACTAGCCACTCAATTTTTCTTAAAATATTTATGTTAAGAAATTTATTTTTGGTATTTTTTAGTTTCACAAATTTTTATATTATCAATTATTAATTAGTTTTTTAACTCATCCATCATATATTATAAGGGTGTCAGCTTGCTTTTTTTTAATTACAACATACATATTTAGCTAAATAATGACTGGTCAATAACAACTTTTAACCAATTATTTCAAAAATTAATACTATTTTAAAATATACAGTAAAGATGAAGTATAAGTTATTTTTATCATTATGTATTACTCTGTCATACTCATTCTTCACTATTTATTTAAAAATGTTAATCATTTCCGAAATAATAGGTTTAAAGTTATCATTGACTAGAAAATTTTTTAAATAAATAATTTTATATTTTAGTTTAATATGTATGTTGCCATTAAAAAAATAAGTTGACAGGTATTTAAAATTTTTTAAGATTAACCTTTTTTTAATTCATCTTCAGATAATGAATCTCCATCAGATTCAATATTGTACTCTTCATGTTCTTCTGAAGTAACATCAGGCAACTATAATCAAATGAAATTAATTTCTTTAAAAATTTTAATGAATCAAAACTATATTTAATATACTAACAAAAGACTTGACATATCTACGAGATTTCTCAATTTTTTCATCGGTTTTATTAGTAATATTGTTTCGCTTAATATATTTTTGCAAATCATCCCACGTATCATGATTATAATCAGAAGGAGCTGATAGAAATTTGAATTCATCATCAAAATGAGAATCTCCTTTTGTTTTATGTTTTTTTGGTTGGTACTATTCATAAATTTTAATTCAAAATATTTTATTTCAACTTTTCAAAATTAACATTTTGAATAATTTACCTCAACTTCTATGTCAGAATCTGAAGACATGTCTTCAACTTCTTCATTTTCATCTATTGTTTTAACAGTGTCCCACTTTAAAGCACACATATTGTGGTAGTTGTAGAAAAAAAATATGATTCAAATCTTTTGATATTACTTAAATTTTCTAAATCATAAGTATGGTGTTAAAATTATTACTATAAGAAAAATTGATAAAAATATAAATTACAATAAAATTCATCAGTATCAAAGAAAAATATAAAATAATCAAAGATCATTTTACAAATACATATGCTTTAATCGACTGAATTCTGTGTATTTATTATATTATACCAAATTTTAAGTTTCAACATATTTTAAAAACTAGTATTTTCAAAAAAAAAAACGGTAGCACAGTGGGGTCGCGGCATAGTGGAGACATTGCATAGTTGGGTCCAGATAGATTTAATCTGACAGTGATTAAAATCACTATCATAAGAAACGCTTCGATGCAAATCTGTAGATAGTGTTTAATTTTAAAAAATTGATGGATAATTGCAAAATTAACATCAACTTCTATTAAAATAAAATACAAAACCCATAATTTGAATACAAAAATAGCATATTTTTGAATACGGCAGCCATTTGCGTATAAAAGATAGGTCGTCGGGACAAATTTTTTTTTTTCATTTTGTAGTACATAAAATAAGCTTTAATTTTATATATGTTTGAAGGACGCAGTATTTCCGGAACATTTTCAAAAATTAAGTTGAAAAAGTTCATTTTTGTAAAAAAGTTACTATTTTAAATCCCCCCAGTGAACAGAATAAGTGTTAGATTTTCAAAAAAAATTATANTTTTATCTTATTTTAACCTTTTACTCACAAAATAATGTTAATGATTTTTGTTATTACTTACTTTATAATAAGTTTAATTTTAAGATATTAAACATAAAGGATTTAAACATGAAATTATGTTTTAATCAAATTAAAATAAGCTTGGTAAAAAAAAAAAGCTAAGTTTTAATACTAAACATAGTCACAAGTTGTGTATCAAAATTCTATATTTTTTAAACTACAACACGCACGTGTTTATAACTATTTCTTTATCAAGAAGCTATATAATCTGTTATCAAATAGATAAAATTAATTAATTGATATGAAGTAGTATACTTTAGTACCACAAAATTTTTATTCAACCAACAATTATTCCCAAAAAGTATTAAAACAAATATTTTTGGAAAAAAAGAATTTTGAAATAAATTTTAAATTAAACAAAATGGTAACTGAAAAAAGTCCCGAATTTTGGGACACGGTTTTTCAAAAACATTTGAATCCAAAGCCTCATCTTAGAATTTTGCCGCTTGGGTACTAAATTCTGTAACACCAATGACATGTTTATTTTGCTTATCGAAAAAAATTGTCTATTTTTTTTTTTTAGTTTATTTGAAAGAACAAAAAAAGGTCTTCAACTCAATATATTGCTTCATATTTTAGTGTCACACAGATTACTCACACCAGTACTCCTTCCTCAAGATGCTACCCTGTTTTATATCGCTATTTTATATCTATATTTAACTACTATTAATTTATTATATTATAATAATAAAAATATAAATAATTAAAGAGTCAGTTGGAGTACATTTCTTTAATTGCTAATTATGCTTACAAAATCAGAAAAAATAATTTTGCACGTTATTCCTGATGACCCTTTTAATTGTACTTGTTATTACATTTATTCAGGTTAGTACCAGCATTGGAATTTAAATTTAGATTTTAAAAGTCATTTATATTGTATTACTAAAAAATTTAGAATAATATTTATATAAATCAATTATATTATATGCATTTTCTTTTATTTTTTACGTTAATTGAAATAATAAAGCAAGGTAGATAAAGTACAAACAATTGTTATGCTTTAATGTAAATTTTTTTTAATTTTATATTTTTTAAATATATTTCAAGATAATAAATATGTATTATTGTAATTAAAATTAAAATACCAATTATCTGTTAGAATTACCCATTTACCCAATGATGTATTTAGGAGTAAGCCAAATAGGCCGTGGCTTAGAGCGCCATTTTTTGGGAGACGGCATTGAGAAGCAGTATTTTTGGAATTAAAAGTTAAATGTTATTATTACATTTATTTAAAAAAATTTGTTTTGACAAGATTTTTTGAGTAAATAATAATATAAAACAACTTTTTTTGTATTCATAAAAAATACAGTTAGTAAAATTTAACGAAAATGAAAATTTCCTTAAATTTTTATTGTGTCTACGAATAATATTAATTTATAGTATTTGATTTGATTACAACAGGGAAAGCTTGAGGGTTTGTTAACTGGTGGATGACCTAAAACACGGACCGTCCGCTACTGACGAGAACTTCCAAATAGTTAATGTATAAACTATTTTCCAATTTGGAACTACTCGTATATTGTTAATATAATAATAACTACCGATATATACGCCATTGTCCGTCTGCTACAAGTGTTCGCGTTGCTATCGCATTACAACCTATCCCCTGAAATATGTTGTGCGCTCAAATAACATAAAGTGTGATTTACACGATATTATACAGGCATATAATTGTTTAGCCTCATCTACAAATAAATGTAGTTGATTAATAACACTAATAAACCCATTTTGTCACTCGATGTTTTACTTTAACAATTTAAAAAAAATGTATAATTTTTGTAATGATTAATCTCATAATATGAAAAAATTTAAGAAAATTTTATTATTAATAATTATATATTTGTACCTGTAATTTTATTATTAGCCATGAATTTAAATATTCAGCATTCCACTTTCTCTATACAAATATATATTATCCTGGTTTTATAATTGATATCATACATAATTAATTATTTTATTTAAATCATCATTTTATCAAATTTATAAGCATATCCTTACATATGTTTAGTGTTCATAATAAGAATTTACAATATATATCAATATCATTATTAAATTTAACATTATTAATTATATTAATATAATTACTTTTATTATTTATTATTATTAGTTATAATTATATCATTTAATCATTCAATTTTATTAAAATTTTTGTTATTATGTCTTTGTATTATTAAATTTTATAAAAAAACACAAAAATTATGTTTAAAAAAAAAAACATTGTTTTTATTATTATTTACATTTTCAATATTAAAATTTAATATTCTAATAAAAATTATAAAATAAAAAAACATAAAATTTTCATAATATAATTTTTTTTTTTTATTAAATATTTAACACAAAATTAGAATTAATTTTAATTAATAATATAAATACTTTTTAGTTTAGATTCAAGTACAAATATTTATATGATACTTCTTTTAATAATTGTAATCATAATTATAATGTTATCTAATTATTCATTCATTAAGTACAATATTATCAAATATTAATATTTCATCAATATTATTATATATATAAATGTATGTATGTGTGTATATATATATACGTTATAATTGACAATTTATTTATATATAATATGTATAAATATATATATATATATATTTATTTTTTCATTCCTACATGAAGATTTGAAAATTCAAAAAAAATTATTTTTTGAGTTATTTCAAAAATAATTTTTATTTATCAAAAAACATTGTAAGTATTAAACATTGTAATATCACATATCTTTAAAAATGAATACCAATATTTTTTTAGCATATTTTGACATCACATATTGTGAGGGTACTATAATGATAATAGGGGAGCTATAAAGGAGTTAATTATGAACTCTCCCATTCATATTTTAGAGGGAAGTACTTTAATAATTAAAAATACCAACAACACTATGTCAGGCAGGGAGGAAATTACCATACATTATGGATATTCCTCTGACAATGACAATATTAGTGAATGTTATGAATAAATAGCCTTTACATTATGGGAAAAAGAGTATTCAATTCTCAATTTTTTTTATTACACCTGTATAGAGAACAAGATGGGATACAAACTGATATTCTTATAGTTAGATTCCCTGGACCTACTTACAATGAAAACAGTAACCTCACACTTGAGGACTCATATGCATTAATATGTTAACGCTCTCATCCGAATAATAACTGTTCTGCACATAATGTACAAATGACTGATTGTTTATTACTATATATTGCAAAATCAAGGGGTCATGATAAATTGCTAAATCATATTAAATCACAATTTAGCGAATAGAAAGGATGTGGTGATTTTACATAATCTCACTAAGGCATGTCACTATTACTAATTTCCTTCCAAATTTTCTTCTACCTTTTTTTTTTTTAAATATAAGAACATATAAAATTTATATAAGATACAAATTTCTTTTTTTTTACTTTAAATAAATTGTTTTTTTATTAATTCTTAAACCATTCAAACACAAATATTAAAATTTACCTATTAGATATAGTTATGCATGATAAAATAAAACGAAAAAAATATAAAAAAAAAAAACAAAAATCATTATTTTATTTAATTATGCATTCCATTTTTTTTAATATATTAAAACTTACTATTTTATACATTAGACCATATTATACTAACTCTAATTTTATTGCATGCTAAAACTAAACACTAACCACTACTGGTTATAAGACATCAACATGTAAGTTAAAAAAAAAATAATAATAATAATCTAATAAGATTATACATTAAATTTAAATACTTTTATACCATTTCTATATGAAAATTTAAATCTTTATGATAATTTTATTATTAATTTTTTTCTAATTATTTTTATTTTAATTTTAATTCATTTAAAATATTTTATTTACAATTTTATATATTAATTTTAATTCATTAAAAATATTTTATTAATTTTATTTTTAATTTTAGATATTATTCTTAATTCTAATTTAAATTCATTTAGGATATTTCATTAATTAATTTTATATATTATTATTGTTTTTTTTATAATTCTCTTAATTTTAATTTTTAATTCATTTAAAATATTTCATTATTTTCATTCTACTTATTAATCATATATACAAGGTAAAAATTTCTATGTAAAGAATTAAATGTCAGTAGCTTATAAGAAAATAATTTTATATATAATTGTCAACTTAAAACTATGAACTTGAAATTCTGAACATCAATAATTAAACTTTCCTAGGCAAAATTCACATTGGATAATGTAATATGATTCACCAACACATGTTTACGATGATTTTACTATCAATAAATTCATAGAGCTCATAATCAAAAGGTCACAATCACAAATAAATGCCTTTGAATCTTTTCCTTCTAGAGATCAAGAGAAATGGGTTTGAAGCAGTTCAAATCTAGAAAAGAAAACCAATCTATATAGAATAATTAAATTAAAGGTAGATATAGCCTAGCCAGCTATCTCTTAGAAGTTGATCTCTTAGAATACTGTTGACGGGCATTTAGGCTCAACCCCTAAATAGCGACGTAAAAATTGTAAGGTAAAATTTAAATAACTCTTTTAAATTGTTAAAAATGATACTATGAAAAATATTTATTAGTGTAAGAATTGTATTCATTTTATTTTACATTATTATTACTTTGATTTACTCTTATATTTAATAATTATTATAATTCAATTACTAGTTGTAATTCAAATTTATTTTATCTAACTTTTAAATTTAATCTATATTTTAGTATTTTAATTATAGTTTTATTATTTTATAATCTTAAAATTATTATTTAAAAGCTTCATTAATTATTATCATTTTTACTTATAATATACTTATTTCATTCATTTATTATATCAATACTACTATATCATTACATTTATTTATTTTATAATAACTTAAGAATAATTTTTTCAATTTTTACTAACAATATATTAATTTTATTCATGATTTTCATTAAAAAAAATAACAATTTTAATGTTTTAATTCAATTTATAATCACTTTGTATTGCACTTTTACTACATTATAAGCACCTTATTTTCATTTTTTATTACACTTATATTATAATTATTATATAAAGCACAAATCTATTTAAATTGTGTACCTTATAATTAAGTTAAATTGAACAAAATGCTTTTGTTATTCTTTGTGTGTGTCATATGAGGGCGTATGAAAAAATAGAAAGGGGTGCATTTGTAATATTATATTATTAATTATAATATTAACATATAATATGATATCATTTTTACATGTATGTATAATCATATTATGATTATACAAGATCACCAAAACAGGGTTCTCTTATTTAAAATACATAATAACCAGTTAATTATAGGATAAAATCTACTTATTGTAGAGATTATTAAGTAAAGCCTCAGCTTCCAGGATCACAGTAGGGATCACTGGGCTACCGATTTCAGACTATAAAAAGCCATTTTTGCCCGACTAAACCAGTTCTTTCGGCGATTTTAAATTGCACAAAATCTACGATACTCTACTCAAGATTTCACTCTCCGGGATTTAGTCAATTTTTTAATTAATTTGAAAATGACTCTTCTTCTTGCCCCATTTTATGACAACAATCATTATTGAAATTTAGCAATTATTAATATATATAATAAAAGGATAATATTTTATAATTGCATAAACTACATCACCACAGACATGGTAGAAAAATTACGTTAATTTATCATATCATGTGAACACAAACAATGTGGTTATAATTCCCCTTGGGAAATATACAAGGATGAAACAAACATGTTAATAGTAGTCTAAAAATGTTTAATTTACTAATAAATTTGATAATATGAATAAATTATGACTGCCTAAATCCAAAGTTTAAATATGGGTAAACGTAGAAAAGTGCAATGTGAAAGTTGTGGAAGTATATTTGACAACGATTTTGAAACGGCTTGAAACATGAAACGGCTTGTCACAATGGAAAACGTATTACAGTTAAGGAACCAGGGGCCCCTAAGAATCCATTTGTAGCTACACTTAAAACTTCTAATAAGAATTTTCTTATTCTGTTAGATGATAATCATAATTCTGGTCCATGGATTCTGGAGGTGGCTGAGAGAATTTCTAGGAATGATAATCCATTAATTAATTTTTCTCTTATGAAAGATTATATAAAGAAGCATAAAAAAATACTAGAAGAAACATCCTACATTTTTATCATGATCCAGCATAATTTTCCAATCCACCACCAACGCCAACTGGTATTAAAGTCATAGAAATAAATTACTCAAAGAAGAAAACAATGAAGAACAAAAATCGAAAGTATTTGAAAAATCTAAGAAACAAGACTACATTTAGAAAATACTACAAACGTATTAATCAACAAAGACTACTATTGACATAAACAGTTATACTCAAAACTCTGAAACCTAAGAAAGTACCATATTCATTAAATCAATAAAGAAAAAGAGACAAGATCTGCACAATCCAATCAATGAATGTTGTTCGGTAAAGTAGTACAATAGTTATTTCAACTATCAGAAAACAAAAGAAAATCAAACAAAAACACAATCAAGTAGTAGAGATAATAACTTTAATATCATAATTTGAAAAGATTTTTTTAAATAATTTGGACTTAGATATTTTTTTTTATGACTAAATGACACTTAGAAATTTTAAAGTGAATTTTGTTTTGGTGAATCTTTTAATTTAATTTGTTCTTTAAATAATAATGTTTTATTTTTATTATGAAAATAAATATCAAATAATATTTCAAACATTAAAACTTTTTTAAATTATTTTATTTTAATAATAAATCCAACCAAACTTTAAATTTAATAATAAAAATCTATTGTGAGCTTTTCTTATTGAGTAGCTAGTCTCTGAGCTTAATGTCTTTGTTCTAACGAACATCACGCCGGCGGACAGAGTAAAGGTTGCAACTAGATATTATTCTAAAATTAGGTATATTAGGTTAGAATATATTTGTAAGCCTATGTGTATTGGATAGCTAGTCTTTGAGCTTAATGTCTTAATAAAATATACTCTCTCAAAAAAAAATATATTTATTCAACAAACGTAAAAAATTTTAATAAGTACAGATAATAATTTTATTTCTAATAAAATATAGTGTTTAGAATCTTTTACAAGTAAGATCAGTCATAGACTTTGTGTAGTTAAAACATATTATTTAAAATTTGAATCGTTTTTGTAAGTAATTATATTGACTATATGACGTATAGTGTAAATCGTATACGTAGTGTATTTAATACCAAAATCAACATTGGATTACTTGAAATATTATTGCGTCACATAGGACGTAAGGTAAGTACAATCTTTAAGACTAGTGTTTAATATTGTAGCATTTTTTTTCATACAGAGAAAATTTTATTCAAGTGTTTCAGGCATTAGTTCCATGATATTACAACAACATTAATTGTTAAAGTTGTCCTTTTGTGTCATTAATTTGAATATTATGTGGTTATTTTAATGGTCCTTTTTTACAATTCTTGGTATAGGGTTCGGAATTGACATGTTCAACTCTGGAATATAAAGAAGTACTGTTTAATCTACGACATTGAATTGCGTGACTATTGGATGTATTGTCAGTGTTCAAGGATAAATCTAAAACCTTAAGTGAACTTTTCCCTAAAAATTCAAGTATTATTTAATATTATTTATCCGTGAATAACATAAAAATAATTGAATTATTACTAATTTTTTTATCTTTTGAAACATTGATCCTTATGGGTATCCTAGACACAAATCTCTTGTTTGTGTTGTTTTGATTTGATGGTGCCATAGAGGTGTCCATATTGTAAACGCCAGCTGCTAAATGACCTCTATGTTCTGACTGACCATTAAAAACTTTACTGCCTGGGATTTTAACAGGAATCATAGAAACGAATTTCGCTTTATTCGATGGAAGATCGACTTTCGCTGTATCATAATGTGAAGAAGACTTTGAAGTAACCGAATTTGTAATGTTTTTAACATCTGACTTAGGGACGAATGAATGGGATTTATAGGAGAGTAAGTTCATAGCGATTTGATCTTTTAAAGCTTCTAATTGAATTGTTGACAAAGACTCGTTATTTTTATCATTACCCAAGATAGTTTTTTTTAGATTCTTCTTTAGTTGCCTTAAAGGAGTCAGTTTTACGAATGGTCCGTATCATTTGAAGTTTCTCACTAAAAGCGTCTACTAATACAGACAATACAACGTCAGCGTTACAAAATTTTCTATTGCGATGACGCCGTTGTTGTATTTCCTCGTATTTTAGCTCGAGTTCTTCAATGAATATGTTGGTGAAATTGTTCGGTGCATTAACAGTAGACGTCGTGTTTACGACTATTTCAGGAGTTTCAGCAGATTTTATATTTATGTTTGTCCGAGTTTCAGTAGCTGATATAATTTTACATATAAGTATTTATTAGAAAATCATTTATAAAAAATATTTACCTGTATTTGGATCCTTTAATCTAATTTTGTTGACTTTTGTCAACGTTTTGGTTTTTTTAACGCCAGTGGACATAGAGTTCGTTTTGTTGGATGAATCGCTCAGTCCATTTATTGGTACGGATAACGTGGATGATTTATTTATTTTTTACTACACAAATATAAAATTAATATGAATAACTCGACGTGTAGATATTTTGAAATAATCTAGAATTTTCGTGATGGATATGCAACACAAAATGCATATACGCACAAAGATTCTAGACAATACTAAAATAAAATGTTTAAAATGTCCATTATATAATATATAAGAATGTGACAACACCGTAGTTAACATTTATCAGTTATAACAGTGTTAACACGTATGTCACATAGTGTGACATACATTTATTATATGTAAATATATTAAGTATATTTAAAATAAATATACTGCCATTTTTTTTAACATAAAATCAGTGTTTTCATAATATTTCATTAATAATCGAAGCACTAAAGACGTAATGATACTGTGTGCTTCAATTTTTATGTGTATAATATTACTCATATCTACTCATTATTGTGTCTTGTCATATTACCTTTAAATTGTCCATACCGAAATTGGTCTCAAAATGTCCAATAAAAATTTACAGAAATAAATAAATAATACTAAAAATAATTATTTGTGAGTTTGTTAATGAGGAAATTACGAAAAATACCTTTACAAAATGCGTCGTGAGTTATACGCGTTCAAATAATTATGGTGAAACTATGCAAAGTAAATATTTATTTTCACTATTAATCACTAGGCATATTTATAATTAAAAAAAAAACGGTTGTTTAGGAGTCATTTGTTAGTACAAAAATATTTTAAAGTTAAAGACGTGTTAACGTTGGGGTAAGTTTTAAATTGTTTAAAATGTACAACAAATAAAATTATTCTGGATGGGTAGAGTAGATAGGGAGTGCCGTAGAGTAGGCGTTTTGGTATATTATTCTAGTAACTAGGGGTCGGTAATTCAATTCTGGCCTCTGCAGGGTAAAATTTTTTAAAAAGCTGACCAAGGACAAATGGTATTTTTTTTTTTCATTTAAGTACATTTTCAGTAAGACGTCCCAACGATCCGAGTACCTCATAGTTACTCAAGCCGCCTTGAATGAGACGGCTTCTACCACGTGGAAGCCAATTGGAAGAGGGAGGTAGGCCGAAGCTACTCATCATTAAATATCCTAGACCCGGAAAGCAGGAACGTGGAAGGTGGCAAAAGGAATTTGGTTTGGGCCTAAGAGACCCATGGGCGGGAGACCAGGAGGCTTCTGTGTTTCGGGGGATGACGGTATTCGCCCGAAGCCAACCCGTCAACATTAAATCAAATAACTAACATACAATATAATGACTGTTATTTAATTTTGTCTTCTGGTCCTCAAAAATTCCTAACTAGAATCTGTTTAGTGAAATACTAGACGTCGCCAGAGACATTGACACATCTGTAATAAGTGAAATGGGTAAGTAAAAAATTTTTAATACCGAGTACGTAAAATATAGTTCATAATATGTTACTATATGCTACTGACCATATTCAATAGACAAACTGAAGTTTGTTACATGCACAACTGAGGTTCTATCAATATGTGATCTCAGTTCCGTTATTAAATATTCTTTTATTTATATGAGAGTATCAAATATGGTTTTTTTGTCAATTTTCAAATGTTTTTATCAATGGCGCAATGATATAAAGTCAGTACCGTAAACAGAGGCATACTTTTGCTGCTCGGGATAAATGTTCCCGTTAATTTATGTTCTGTTACAGTAAAGCATAACCTTTAAATGAATTCTTAAACAATTTATAATTTTTACCATTTTTATTTAGATATCCATGTTTAAAATATTATATAAAGTAAGTTTACTAATCATGAAGTTGAAGAGGTACCAATGATATTTAAAAGGAAGAACCTTGAAGGCGGTAATTAAATTAATGTCACTGGTATACGAGGAACATTGTTAATTTATTAATCAGCTCTTGAATCAATGATCAAAACGTCTCTCTAAAAATAGAAAAATTATATGTAGGAAATTACTAGTAATGATATAAAATTATGTATACTCAAAAACCATTCAATATGTATGAGGGTAGCATATATTTTTTTAATTTCAATGTTTTTATGTAAAAGTTATAATATACTGTATGGAAGAAGTGAACAAAACGACATCATAAACTCTTAAGAAGTTTAAATGCCACAACTTAGCCAGATGAATATTCTTATGCGTTGTAAATATCAAATTGCAGTTTCCATGATCAATCTCTGTGTGTAATATTTCGATAAAATGTCTCATAGAAGTTATACAGAACTATTGGTACGAAAACATTATACAAATTATGATTATAATTTTATTTATAAAACATTTTCATATTGTTTGCAAAATATATCTATATAATAAAATGTTAACATACAAAATAGATGTGGATTACAAAAATAATTATTTAATGTTATGAATTGAATGCATAGGTTATTTTATAGTCGATTAATTAAATTTGTTGTTCTGTTAAGTCACTGTAAAGAATTTTATACTTAAAATTTTTTTTTTTTTAACATGTATTTAACTTAATTATTTTGCTATGTATAATATAGCGAATATTAGGTAATATATAATAAATAATGAAATATATGGAACAAAAATGTATTGTTTAAAAACATTTTAGATATTAACAAAAATAAATACTTTTGATAAGAAAAAATTATAACAGAACTGAGTACATACACGTAAAAAGATAAAACTAATTTTATCATTTGATAAGCAAAAAATTGCTTAATAAAATTAAAAACTGAATAAATCATTAAAGTTCAATTAAATTTAAAAAAATAATAAATACATTAGAACGTATTAACGAATGTAATGTATAAATAATCATTTTTAATAAAAATTCAAAAATATTTGCCATTGTATTTAAAAGATTTAAGTTATCCGACTTTAAATAATCTTCCATAATTGACTCATTGAATTCATAAATAACCATTAAGTTTTCATTTTGAACATTTATACGATTTTCAGTATGTGAAATTCTGCAGAAGTCATTGTCAGATTCTTCTGAATCTAAACTGCTTATATCCCAATCATCGTCGACCAACATCTGTGATAGGTAACTTTCAATTAGTTGAAGGAGGATGTTCATTTCCGTATTATCAGAATCACTAAGAACCATCGAATAATATCCGGAGACGATATGTATGCTATTAAAATGTTCATGATTATTCTCGACATAATAGTTATCTTCAACGACATGCGAATCATTGAAGTCCATTTGATAACTCATTGTATCATTTTCTCCAAAAAAACTGTCATCAAAGTTCTCAACATTGTCATGCTCATCCAAAGTAAACGTTTTTTAAATTCCAGGGAGTTGTTGGTCAACGACATCAACTGAGCTGTTTCTTTCTAAATAATTGTGGTGGTCAATTTGGTTTTCTTGTGTATCGTACAAGTCAGATTCGTAGCCATTTTCTTCTGTCGACAATGAAGAGGAAACATATTCAGAGTTCGTGTTGGATCTCTTATGAATGGCTTGATAAGTATGTTCATTATCATCATCCAAAGAAAAACTACGCATAACGACTGGAATATGTTCAGGAACAACATGATCGTTTTCTTCAACTTGACCACCACAGTATAATTCTAACATATTGGACTCCGATTCATAGCAATTTTCTTCTGTTAATATCGAAGTGGAATCTTCTTCGGAGTTCATATCAATTCTATTGTATATGATCTCATCATGAAATATTTCTTCATTATTAACTAAACTGCAGCTATTCAGAATAATTGGATTTTGTCCAGAAACATTACTGTAGCCGTTTTCTTGACAATATTATTTTTATGAATTGCTTAAAACTGAACTAAAAGCGGTTGAGTTAACATTACTTTGATGATCCCAACATCTAATTTTTAATCATAGTTAAAATTACGTTTTTTTAAAAAAAAAAGCAAGTTTTGTTTTGCAGCGGATTAAAAAAAATTGAAATATAATTAAAATAAAGTTATTCAAATTAATAAATCTCAAAAATCTAACGAAACATTAAATAATTAAAATTAAATTTAATACTTAAAAGAAACTGACTGCAAATAAAAGTTGAATTTTAAAAATTTTACTTTTTTTTTAGGAAAACTAAATAGTTTTTTAATTGATATAATTACGTTTTTTTTTCAGCTCTTTGATATTCATTGTTATCGCTAATTTTTCTTTTAGAACTTGAATGGCCACCACTTGAATCAATTATATACTTTCCAGTTGCTAATTTCTTCGGCGATGAATTTAAAGCTGTAGTTTCATCGTCATCGTTTACTTTTCTTTTGCCGTTAGAATAGTCAGTGTTTGAATCAACTGAATTATGTTCGCTAGAAATATTTTTTGCCTGTGAGTTCGACGCTAACGATTCATCTTGGTCACATTCTCCGTTTTCCATGTTTGGCATTATGGATAAAACCTAATGATCACTGGAGTAATCTCAAAACTGAGTACAATTTACGATAATTTAGAAAACTATACAAGAAGTTTACGTACGTAAACACAAATTCATTTACTCACAGACACTAAATGGATTAGACTTTAGATTATACAACTTAGATTATACTTCACTGTTGTCAGAGTAATACAAATATTAATCAATATTTTAACCAGTATTTATTTAAATAAATTCTTAAAATAATTAAATGAACAATTTCCCTATTCTAACAAACGTATGTTTTCTTTTGAATTGAATAAAATATTTTCAATTAAAGTTTTTAATTAATTATGAGTTGCATTTGATAATTATTAGTTTTTTATAAAAAAAAAACAATTATCACGTAGGTTGTGTTGTTATTTAATTATTTATTAATTTAATGAATTTTAAAAGTACAATTTATTTATCATGTCATTTTTTTTTTTATTAAAATAAATTAAAAAGAAATTAAGATCAAATATTGGTTGGTTACTGAGGGATGGCAAAAAAATTTGGCCTAGGGGTACCAAAGAGCCACTTTATTTACCAAGTATCGGGAAAATAACTTTTTTTTTAAAGAACTCGTCCCAAATACAGTTTCTCTAACAAAAGAACTCGTTCTCTATTATCAAAAAAATATTTAAAAACTTGCTATTATTATTACATTATAACCATAGTTTAATATTAAAATGTAGTGTATACTTTAATTATCTTGCATAGAAATAATTTGAACAAAATGTTTGGAGGATCTAATTAAATTTTTCCTCTTCTTAAATTTTTTTATGAGTATGTAATTTTTATTTATTTTCTTTTCTTGAGAAGGAAGTGCGAAAAAATTAAGGAAACTAAGCCCCTTTTGGATCTCTCAAATTACAACTATGATCCTGTGCTTTCAAGATATTACATTTTTGTAATATCTTAGTATGATAATTTATTTAATATCATTGTAAATTTTACTAATACAAAAAAGTACATCAAAATGATAAAATGTTAATTCGACCAATCTGAGTTAATTAAGTTTAGATCTAAGGCCTAAATTTAGAGGGCTTAATTATTTTACTTTGAGGATCATGTTACCAAAGTTTTTTTTGGACTAAAAGTCAAAGTGAAGATCAAAAAGAAAACGTCATTATATTTCGTAAATATCGGATTTAAATTATTCAAGATAGGGCAATCGACTCATTCAATTATTCAGGATAATAAACTAATAAACAATTTTCAATTCTATCCTTACATACTGAAAACCTATGTAAAGACAAATGCAAAAAATAAATAAAATTATCTGAATCAATAAAATTGTTTATTAAAATTACAAAATAATAATAATAATAATTAATTAAAAAAAATAACTCCAAACATTTAAAATGCATTAAACTGTGTATACACTTACTTTTTTTCATAAATTAAATATTAACAATAATTGGAAGTTAATTCAAATAAATGTATATTTTTGAGCCACTTCAAAGAACCATGAAACGTGAAAAACTTTTAAATGCTTCATATTATACTTGATTAACCTAGAAGAATCATTCGTATACAATATGATTGTAGATGTATACTTCATTAGTTCTGATTTTCGACAATGAAATGGTATGACATTAGAAGGACAATCTTCTGGGTTTGGCATACGTTTTAAAATCTTTGCACCAAATTCAATCACTAATTTCTTTATGTCTTCTGATGTGAAGTGACCCCAACTACCATTTCCACATATATGCACATTTATTCCATCAAATAATTTTGGATTCTGAAATCATAAAATTACTTTTTTTTAAATTTATAAAATTTAAATATAGAAAAAAATGTCTAAAAAATTTATCCAGCTTATAAGAATTTATAAAAGAAGATATAATAGTTAAAGATTAAAATTATTCAAATAAATTAAACAACTTTATAATAAATTATGTAATTGTTTCTTACATTTTTGAGATATATCTAGTAACAGTTTAACTAATCAAAATTAGCTAAAATCAGGGCTTGTTCCTAGGTAAAACATAATTTTTTTTTAGCTTTGATAAAAAATTTAACTTTTGAAAATATACAGTGAATTAAAGCATATGTAATATAATTTAATATATCTTATATCCTATAATATAATGATATTTAGACATATTTAGTACCTAGTTTCATTCATGATTTTGTCCACTGATATGTTGTTGAATTTCATTTTAACCTATATTATTTTAGTTATTTTTCTATACAGGTGATTTTTTTATCATAACCCACTCAATTACTAGCAGAATATATATAATTTAAACATTTTTTTTTTGGTTTTCTTTAGTTACACTTTATTCTTGAATTATTAACTATTTAAAAAACAAAGTTGACACCCTTACCAAGCATAAGGGATTAACTTAAAAAGTATTACATAGTTAATAATTCAAGAATAATGTGTAACTAAAGAAAACCAAAAAAAAAAAAAATGTTTAAATTATTATTACTCTGTAAGTAATTGAGTGGGTTATGATAAAAAAATCACCTTGTATATAAATATTCTTTTTTTGCTAATTAGTAATAATCTCAAAAATTAGAAGTAATAAAAAATATCTAATTTTAGATTTAAAATTATAGCAAAAAATTGATTTCGAAAATTAATTTTTGACTGATATATTATACTTATAAATCAATGAACTACTAATCAGAATATAATAAAAGAAATACGAGATGATATTGCTTTTGAAATAATTCACCAATTTCTTAAAATTAAACACTATCTACAGATTTGCATTGAAAAATTCTTTATGATAGTGATTTTAATCACAGTCAGATGTCATCTATACTCTAAATATACCATGTCTACACTATGCTGCGACCCCACTGTGCTACCATTTTTTTTTAAATAAATTTAAATTAAAAAAAGGGATTAAGTTTGCATTTTTCAAAACTAATATATTAATACAATATTGAAATTCAAAGCTTAATAATTAGCTGTAGTTTCATAAAAATTACCAATTTTTGATTATTTATTCTTGATATAAATGGTCCATTGCAATCAATAAATTGTTTTGTGCCCCTAACTTCATATTCATCACATGACAAAAGTTTATTCTTTTGTAGTGAATCAGAAATCCCTTTATAAAACACAATACAAATAATTGAATTGATTTCTAGATAGTTGAATTAAATACTTACAATTTTGTTGAACTATGAATAATCCATTAGCTATTCCAGTCAAACACTCTACATTTGATAAACAAACATTGTTTGAAGAATTTGCTACAACTATATGAGTAACATAATTTTTTTCACTTCTAAAAAAATAATTTAGTTTAAAATAATATAATTTTTTTAAATTTACATTTCACTTACAAACAGTTTTTAGCAAGTTTTATATTAAATTGTTTGCAAAATTTGTTGACTACAACACTGTTCAAATTTGTTTCATTTACAACAATAGTTAATTGATCTGGTTCATAAATCAAGTTTTTTTCTGTAGATAAACACAAACTTCTTGCATTTGAAAGACTTCCCCATACCTCCAAATCAATAGATCTAAAAAATAACAATTTTAAATGAATAATAAAATAAAACAATAAAAGTAAAATGGATATTATGTATTAAATATATCATTCTGGATGAATTGGAGTAAATATGAAAATTGTTTCAAATTTACAAATTTTACAAATAACAATGCAAAATGTTTGTAATAATTGTTATAATCAAGTATATATATATATATATATATAAAAATAAGCTGATTAAAGAACTTTATTTTATTGATTCTAATCTTATTAAGTAATCAGATAATTTAAAAATAGCTTTATAATAATAAATATTAATTGATTAACTTATTAAAATGTAATTTTTAAAAATAAAACATTTTTAATCCTTGTTTCAAAATAACTGTAATTAAAATATTTTATTAGAGTATTTCAAAATAAATGTAACATTGATTCATACTCAGAATTTTCTCCATAAATATTCTCACATTTAGAGTCTGCACCATTTTCTAAGAGAATTTTAGCAATATCCAACTGATTATATTTAATAGCAATGTGTAATGGAGTTTCATACTCAAATCCTGGTACATTTATAAATGCACCATATTTTAATAGTTCTTCAACAATATCTAATCGTCCAGTTTTAACAGTTTCATGCTATAAAATTGTTATTTGTTGAACTCTAGATTAATTAATTCTATTAAGTTAGTTATTTTTATAAAAAAATAACATACTAAAGGAGTCCAACCAGCATGATCTTTAACATTTGGATTGAAACCTTGAGACAGCAATGACATAACTAATTCTAAATTACCCTAATTTGTTACAAAACAAGCGATAAGTAAAATAAAAAATTGATTAAATATAATCTAATAGGAAATTTTAATACCAACTAGATACTTATGTAAAATAAAATCATATAAATTACCTTTGAACAAGCAGTATGCATAAGAGTTTCGCCTTTCCTATTTCTATTATACAAATATTTAATAGGTTTATTTGCTGAGTCTAAAATTGATGTTTTATGTGTTTCATCCTTTAAATAAACAACAAAATATTAAATACATTACTGAAAAAGATGATATATTGATATATATAAATATTATAGCTTGAAATGAATAAAAGATCAAAATGAATATTTAGATTAGTTTAAATCATAATAAAATATTTTGAGAAATCTTAAAATAATATGCTGCATCACAAAATTTTTACCTTTAATTTATTTATAGATTTTGGAGTTGTTTCATTATATTTTAATTTCATCTTTTTATTTTTCGCATCAATTTCAGAATCATTAGAATTACTAGATCTTTTTCCAATTAATGGAGTTGTTTCTTTAATATTGGTGAAGTTGTCAGACGATGGTTTATTATCAGTAGCACTAAAATCTGAAATTGGTTGTTCTAACATTTTTGATGAACTATCACTTTTTTTCTTATCGGGGGAGATAATTTTAGATCTGTTTTTTATAAATTTTTTCTGAAAAATAAAAAATGTAAACAGTAGTATGTAATTAAGTAGAATTATGTGCATGTTTAGTAAACTAATTGTTAGCAATCTTAGTTATAGTATACAAAGTGTCCCACGAAGTTTTAACATCTTTAATAACTTTTGATCCAGTGAATATTTTGAGTTAATATTTACAGTTTTGGACTACATTAATAATACATATTTCATTACTTAACTAAAATAAGAAAATATAAATAGACATCTTTTAGCTGTTTTCTAATAAAAAATTTTAACGGGTTGATAACTTTAGGATAAGTACTTATTGAGTTACAAGCATTTTAATAGAACAAAATTAATATTGAGATTCATTGAATTAGGCTAAAAACTTACATTTTTGATAAGATCACTTGTAGAGTTATGAACTACTTTTGATTCAGCATTCACATTATTTACTTCCGTTTCATATATAATTGAGTCATCTTTCATACATGAGTCAGTAAAGTCATTTGTAGTTTTGTAAAGTGGTTTTTTAACTTCACTATTAAATTCTTGAACTTCAGTTGTTGAATCTTGTACTAGAGCAGAATCATTGACAGTTGAAGTACAAACAATATTTTGAAAAATCTAATTCAAACAATATTATTTAAGACACACATTATAGATTTTATATTTTACTTAATTATATGCAAAGAATAAAATTATTTAACTAAAAGACATTAATCTAACAGACATGTAATATAAGTGCTTCTTCACTTATATATAGAACTTATATACTTTAGGACCATAGACACTTCTACAAGAGTATGTAACCTTTGCTTTTTTTGATTGGTCTAATTTTAAGTAATTCAAATGGTAACAATTAGATCTCTATTAAGTATTAATTTAGGATTTAAGGGAAAACTACTATTGTTGCAGAATTTTTGAAGGGTAAGTTAATAATTTAATATTTATTTGTTCTTGGAACAACACTTAAACTAGAGCTAAGATAATCTTGGTGCATGTAGTCAATATGGAGTATGGCAGAAATGGATAGTTTCTAGAGATTAAATAATTCGCACACAAATTTGTTTTTAATACTAATATGTTAATATTTTATAGTAATAGAAAAAAGCATATAAATCAAAAAGAAATATTTTCATTATTATTATAATAGTTACAACATTGAATACTATACTATGGTCTTTACTATATAATTAACAACACTAAACTAAATTAATAATAAAATATAAAATATACCATGGCTTTCATAAGGTCACATGCGCAAGCGCTTATTAATAAAGTGTTATAATATGCGATAATTCAATAAAACCAATAGTGATGACCATAACATATTATTATGAAAAATTTACAATATGAGTTTAAAGATGAATTTTTAAAGATAAATACCTTTTAAGTCTTCCACATAAAATATTGGCTATTTATATAGCATTATGGGTCAGTAGAAATGTTTGCTATCATTAACCTAAATATTTGCTGATGCCTATGATTTGAATTTAACTCACCATAAAGGTATAAAAGACTTTTTTAAACTATACACTTTTATCGTAAATGATTGTAAATAACTTTTATTTTCCAGTCAATTTTTAAACAAATTCCATACTTAGCTTAGATGTAGATTTACATTATTTATGTGGAAGAAGTCTGATATTATCAACCCTCCTATTATTTCTGTTATTTGTTGACCAATTGGAATTTTAGAAATAGCGAGTATTGTGTATATAAACCCTCACTTCATTATTTTTATTACAATTTAACTATAAGTTAAACAAATTCAAAGAAGGTTTAAAGAAGTTACTTCTATGTTTTCCAAATTTGTGGCAATCATTAAATATTTCAAATTTTAATGTTAATCTAATCAGTAAATTTCTATTTTCAAATTAAGTACAGTGTAATCTGTCGGTAGTTAAGATTTCTACACCTAATGTTTTTTCATTATATTTCTTACCTTATCAATTTCTGCTTCAGGGCCAAATGAATCTACTTCACTATTTGGAACAGTTGGAAATAATGTTTTTTCACATAAATCAATAGTATTTTTCTCCAATACCTGAATTATTTAAAATTAATGAGTTTTGGTGATTTAAAAATATTCTGTTTTGAATTATATTGCTACTTATAAAATAACTACAAGTATAACAAAATAGAAAATTTCATGAGCAAGCTTAAATAATTAAAAATAAATTAAAATTACCTGACAATTTGATGTACTTTTTATTAAATCATCTTGTAAGAAACTTTTGGCTTCAAAATTGTTGTCTATTTCATCAATTATCTTTGATCTATTATTAAATAAATTAATTTCGTGATTGGATAGTTCATCTAAAAAATATATATAAATATATATATAGTGGGTTGCATCCAGGAAATGAAATATCTAAGCCGGCATCCTATTTTATCTTGATAAACTAACATACTAGATAAAAAATCATTAAAAAAAATTGCTAATTTATAAAAATAAAAATGACATTTTTTTAAATATTTGTATTAGTGATAAATTATAAAAATATATACTTTCAACATTGTCTAAGAAGACAATAATTAAAAAAAAAAAAAATTTAATAGAAATTATGAATGTTGTTAGCTAGATCTGAGACATTCTGTAAAATAATTTTATTTAAAATTACCTGAAACTTTATTTGCAACATCAGGTAATTTGTAGTATAAACAAACTCTTGATGTTTGTTCTCCAACTTGAAAATAACTTGTCTTGAAAAACCTCTGTTTTATTACTTTTGGAACTTGTTCAAAATTATTATAATCCATCCTAAAATATTCAAATTTTTAATTTAAGGATCTAAAACAAACTACAATTTGATCAAGCACATCAAATGTTAAAAACAATAATTAGATTACAAATAAACAACACAACTTTTATTATTTGATTTCTAATTATGAATATAATAATTGAAGTACATTAAGTATATTTTCCTTAGTACTATTAAGTTAAATACAAAATATTTGTTATAAACTATACTGTCACTACCATTACATAACCAAATATCTTGATTTTTTTTTTAAATATTTAGAAAGGTGAAAATAAATTCACTTTTTTAAGAATAAATAATTTTCAATCTAAAAATATTCAATAGGATTTTTTAAGATGTCAAAAATCTTAGAACATTAAGTTAGTGGTTACATCATGAAGACAATAATATATTATACTTGAAAGTGTTTTGATAACTAAAATACAAAAAGTATTACTACTAGAACTAAAAATGTAATGACCGGAAATAGGGTTATGATTCTTATACAATTTTTTATTCCATAAAACCATATAATATCTTTGGGGAAAATGTAATAGGAAATTCTTTAAAAACATTTTTTTAAGTTTTAAAGTGAAAACTTTAAAACTTAACTACTAATATAAAATTAATACAATATTTAAAAACCAATTAAAATTAATTATTTTAACAACTTACTTAGGATCCAGCCAAAATAAAATATTTTTGACATAAGTTACAATTTCATTATTGTGTGTATTTAAATTGGTATCATCATTCTCACAATGATTACAATCAGTTTTTAATGATCTATCAAAAATTGGCACTTTCATTTTTTCATTACTAACAAAAAATTAAATAAAGATTTTTAACTTACAATACATTTATTGAATTAACTACAAAAATATTTATCTAAATTATAGAATTGTTTTGTATTAATATTAATATATTTATCTATTGTAAAATTTGTATAACTAATAGGAGGCTTTCATAATATAGATAGAAGTTCCATTGCTGCTAGATTTAACTAACAAGTCAAAATATAATTTAAAAAAATGCATAACAATAATTTAAGATATAATTGAACTACATTATCATTATTAATTATTAATAAAATAAAAGATCTAATCCCTCATTAATTTTTTTTCTTGAAACAGTTGAAATATTAATTAATTTTAAGGAAATAAGAAATGTCATTGCATATATTTTTGTCAAAATATTAGAATCAATGAATAAAAAAATCCAATTATTATAATTTGTTTATGTATATTTTGCTTAAGGACCAATTTTTTTTTTTATAATATATAAGATGGTTTTGAAACTTTCATTTAATAATTTATGAAAACACTTTCATAAAATTGTTTACGCTACTTATTATAGGTTATTCTTAAGATAAGTGCAGAAACCTTTAGTAACACTTTTTTTTTTAACAAAAATTATATCAAATAATATAAATATACTTAAGTAATTTTACCAATAAAGTCTTCCAAAGGCGTTTAAAAAATCTTCCCTGATAAAATCTTTGTAACATTTTTTCAAAAATAATATGTCTGTAGTAGAATTTTTATTACTTAATTCCATTTTTAGTTCAGACCAACAAATAACAATATCTAGTGAACTGAAACCTAATGATATGTACATTCAAAATATTGTATGAATTTATAATTACTAAATTTTGGAAAAAATGAACATAAATATTTACTTATATTCACCAATTTTATAAATTTTACCAATAGTTTATATAACAAATTTTTGTGTTGTAATAATTGTAATAAAAACTATTTAACATAGTTTTTGGCGGGAAATGAATGATAATTTATCAAAGAAGAATGGATTGATGTCTAATATCTTATCAATGTTCTTTAACGATTAATCGGCAACGATTATAGATAAAACTTAATATTAGGTTTATCTATAATCGTGAACTCGGCCTAGAAAGTAGAAAAAGATAAAAGGTCGACGTAGTCAACCCCCAGACACTATTACATTATTCCAAAGATATATAAGTAGTAGTTTTTTACATAGAATGTTCACTTAGTGAGGAAACAGGTCAGTTGTTACAAACAATGAGAACAATAGAAACCCGTTTCCTAATTTACTGAACAGTATATATTTGTGCATTATTTAGCTTATTGAGCTTTTTTTACTAAGGACTCTATACTGTTATTTAACGCTAAATAATTCTATTTGCAAATACATTTGTAGTTTACATTAGGTTTAGGTTTCTCGTGATAGCGTTTTAAAATTGCCATTAATTCTTTCCTCATAAATATTGATTCGAACCTAGTTAATTCGTAAGCCGGTCTCGTAATCGCATAATTATAGCTTTTAACATTACATTTCTACATTTTACTAGTGTGATGTCATTAATCAATTCAATTGCATCAATAAACCTAATTAATTCCTCCTGCACCCCATCAGAAAAAACGAACTAATTTTGCTACGGATTTTACTACTTTACTAGCTGACATATAACGACCTTCGGTGTCATCAAAAGGTACATCGTTTGACGGATCTTCTCTAGATGCCATTTTAGACGTTTCTACAATTACCTCTAACATTTTAGATTCAGATAAATCTATTACAGGATCCATATACTTCTTAAATTAATTTAAAGAATAAAGTTATCTCTTATAATAAGGAACCTATGTAAATGTTTTTATACAGACTTAAAAATCTAACACGCAACAATAAAATAAAATGCTTACAGTTGTACGTTGTTGGCCTTTGAAATATTCTGTTAACTAATTGACTATTGATATCGTTTTCTGATGTTAACGATATTGACACAGTCTTTTGATTGCTGACAATATTTAAAATTGGTAAAACAATTCCCGTTGAATAAATTTCCATTGTACTGACCAGAGTCACGGGTTTCGACTACAAAATTATGTTGACTTATTAGATTTATAAATAATATTTCAAATGAATATAACACAAACAAATATCAAATAAATAGTTACAAATATTACTTTAATAAACATTAATATATGTATAAAAATTAATGGTTAAACTGTAACTTGCATAAACTAGACCACTAGACTAATTTGTCAATGAAGTCTCGCGGCTTTTTTAGTCTCCAGATGATGAAAGTTGCGGAAATCCCATCTTATGTATTCTCTAGGGTACGGTTTTTGATCACGATTTGGAGGAAATCCTGTAAATTACCATGTTACACCATATAATATAATTAAATGTTTTAAAAGCTCGTCTAAACATTACTTGACCACAACAATACAAATCGTATTGTACCCCGAAAAAGACATTTCATGATTACACACCGCAATCCGCCTCTAAACTATTGGATTTGACTACTGAGATACACTTATATATAGAAAAAACAATTAAGTAAAGTACGTTTTAAGGGCCCTGGTCAAGGAAAATAACAAATATTAGTAAATTAGAAAATATTATTTAATGTAAAATATAATTATTATTGTTTTCGTCACCGCTAAGTGCGCCACAAAACGTAGAAATAATTGAAACTATAAGAAAACATGTCTCGGGTGCAGTGGTCGTAGAGACGTGATCAATATGTCAAATTAAATATGACAAAATTATCTGCATTTGTACATGGGCAATTTTCGATGAACCAATTTTAAACAAAGTTATAACAGTTTAAAAAACGTAAACTTTGATAGATTATAATTTTTTTTTTAATCAAAAATCGTCCATATATGCATAGTAAAATGAATAGTAAAATTTATTTTACTATGCATATATGTATATAGATAATTTTGCTATGTTTTATTTGACATATTTATCATGTCTCAACGACCACTTTTTTCTCCAGTATCTGTGATACACCGAAAAAAGTACTTGTCCTCTTAATACCAATCTATATAATCGTGATCAGAGGTCGACAATATCTTTGGATAAAGTGGATGCAACCCACAGATATAAAATATACCTACTATCATTGGTTAATGAACCAAACGGGCTGTTGCCAGTTTATCTAAATATCATGTTTTTCTATAACTTTTACAATATTACTTTAATATAAATTCATTTTCTTTTATCTATAATTGATATTTAGCATATTATGATATGATACATCACAAAAATATAATTGAAATAGATTTTATATTGATAAAAAAATGTTGAAATTCAGTTACAATCTTATAAAAATTTGTTTTCATTGTTTTACTGAAGTGTGTATTTACAACTCTCTATATTGACTGTGTAAATTTTTATCAGTGTCCATTCTGCTTATTCTGTGGTATTTACCTGTGTACCTATTATTGTTTTGCAACGAGAGTGCCTAAGATGTAGTTAACGTAAACACTTATTCAAATATTTTATTTCAATCCATATCAATTGAGATACAAGATAACTGTTAAACCAAGGTCTATATAAATACACTTCAAATATCAAGCTACCGTTTGTTAAATCAAAATTTATGTAAACATTGCACAACATGTGATATAGTACTCTCAGCGGATTCTTTTTATATCACTTAAAGTTCTTTTAATGTTATGTAAAAACCACATGGTTCAATTGTTATAAGTTAATTTTCTTAAGAAATATAGTTACTGCATTAATTGAATTTGAATAATTAATCTTAACAATGGCTAATACTGTCGTACAATTTTCTACCATTCTTAGTAAAACAGACCCAATAAGTATTCCTGTTCTGATAGTTGGACAAGAAAAATACTTGTCCAACTTACCATACTCTGCTATCAAATGCAAATTAGAACCACGGGTTAATGAACAAGTAAAACATTTTAAATAATTTCTTGCAAATAATGTTTTTAGAGTTCTTAAAGATAATTGCATTAATTATTTATAATATTTCAGACATTCAAATCAGCAATATCAGTATTGAATCCTTGCCCTACTGATTCGTGTCCTCTTTTCTTAAATACTGCTACATTAGCAACTATTTCCAATAGCCGAAGCCGTCATAACTCTTCAGCTCAACCACATATGTTGACTAAATTAATTAAGACTCACTCTGTTGGTTACGATGAATGCATTGTAGTAAGTAAATATTTCTAGTTTATCTTAAAGTTGTATTTATTTAATTTTAGAAAATTCATATTCAATCATGTTTTGTAGACGTATCAATATCTAAAAATCTTCTGTGTCACAAAAATTAAAAATTATATTTATTGTTATATAAAATATTTTACATTATTAAATTCATTTAGTTCCTCAACATTTTCTTAATTAATTCTCAAATATTGGTCCAAAAGTTGTTATCAATATATCATTTTCTTCTTTGAATCATTTCTTATTATATAAACTAGTTAAATACATATCTTGCACTTAAAAAAAACAATTTAATATCCTTTTAAGGGATAAAAGGTAGACTTACAAATATTTAATCACTCAAGAATCAAAAAATAAATGCTAATAAACAAAATAAAATAAAATTTTAAATTATATTTATTTTGGGAGAAATTTAGTGTTATTTTTATATTACCATATGGTAATTAACATTATTAATATTTATACATATTAACATTTATAATAAGAATAAAAATAATTTTCTGAATATGTAATAAATTTCTTTTATGGGTTGTTAAAATAGTCAGAAATTATTTCCCAAACTTAATATAACTTAATATAACTTAACTTAACATATTAATACTTTAATTTCTCATTTAAGATTTCTCATCAAATTTTAATGTCACATTAACATATACATTATCAGCTTAACTGATATATGTGTTAGTGTATATATATATGATGTATACGTTTACACTTTATTTAGTGATTTATAAATAAAATTTTAGTAAAATTTATATTATATTAAAAATAACAATCATTTAATGCCAATTTAAACCTTACATATTAAAGTTAAAGTGCTAAATTGAATTAATTGCATGATATTATTAATTTACCATATAAAATATATTGTGAATAGTAAAAATAAAATGATAAGTTTTACATCCTTCTATTCCCCGAACTTAACATGCTACAGAAGGTGATGACATGTTAGAGATTCAAAGATAGTTCTTGGCTTGGCCAAAGATGGATGAAACGGGAATTATAGCCGGCTTGCACCAAAGACCAGTTACCACCAATGAGAAAATCATAAGAAAAATCACATGAAAACCCTAGGGATCAAAACCGAGATCCCTTGCGACAAATCATACATTTCTACCTACTAGGTCAGGTCGAACCCCCCTTTTATGGATTGTTAATAAATATAATATTATTGAAGTGCTTGATCTTGTATTTCTGATATAGCAAAAAGTGCACCATGCATTATTGTAATTTAAAAAATTCTGCTTAGATTGTTTGTGAACGTCAGGATGTATTTGCATCAGGTTGTGCTGCAGCTAGAGCATTTTATGATTATTGCCGCAAAACAAAGATAGTCAATGGAAAATTAAAAGAACAAAAGAAAACTACAGTAACAGTAAATGTAGAATTTTTAATTGTGTCTGGTGATTTGTGTAATAATGTAATAGATAAAGAAGAAATGTTAACTCTTGAAAGAATAGCAAATGCTATAAAAATGACTACCCGAATTGTTGATACTCCTTGTAATGATATGAATGTTGATCATTTTTTACAAGTAATTAAATTTTATTGACTGATTTATAATATTAAATATTATTTATGTATTTTATGTATAATTTACAGGAAATAACTCAAGTTGGAAATGATTTAAATATAATTCCTACTATAATAAGTGGTGAAGACTTAAAAAAGAAAGGATTTGGTGGTATTTATGGTGTAGGTAAAGCATCATCTGTTGAACCAGCTTTAGCTGTGTTATCACACTTGCAATCTGGAGCTACTGAAACAATTGCTTGGGTTGGTAAAGGCATAGTATATGATACTGGTGGTTTAAGTATCAAAGGAAAGGTATGTCGTATTATATAAAAATTTAAAATTAAAAAAAAAAAGTAATTATCCATTCTTAGTAATAGTCCTCCATATAACCCTTAGGAGATAAAGTCAGCATACTCTACCTCTAGCACACTGTTTCAATATTTCTCTTAATTAAGTCATAAATGTTTCAGATGTTGTCAGCATAATCACTGTTTTTAAGGGAATTTGAGGTTATTAGAGTATATTTTATATACTCTATATATATATATATATTTATAATAAGAAATATATTTTTTTTTCTTCTATCAATCTAAAAATACAAAATAGTACAAAAACATTTCTACTGTTTAACTGATTTTTGATCAGCAATTTTTTTTTCTAAATTTTAATTATACAATAAGTATAAAATATGTCAATGTGAAATTTGACATGATTATATTGAGAAAAGAAACCTCCCTGATGTCACTATTATTGAATTGTTTTTTGTTTTTAATTAGATTAATTTAATTTTTTTACTGTGGATTAAATTCTCTGTATCACTTTATTTTAAGTTTTTTAGAAGGATTGCCAGGCATTGTAACTAAAGTGTTATTCTTTACTAAAAAAATAGGAAGGTTTAAGAAGGGAATTATGGTATATAGTGTAATGTTCTTTTGCAACTTGCAATACTGTTTTTGGTTTTATTTTTAATGTAAATTATATAAAGAAGTGTTTTTTATGAAGTTTGATTTTAGTAGTTTATATGATGTACCCATAAAAAATTTTGGTCAAAGTGATTACAAAGGTATTTTGTAGTAGTTAATGTTTTTTGAATATTATTTAGGTAAACTTGTGAACAAAACCAATTTTTAAATTTGAAAAGATATATTTACATTTATTTTAATCCTATAATCATAGGAAATGTCCTTCCCTCAATTTTCGGACCAACTAATATTAGTTAATTTTTTCTTCAATAAAAAGTTTTTATGCTGGTAATTGTTTAAAAATTATTTTTAATTAATAATAAGTTAGTGATAATTCTAATTTTTCTAAAAATAGTATATTTTATATCATAAATATACTGAGTATTCAATAAGTTAGAAAGTACATTTTCATTGTTTTAACAATTGATTTGTTTCCTCACTATTTTAACATCTATATAGATAAATTATAAATCTATAGATTTATGAATACTTTTTATAGACTTCAATGCCAGGAATGAAACGAGATTGTGCAGGTGCAGCTGCTATTTTAGGTGCTTTTCATGCAATGGTGAAATCGGGCTTTAGTCAGAACCTTCATGCCGTATTTTGCTTAGCTGAAAACTCAGTTGGTCCCAATTCCACTCGTCCAGATGATGTCCATACTTTATATTCAGGAAGGTATAGTTGACATATAATTTATTTAAAAATATTAATGAATATTTGAATTTTTCCTTATAGTGATAATAAAATTAAATATTCAAGTTTATGTGTTTCCTTTTATCAGGTAAAATAAATTCTACTAAAAACAGACTTAAATTGATAAAAATTATAACTCTTTGTCCAATTTAATTAAATTTTATTCTTAAAAATGTTAATATAATTTATTATATTTATGTATTTATACTATATAAATATAATTATTTATATTGGTTAATATAAATTCAATAAGTTTTCTGATTCAATTTGAGAGATTTCTAACTTTAATACACTGTTTAATTCTTTCATCCTCACTGTCCTCGCTAGAGGACATAATTTGTATTTAATATTCAATTATTGTTTATCTGTGTATAAGTATCTATAGTGACATACTATTGTAAAACATGTGAAAAGGTGTGTATACACACATTCCAACTATCAGAATTATTAAAGATATTATCAATCATCTGTTATTTGTCCTGTAAATTATGTCCCTTCTCCCATTGGATATGGGAAGTAAAGGTAGTTAATGTACTAAGTTTATAGTGATTCTATCATTGTCATAATGATATTGTTATGATGCATAATGTACATGATGGTTAAAATTTTGAATTTAGAACTGTTGAAATTAATAATACTGATGCTGAAGGGCGTTTGGTGTTATCTGATGGTGTTGTTTATGCATCTAGAGATCTTAATGCAAAAATTATTTTGGATATGGCCACTCTGACTGGAGCTCAAGTATGTTTGAATTTCTATGAACAGTTTAAATATTAACATAAAAAAATTTTAGGTAGTTAGTACTGGTAAATATCATGCAGCTGTCATGTCAAATTCAGAACAGTGGGAAAAACGAGCAGTATCTGCTGGTCTTATTTCAGGAGATTTAACTTTCCCAATTGTTTATTGTCCAGAACTTCATTTTTGTGAATTCTCATCTGCCATAGCTGATATGAAGAACTCAGTAGCAGTAAGATTTCTTTTTTAAATATTTATACACAAATAACCATAAGTTACTATAATAGTTTATCCTAATTTAGCTAATAAGTCAAAATATAATAAAAAAAAATGCATAATAATAATCTATGATATAGTTGAATTACACTTTCATCATTATTATTATTTTTAATAATTAATAAAATAAAAGATCTAATCCCTCATTAATTTTTTAATCTTGAAACAGTTGGGAATATGAATTAATTTTAAGGAAATAATAAATTTCATTTCATACTTTTTTGTAAATATGATTAGAACTATAGAATAAAAAAAATTTCATATATATATAATTTGTTAATGTGTATTTTGTTTAAGAATCAACATTTTTTGATACTATTTAACATCTAATTGTATTTTATTAAACAAAAATTTTACATGAATATGAATAATTATTTTACTCTATACTATAATTTAGCTAACAAATAAAAATATAGTAAAAAACTTACATATGGCCAAACAAAACAATAAAAAAGTATATCATAAAAAAATAATTTAGTACATCTTTTTAGAAATTTAATATTTGAAGTAATTAGCACTTGATCTAGTAATTTTGGTTATATTTTAAAATATTGCCTTAAAATTCAGTTTTTATATACTGATATTTGTATATTAGTTTCTGAAATAATTTTAACCACCATTACTAACTTAATGATGCATTATTTTATTTATCATAATACCTCAGTAAATTTTATTCATTTTCATTTTTGCATATATCCTTAATAAAATTATTTTAGAAAAAAATTTCATAAACTGAGAGTACATATACAAGAATAAATCTAACTAATAACTCTTATAACTATTGACTTATTTATATTTTTCAATTTATATTATTCTACCCGTTAGGTCAGGTCAAACCCTCCTTTTATGGATTGTTAGTGTAGGCCAAGCCCTTATATTGTGCTAAGTATAAATGTATTATTTGTACTACTAAAAATTGTTAAACAACTTTACTGAAAAAAAGACAAAATAACATTTTTCTCTACTAAGTCATCATTGTATTATCTTTGTTATAAACTTATGCCAATTTTCAATTATATTTATAAACATTAATCAGTTACATTTATTGGAATGTAACAATAATCTAATGTTTTTCATTTTATCATTATGATTTTATTTTAAAGGATCGATCAAATGCTACTTCATCATGTGCTGGACTCTTTATAGCAGCTCATTTAGGATTTGAAACATCTAACCAATGGATTCATGTTGATATTGCTGGACCTGCTCATTATGTAAAAATGTTTATTTGTTAATTATTATAAATTGATCAATAATTGAGTTTATAACTAAACTTTTAACAGGGTGAAAGAGCCACTGGATATGGAGTTGCTCTTTTAGCAGCTATGTTTTCAAATTATTCTAATGATGCACTTCTAAAATTTGTATCAAAACATGCTCAATACTCAAAATAAAAAAAACATACAACTGTTATACATCTTTTTCAGTTAGCAGTATTTTGAAAATAAATTATTATCAAAAAAAGTAATCTTGTAGAATCCTGTTATAATAATGATTTTATTCCATTTAGTATTAAGTAAGGTTTATCTTTTTACTCTAATATTTTTTTTATGTATGTTTGAATTTTTAAAACTTATAAAATATAAATTATTATTGCTAATAATATAATAAATAATTTAATTATAGGTAACAATGACTTGAGTTTTAGGTTATGAAGTATTACCTTGATTATAATTAAATAAATAATGTTATGCTACTTTTTATTAAATACAATTACACATTTTATATAAATATATACTTCAATACAAACATTTTCAGTATTTTAACTATTAATAATTTGAAAAATAAATTAAATTTTTGTTTTATAATAAATTTTAGTTATAAAACTAAATTTTTAAACCAAATACCATGTTTAAAAATTGTTCATAATGAATAGTTATATATCCATCTTGATCACTATCATAATGACGAAAAGCAGATGTTAATGTCTAAAAGAAAAAAACACAAATTATTGAATATATAACTTAACAATTAATTTTGATTATTAATATTAATATTTACGTGCAGAACAACACAACATTGTATGAAATCATCAAAAAGTATTGTACCACGCCCAAATCTATCAAATTTTTTGAGCATTACATTTACAATTTGCTCACTAAGTCTGTATCCAAATGATGTTAGTGCATCTTTTAATTCTAAGGCATTTATATTTCCTGATCCATCTCTATCAAATGATCTAAAACAGGCTTGCCAATCTGTTACATACTTCCAGAGAGCACCAAAATCATCGAAAGACACTGTTCCTCTATTGTGTTTATCAAACATTCCTATCATCAGACGAACAGTTTCGGGGTTGAACGGAGTCCATGTGCCATTGGATAGTGCCATTTGCAATTCATCAGCAGAGATAAATCCACTTCTATCTTTATCCACTCTAAGAATAAGAGCATTTTAATGTTACTATACAGAACAAAATAGTAACTCAAGTCACTACTATGTATACTAAATTATTGCTTATTTAAATAAATGTTTGTGTTCTATTAAAAATAGAAGCAGTAGAACTTTGGAGAAAAAAAAATGTTGATTCTTTGACATTCTTTTATATTATTTTATTCTAATCCAAAATAAATAATGATTTGAACAAAAAATAAAATAATTTATTCACAAATTTTTTCTTTCATTTATGATATATTTTCTTTTAAAGTTATCTTTACAACATTCATCATATCCATTTTTGTATTTAAAATAAAAATGTGACATGATTATAGATAATAAATAACACAAAATATAATACTTTTTTTTGTAAAAAAAATTTAAGTAATGCATGATATTGACAATGTAGCAGCTGACTTCCCCTTAGCAATTAGTATATTACCACTCCATTTTTTGGTGATGTAAACACTAATGATTTTTAAATTAATAACCAAAGTGATTAAATAAGAAATAAGAAAAAATTGTTTAACATTAAATTTAGTATACAGCTTTATATAGTTTTCTATTCAAAATTAGTAAAATAGTTGATTAAATGTATTAGGGATGGTATCACCTGGTAACTAAATATAGAAGCTTAATTTTAAGTAAATCTAAAGATTAAAGAAGATGAATATTTTTAGAAAAATTTATTCCTAATTTTTACAACCTTTTTTCTATAAATTTAATATTAAACTCAACAATATATTCAGAAAAATATCTTAAACTTCTAAATAACATATTATGTAATAAAATATTTATAATTTAAACCTTTGGAATACATCCCATAAAAATTCTCTTGAAGGCATAGGTGAACTAAATGTTGCCATTTGCTTTTTATGTAAAACACGACCTAAAAATTAACTAAAAAAATCTAGAAGTTATAATAACAAAAAGAATAAAATAATTTTTAATAATAATAAGTACAATCGTAAAACTGTCAACTTTTTAATTATGCAACAAGTAGCGTTCGAATCGATTTTTAACAAATATATTCAACGCAGATAATGATTGTAAAATGTCTATAACTGTGATACTACAAAATGATGGGTGACAAATGACTCATCGGACTTCAGACTTTAACTATAAGTATATAAACCTTAATAATAAGTATAAGTAATAATGTGTTAATCTTTTTTCTATGGTCATAATGTTAGGTATTGTAAATTTCAGCCTAGATACATTAACAACATTAGCAATCAATTTTGTATTTACAAGTAATGTGTTAGGCCGATATTGTTATCATACATTTTTTCTTATCAAAATACAAGGAAGATAATAATATTACTAAAATTTTTCAATATTAAATTTTTAAAACAAAACATTTTTTACAATTGGCTTTGACGTATCCATATATTTTTACGTATTTTTCAATTTTGAGTATTTCGTATGACTTAATTTTATTTTTCATATTTTTTTGATGAAGATAAAATATTACTAGACTAAATTTTTTCTAGAAATTTATAATGCTATTATAAATAACAAGTTTATGAATAATTAGTAAAATAAAAATTTCGTTGTAAGGTTCATTATTTAATGTACGAAATAAAATATATTATCTACTTCGAACAGCAACATTTTAAAATATATGTTTTTAAATTCGTAAATATAAATATATATATTAATTCCTTTTTTAATAATACTGAACAATGAAGTACAAATACAGAAAAGCATTAATTTTCGTATACTTTTCAAGCTATTACTGCAGCTGTTTTGGTTCCTCAAGTGGAAATTCTTCTAGGACAGATTTTAAAAATGAATCTTCAACTGAAATTAATGTGGAACAATATGTTCCTTATGGGCCTTTAGTTAAATGCTCATTTTTGTAAGTTAACATTTATTTTTTTATGTATAAAAAAATATTTTATAAATGTATAATATAATATAATGTATATAATATATTTTTAACACTAACTTCTTAATTATCAAGGACATAAGCAAAAATAGAAATTCGATTTAAATTATGATAGTAAAATAGAATTTAATTATTTAAGTAGTATGTTTCAGAGACATTGAAGAATTTTGGTGTCAGGGGCTATGTTACAAGTTTATTTTATAATGATAAACTTTTATGTTTAAATAAATGATTATGAGTACATAACTTTTATTACATATTATTGGGTTGAGGAAATAGTAACTCCCATAAAACATTTATAATTTTTTATTTTTATTAAAAATGGTAGGGTTAACAGTTAACCCTACCATTAAAAAAAAAATCAAATATAGTTACTATATTTGATTTTTTTTTTATAACTAGTTAGCCTATAGGCATTATTTTTATTTACAATAAGATTTGTTCTAAGACAATATTGACATAGAACAACATTTAATTTAAAAATTGTCTATCTAAGAGGCCAATAAACTTTAAATTTGCATACATTAAGAAAGCAAAATTACCAATTACTGTATTTTTATTCATTTTATTAATTTAGAATAAGGCGTAAATCTCTTAAAATTCTGATGATTTATAGATAAAAATTTTGGACTATAGAGAAGAAAATTTTTTTGCCTTACTGTATAAATAACTATACATTCTACCTTATAAGTGTGTAATAATTAACTTACATAAATACTTTTTTTTTACACTGAATATTCAATATTTTAATAGAATTATTAATAACTTATTTACTAACTTGTTATTCTAACAATTTTAGACCTATGGAATTCTTAGAATGTGAGTATCCAGTTAACTATGATGGCAACAAAACTGCAAGAGATGAAACTGGACTTGGTGGTTGTTTAAAAGTGAATTCAACATAATAAAAATAATTTTTTTACTTATAAAAGATTACATAAGATAGTATATTTTGTAGTTTGGTGGTAGCTATAGATATGAAGATGTTGAAAAAGCTGTAGCACAATGTGTAGTTTTACCTGGAATCGAATGCCATGGAGCAAAAACTTTTTATAGAGATGGGTTTCCTTGCGTAAAGTAAGCTATTAAATTATAAATATTTAAAAATTACATTATAATTATTAAGAATTTGTTTTTAATTTTTTAATAAACATATTGTCGTATTGAACACATTATTATTTCCATTGAAATTATGTATTTGTTATTCTATGATACAGATTTTTACTTTTAATATTACTTTTTAATGATTTATTTACAAATTAAGTTAATTGTAATTTATTTTTAATCTTAATTATTATATTATCTATTGGTTGTCTCAATATCAATAGTATTTCCATACTACTGTATTTAAATATTTATCTTATGACTATTATTTTTTTTTTTTTAGGTATAATGGTTATTATTTTCTAACGACACTTTTATATTCAATACTGCTAGGATTTTTAGGAATGGATAGATTTTGTTTGGGTCAAACTGGTACAGCTGTTGGAAAATTGTTAACATTAGGAGGTGGTGGCATATGGTGGATTGTCGATGTAATACTATTGGTAACTAATCAACTTTTACCGGAAGATGGAAGCAATTGGAATAATTATGTTTAATGTTTATTTACTCTAAAATAAGTTTCATAAAGATTGTATAATAAATTATTATTTGAGTTCTTCAAAAACTTTCATGGTATTAACTTTATCTTGCTCAACTTTAACCCAATTATCTTTATTATGTCTAAACATTCTTAAATCTACTTTTGAAATTATTATTGAACCACTCATTGTTGAACTTAATTGTGATTCATGTTTCAAGAGTTCTGTCATTATACTAGTACGATACTTCAGATCTGCTACTTTCCACAAAGAATCAAATACTCGTGAACCACTCTTTGATATTGCTAATGTTGTATAGTGTCCCTTTTAAAAAATATGTTAAAACATCACATGATTTTATTTAATTCAACTAAATTAAAAAGTGTAATAAAGTTTACTTTTAACTTCCGTAACATTTTTTCACGACTTTTTTCTCCAATGAAAATGCTTTCAAAGTAAGCATTACCAAGATAACTTCCTTTCACATCACAAAATATATGAATAAGATTATCAATATGTAGATTTAACAAATTATTCACTATCTAAAAAAAAATAAAGTATTACTAATAATAACAAAAAATGAATTATATATTACTTTAATAGGTTTGTTAAACTTCAATAAATTCTGAACTATCATAGATCCATGAATATGAACAGGTGCTTCCTTATTTGTAAAATCATAATTTTCAAATAATTTTAACCCAAGAATTAGTAAAATAGATGTACCATTATCGGTTTCTTCTTTACATTTCAACATTTCACACAATAACTATGCAATTATATTGCAAAATATAAAAAAATTTCTTTATAACTGAAATTTAATACTATATTTACTTGATAAAATAAAGTTTGTTTGCATTTAAGTCGCAAACATGCACTTGACATTTCTAATAATACTCCTGTATAACCTTTATTAATGATTTCAGACATTTTACTTTTTAATTTATCAAACATAGCTTCAAACTGAAATTTAATTTATATAATTAAAAATATTTAAAGATTGACTAAAAAAATGTATACTTGTGTAGAATCTGTTGTTGTGGCTAGTATTTTTTGAATGCTAAAATTTCCATTATGATGAACTGATAATTCCTCAAATGCTTTGTCAAAATATTTTTTATAAATCGTTTTCTTGACTTCACACGGAGCCTCTTCAATTACAACATCAAGTAATCTAAAAACATAAGGTTATCAAAATGTTCAGTCATAAAAAAGTAACATTTTGCACTCTAACATTAGATTTTTATTTATACCTTGAAATTGAACTATTATCTAAAATTTGTAAGATTGTTATGGATGAACCAGAGTTATCTTTAATTACACATGTATTCATTATCTTTTCTATTAAAACTTTTAACCTTTTTTTTGATACTACTCCAATACATTTTAATAAAACTTGCAAAAGACCAGAAATAATATCACTAGCTAACATTTCTAAAAAAAATATAATATAATACTTTTTAATTAACAATAAATACACTTAATTTTTAAAAATAATAACACCTGCCTGATAACTGTGATGAATTAATAATATAATCTCCATATTTTTTTAATATTTTTCTATGTTCTTTATTAGTTTCAATCACATCTCCTTTTTGATCAGATAATTTAGAACTTAAATAAGGTCGTCCACATAGGCATGCAATACAACTTCGAACAATATGATTGGCATAAGTATCCCAAATAAATTCTTCCAAATTATTCAGTACAAATTTACACAACTTGGTTATCCAATTAATGTAGATAACTTTTTCAGGAGTGTTATTTAAAGCCTTATAAAAACATAGAACAAAATTTAATAAATAAATGTTTGTTTCAAATTTATATCATAAGAGGGATGGTGTGGTCAAATTGGTACCACGGCAGTGCTTGACGTGCAATGCCTAGGATTTAATACTCAGTCACAGGCGACTTTATTTACGGAGCGAGAGATTAGTTCAGTAATTGGAGTTGCCATATTTCTCTACAATGACGATTAACCACTAGTCCCGAAGTATCAATGGTTAAGAAACCTTCTCCTTTGGGGTAAGCCATTACAACCCTAAATGGGCTTATAAAACGTACAACAAAAAACTGTTAAATGATCATTTATAATAAGTTATTAATAAAAAGTTTAGTTTTTTTTTTTTTTTTTTTAAAAAAATTGCACATCAAACTTAAATTTAATGGTTAATAAAAACTGTTAAACTCAATGGGTAAACTCCAAATTTTGCACATCTCTTTATCAACTTCATCAAATTGTATTAAAAAAGTCAAAAATAAAAATTGTTTTTCAGTTTTTTATAATGGTATAATTAATGCTTAATTAGTAAAAATCTCAAAATTTAAATGTGATAGAAAAAATCTGAAGCTAAATTTTGAATCAGTGTTAAAGTTGCATATAGAATTCACCTAAATATTGTAGACAAGATAAAATTTTTCATTATTTCTTGTCCTGTGAAACTAGATAAAATAATTGCTCTTTAGTTAATTTTTTTTTTAATTCTATTAATTTGTTTAAATCATTTATTTGAGCTAAACTTTGAATTCATTTTTCTTATGTATTAATATAATTTGATAACTTTTCCTTTCCAGATGATTTACATTAAACATTTTAAGTAAGTAATTTTAACATACATATCCTCTACTAGTAGCAACATGAAGTAGTTGTTGGAGGACATGGCTAGCAAATTGATCATTACAAATTAATCTTAATTCCTCATCAAATTTGTTTATAATTTTTATAATAATTTCATCACTTGCTTCAGGGAGTAAATTATCCACAATACGAGACACAACTTGATTGCTGCAATAATTAATTTCATTGCCATCCAACTGTTTAAATACATTTCCCACAAATAAAACTGAAATTATTATTATAACATTACCATTTCATTTAAAAGGAAAACTATATGCTAAAAATTTCTAAGCATTACATTTAATGAAATGTAATTTAAAAAACCCAGCACAGGGGGGTCGCGGCACAGTGGTAATGTGGCATAGTTGGATTAAGTATAATGATATCTGACAGTGATAAAAATCACTATAAAAAAAAAACGCTTCGATGCAAATCTTTAGATAGTGTTTAATTTTAAAAAATTGGTGGATTATTCCAAAAGCTTCATAAACTGCTAGTTCCTTATTAATATTCTGATTAAGATAAAGTATGTCGAATGAAAAAGGGATTATTAAAAAATAGTATTTCCCATAAAAAAATTATATTGATCAATACACTTTTCAATAAGTTATAGCATTATAAAGTTAAAAATGTAAAAAATAAAATCGAGAATTTTCACACAATAATAGCATTCGGTAGCCATTTTCACCGTGAAGACAAAATAAAGTCCGAAATTTTTTTTTTATATAATAAAGAACATTACATTAACTTTAATTTAAGATATATATAAAAGTGTCAGACTTTCCGGAACACTTTCAAAAGTTAAGTTGAAAAAGTTCTACTTTCTACATTCATTTTTATATTTTGATCCCCCCTGTATTAAGGAAAATGTTCCGATTTAAAAAAAAGGTATGTCGAATGAAAGATCTATATAAATACTATTTCTCATAAAAAAATTGTAATGACCCATACATTTTTCAAAAAGTTATAGCATAATAAAGTTAAAAATGTAAAATACAAAATCGAAAATGTTCACACAAAAATAGCATTCAGTAGCCATTTTGACCGTGAAGATAAAATAAAGTCCGAAATTTTTTTTTTACATAATAAAGAACATTACATTAGCTTTAATTTAAGATATATATAAAAGTGTCAGACTTTCCGGAACACTTTCAAAATTTTTTTTATTAACTTTGATGTTTGTTTTCACCATGAAGATAAAATAAAGTCCAAAATTTTTTTTTCCATAATATAAGTTGTCATTTTAAATCCCCCCCTGTGGGCAAGTAAAGAGTCACATATAAAAAAAAAATATACCAAATGAAAGGTAATTATATCATGAATCTATATAAAAAAAAATTATATTGATATGTTCATTTTTGAAAAAGTTATGGAAATTTTAAGTAAAAAAAATTGAAAAAATTTCGAAAATTAGCGATTTTTAAATTTGTAATTTTTTTGGAGGTTTCCCCCATTTACGGGGAACGAGGGAAATTTTTTCACTTTTTGAAGGTAATGTCTTCGACCAGATACAATTTGTGATCTTTTGACGTATCATTGAAAGAAATCTGTTCGGTGAGAGCTGAGAAAAAGTGGTAACAGACACAAAAAAATAAAAAAAATAAACACATCTTAGTAAAACCAATACCTTCTCAGCTTCGTATCGAAGCTAAAACTAATTAACAAAAATATTATTACTATAGACTTGCAAAACTAAGAGAAAAACGGTCTAAAGATTACCACAATGTAAAGTGTATAAAAAATAATGATAGGAAGATGTTAACAAGCGATTATAATGTGAAAAAAGATGGAAAAAGTATTTTGAAAAATTACTGAATGAAGAGTATCAAAGAGACACATTAGAGGATATCTCGAGGAACGAGGGACTGGCAGATTTAATTAGTGAGAAAGAGGTATGGAATGCGATATGAGGACGGCTAATGTGTGCTTAGATGATGTGAGAGACTGTGTCAGGTAGAAATTTAGGATCACCAGCTAACACTAAATTATTTGGGATAAAAGTGTGAAAAAAAGAAGAATTAATGATAATATTATTATTAAAAATAGATAATTAAAAATCAAAAATATAATTATTGATACATTACGTCTATCTTCTTGACTTTCAAAAGTTTCATTGGATACTTTTAAAATATTTAAAAAGTACTGAAAATCATCTTCTTCAATTTGAAATCCATGTCCAAATTTTCCTCGTTTAGAAAATTTCCTAGCGCGTTGATAACAAGACATACGTTTCTTTTTACGTTTTAGGGTATTACTATATGTTTGAATATCTTCCATAATGCTTAAAAAATTGTGTAAGCAACTCAAAAAATAATTTATTATTTGATTAACTAATTTAACAAAAATAAAATAGTATATTTAATTTGTCAAAAATTTGATAAATACAATACTAATTGCCGTCAAATGGCTAAATTTATGAATCACATTGACTCTAGCCAATAATAATCATAATAATAAGATTTTGAGTGAATCTTGATAAGACAAAAGTTTTTAAACAAGCTGATAACATTATTATTCAAAATATTTACTATATTGTATACTGTATAACATAAAATATAAATATGTATACGACATACGTAGAACAAAACATGAAATAAATAGAAATATGTAAATTGCAAATATTTCATAGTTTATTTTACTAGTTTCTATTATAGATATATCACATAACTTATTTAAAACTACTTATTTATATCAGAGATAAGATAAATCTTTACCTTATCTGTGCTTATATAATAAAAACCTTTTTTGAATATTTTTGCTATCAATGTTATTTTATTATTTGTTGTGAGTGATAACAAATAAATATTGGAGTGCATTTTCTGGCATGATAATATTTTTATTATTGAGGCAACTTTTATTTTTTATATTAACGTAGTTTAAAATTTTATCAAAATTTTCATTAAAGAATATCCTTTTGTTTAAATAAATCATAATATCATGTCTTTATTTCATTAAATTACTTTATAAATCGAATCAAATTTCAACTTAAAGTTTCACCAAATTACTATTTTTTTCAATTATGTACAATATTAATCTTTATGTAAAGTTACTATGCGTCGTTTTTATTTAAAAATATTATGTGCTACACGACAATAAATGGTATGTATTAATACAACTTAAAATTTTAAATTTAAATATTGCTATAACAACCAGACTAGACCAATATTTTTATTATATTAACTTTTTTTTATAAACCTAATACACTTATTAAACCATTTTCTATTTGCTGTTCTATGACTATAAGTTCATTGAATCATTTTTAATACTGAATTTTTATACATAGTATTTTTATTGAAAATTCTCTTATAACTTTCAAAATATATATTTTTGATGATTGAATTATAAATCGAGTGTATCAAGGGTATGATTAAGAGAGGATAATGGGAATAATTCCCTCCCAAAGCAAAATTATTTTCATGATGAAATTACAAATTTTGTTTACTTATAAAAGATAGTCATAAAAATGTTTTTATATTTATCCCCTTACAATATTAAACCCTAATTACAATATTGGAACAAAATATGTTTTAATTAACCCTCCTGTAAGGCATTTACTGGACACATTTTGATTTTTCTATAATATTAAACTTTAACTTGAATAAATGTAGAACTCTAAACAAGAAAATGTTCAATAAAAGTATTTAGTTTATATGTTCAGTACTCAATATGGTTAATAAACATATAATTGTTGAATGTTTTTTGAGGATATTATGTTTATGTATTCAATTTGCAATATCATTCACCCAAAAAATAAACTTTTTAATATGAACAAATTTATTTATTTTAACCATTTCAATTCATTATGTCACTAAACTTTGTTTAGAGATTGATTAACAAATTATTTATTACTATTTTTAATATAATAAAAATCTATAAAGTTTAATTAAGATTATACTTAAACAATAATAAAATAAGTAAGTTAAATTTACCTTGAATGAATTCAATTTTTCAAAAATGAATTTGATTATCTATATATATTAATTGTAGTTTGTTATTTGTGAATTAATATATTTGTATTTTTTTTAGATTTATAAAACTATTCTACTTATAAAAAAACAATGATTTTTTGATTTAAAGTTTGTAATAAGTAATTTTTTTATTTATCGTAATGCCTCATCACTATGGTCCTGGAATTCCAATGCAAGTGCGTCCTGAAAAAAAACTTACTAAAGATGCAATGGATAGATATTTGCGTGACAGAAATGATTTAATTTTAGTCATTCTTCATGCTAAAGTAGCCCAAAAGTCATATGGTAATGAAAAACGATTTTTCTGCCCACCACCTTGTGTTTATTTATTTGGTAATGGATGGCGTGTGCGACAACAACAACTTCTACAGGATGGAATAACTGAGATGAATTCACAAATGAGTGCTTTTATCGGAATTGGTAGTGCAGATCAAGATTTACAACCTCTTGATCTTAATAATAATAAACAATATTGTGCAGCTAAAACATTATTCATATCAGATTCTGATAAACGAAAACATTTTATGCTTATGGTAAGAATGTTTTATAATAGTGGATATGATATTGGGACATTTCATAGTAAGAGAATTAAAGTAATATCTAAACCTTCCAAAAAAAAACAATCATTGAAAAATGCTGATTTATGTATTGCTAGTGGAACTAAAGTTGCATTATTTAACAGACTCAGGTCACAAACAGTTAGTACACGTTATTTGCATGTTGAAAATGGAACATTTCATGCTAGCTCTACTCAATGGGGAGCTTTTATTATTTACTTATTAGATGATGATGAAAGTGAAAGTGAAGAGTTTAATGTTAGAGATGGTTATATTCATTATGGTAGCACAATAAAGCTGGTATGTAGTGTTACAGGAATGGCTCTACCACGATTAGTTATTAGGAAAGTAGATAAACAAACTGCTCTTCTTGAAGCAGATGATCCTGTTTCTCAACTTCATAAATGTGCTTTCTACATGAAGGATACAGATCACATGTATTTGTGTTTATCTCAAGAGCGAATCACAAATTTTCAAGGCACTGCATGTCCTAAAAGTTCAAATAAAGAAATGATAAATGATGGAGCTTGTTGGACAATTATTAGTACTGACAAAGCTGAATATCAATTTTATGAAGGAATGGGACCTGTTAACTCACCTATTACTCCAGTACCAGTAGTACATGGTTTGAACACAAATGGTGGAGGGGACGTTGCTATGTTAGAATTAAGTGGGGAAAATTTTACCCCACATTTACAAGTATGGTTTGGGAATGTCGAATCTGAAACTATGTTTCGTTGTCAAGAAAGTATGATTGCTGTAGTACCAGATATTTCATCTTTCAGAGGAGATTGGTCATGGGTAAAACAGTTGACTCAAGTTCCCGTATCACTCGTAAGAAATGATGGTATTATTTATGCTACTGGTTTAACATTCACATATACTCCAGAACCAGGGCCAAGGAATCGGGTTACATCTGCAGATGAAATAATGAGAACACCAAGTTCAACTAACCATTTTTCTTTGTCGCATATAATAAGCTGATGTTTTTGTATTAATTTTATTTTAATTATTTAATGAATACTGTGTAATGACTGACAAATTTATATTGAATTATATAAAAAAAATTCTTACAAGACAATTTTATTTGAAAATAAAGTTATATTTTCTAAAACTATTTGTAGTATTAAAATATCTTGTATGCAGTATAAAATTTATTACATTAACAAGGGGGAATACAACAAACAAGAATGTATTTAAGGGGAGTGATTGAAAAGGATCATGCTATTGATATAATTTAGGTTATAAATTATATTGATAGCATGATCTTATATCCATAATTATGAAATATGCCTTTTATTTAATCATCACTGCTTTTTAATAATAATGTTAAATTTTTTATAGTTTATCTTTTTTATAATCATTATTAGGGTTACCTATTTACTCTAAAAAAACACTTAAATAAACATTTTTTTTTTTTGATCCAAAAATATTGAAATTTATATACACTATTTTGAAATATATTACAAATATAACTTTTCTATATAGATATGAAAAAACAAAGTAAATAAACATGGTCAATATATCAAATCAAATTCAAACACAGTATAACTAAAACTAATAATAAACTTTCTAATAATTCATAATTTCTACAAAAAGTCGACTAAACAACAATTTTAAAAAATTAGAAAAATAAAAAGATTAAGATTTAATAAACAAATTTGTATAATAATTATAAGCATTATTTATTATGTATGAATATTCCTTTTTATATTTTGATTCATTTACGTTTTTTTTTAGGTTTTCATGTAGAATTAAAAGTTAAATTTCACGTTATATTATTGGAAATATTTTAAACCGTTAAGGTTAATTATTTACCATTGACCTAATCTTTTTTCAGGAAAATACTGAAGTCCTTCTTCAACGATAGTATCATGTAATCTCTTCATTTGCCATTTTTCTAGACATTTGATATTGTCATAATGTTTTTTGAGTGCGCCGAAGTTCAATTTATTATTTATATTACTCATTAATTTATTTATATTTTTACCAAAATCTTTTATACTATTCTTTTTTGAATGTTCTAAGTGATAATCAAATTGATTAGATACACAAGTAATATAATCTTTCGAAATTGGCAGTTTTAATTCTTCAAATTCAACCTTAATTGAATTCAGTATTATTAAAAAGTCACTTAAGTAATCATTCAGATTTAAGGGTCTATTGTTTATTTCAATTGCGAACTCGCAAAGTCTATGTGTAATAGTAAAAGCTGTGCTTTCGATAACATTTAATATGATACTATAACCCAAATCGTAATTTTTTTTTTCTATACACGTATTGATTACTGTGGACAAACTCTTATTTAGAATCTCTTCCTTTAAAATAAAAGTATATTTAAATATATCACTTGAATATCTGGGACATTTTAAGAAAGGATTATTGGGACCCAAATCTTTTGCATAAAACTTATGATCATTTAATATTAAGTTATTAAAACGTTCGTATTTAGATAAAAGTTCGTTTAAACTATCTGGTGTGACTTTATTTTGACTGTGTATATTTATAAAATTGATTGCAAGAATAAAAATTAAAAGTAAATTTATTCGAAAAAAAAACATATTACCGAAATCTTCCATAGGATCAGTAGTATATTACTTGGTTTTTCAATTACAATGAAAAATTATTATTTTAGTGATTTTTTATTCAACTTTTATAAAGATTAATTTGTTTAAAAATAATTTAAACTTATGCTAACATTTGAACATTTTTTAAAAATTTGTTACAATGCAAATAATTTTTAAAATAAATTAATATGAATGACTTATTTATTTATATTACTATTTCAATAAATCTTAATCATTTTTATTTGTAAAAATACTAATATAAATTTGTTCGTGATTTATTGTGCAATAACAATGTACATAACAATCTACCACATTAATAACTCAGATACATCATCTTTCGTTTTCATAAACTATTAAGTAGGTTTTAGAACTAATGTATATCGGAATAAAACTTATGTATGTTTTATTTGAGTTTTTTACACACATTTTAAAAATTGCTTAAATAATTTAGAACATTTAAAATTCAAGTATAAAACTTTTTTTTATTAAAAAGGCTAACTTCATACATTTATTTAATTATTATTTTATTTTATACTTTTTATAAAATTAAATCATTAGCCTTAAAAACTAGAGGTGTTTAAACATGGCAACTACAAATTATTTTTTCATACTTATTAACATGTTTCGGAAAGTTTACGAATAAAAATATATATTAAATTAAAGATTTAACAGTCTTTAATTAAAAAAAAAAGTTTGCCTTCAATAATAACACGCTATTAAGAATAACTTTAATTTGATACATAATTCGATTCAACGTCCCAGAATATTTTCAAAAATTAAACTACAGAAATTTGTTTATAAAAATTGCGATTCTTTTTTATTTTTTCGTAGTTAAAAAATTGTAGGGACTAATTTATTTTTAATGCTGTAGTTCATTTCAAAAGCTTTATTTTGTTGTTATTGGTAAAAAGTTGTCAAATCTCGGGATAATTAGAAAAATTGAGTTAAAATTTTTTTTGGTCTATAATGATTTATTTCACATCTTTCCTGTATTTAGGTTTTTATTAGATTTTCATAAAATGTAAAAAGCTTATTGACAATAGTATTGTCCATATATATTTTTAATTATAAATAAAAAAGGTATTGCTTTTATCATGTGTTTTTTTATGTCTGTCCATGATAATTCTCAGCTCTCGCTGGACTAATTTTAATGATCAATACGTCAAAAGAATATAATTTTAATTTAATTGAATTATTCGTTATTCAAAATTATAAAAAACCCTCGATTTTAGAAATTTAAAAAAAAAATCTCAAAATTACGCTCCTATAAAATATCAATGATAAAATTTTTTCATAAAACATTGTAAACATGTTAAATTTAATTATTATTATTTATTTTTTAAATAAACTGTACCACAATTCAACATTTTTAAATACAAAGTAAAATAAAAATTATACTGAAAACTTCACTATGGAACAGAATAATTCTATAATTATTATTATTATATTAACTTTATATAATTAGACAAAAACTTCAATTTAGTAATGAATATCCAGTACAATCAAGCATTGGTTCAGTAGATACCAGTGTAGTATTAAAAGCTGACAGTGATTAAAACACTATAATTTAAAATGCTGCAATTCAAATTTGTATTTTAATTTTAGTAAGAATATTTTATATTACAGCATTAATATAAATTTTTTTAAATATATTGATGTTATAAGTTTTCAAATAAATTACATAATATATTATTTTTAGCTTCGATGAGAACTATATACGACTTACTGAACACCCTGTTTATTCCTACCGCCGTTTATACCTCAGGTATAACGTTAGTCCTACTCGTCCAACAACAAAACACGGCTATACCTAGTGCATGATACGTTTACGTACTTAAGTCGCTTTACATGTATATATTCTAATTACTATTAAAATTTATATATTAACACGCTTTATTCTCATTAAGGGATATAGAGTGTATTCATTCCGATTACAAAGGATGATTCTCATATCGTCATTTTTCGTCACTACCTAAATGTTCCGGGAGTGGGTAATTTACGCGCCTGCTGCTTTCCTTGGATGTGGTAGCCGTTTCTCAGACACCCTCCCCGGAATCGAACCCTGATTTCCCGTTACCCGTTACAACCATCGAACTAAAAAGTTAAAAATAATTTTTAAAATAAGCTTGAAACAATAATGAACGAAAAATACTAGTATTATTGTAATTAATATTTTTTGTTCAACCCCGGGGGCCGTTTACTAATACAATGTGATTGTTTTAACGCTAGCCAATCAATTTTTTTTTTTCGAATAATAACTGTTTTGTAAATTTTTTTTTTTTACCTTTTGTTAGTTACATATGTTCATCATTTATGTTTTATAGGGGTGTCAATTTTTTATTTATTTAGATGGAAACATATACAGAGTGATTTTTTTATCATAACCCATTCAATTACTTGCAGAATTTATATAATTTAAAAATTTTTTTTTTTGGTTATAATATTATATATGTATAATCCATAAGAGATTACAAATACAGGTAGCTAATTAGATTTTTATGACATTGCTGTCATAGTCACGGAATGTTTATTGTCAATTATGACTATCAATAGATATAATTTCTTTATTGCCAATTAGTATATTTATAAACTCACAACAATGTGTCTTACTACCATTGATAATAAAGGCTATACCTTCAAATATTATCAAAAAAACCAATTAGCTATCTGTATTTGTATTCTCTATAGGATGTATTAACTCAAAAAATTTTGAATCTTTAAATGGTTATATCTAATAATAAACAATAAAAATTTGCTTTTTTTTATAAATTTTAATATATTTTGTTAATAATAAATATTATGTAAATTTACAGAAAATAATTAAACTATTTCTTTAACATAAGTAGAAGTGTTCTAAATAAAATTATAAATATAATATGAATTCAAATAAATATAGCTTAAAAAACACACTTTTAAAGCACATCAAACAAAAAAGTTAAAAACAAGCTTAAAACAATAATAAACGAAAAATTCTAGTATTATTGTGAAAAAAAGTGGGTTCAACTTTGTGTCATATTTTTCGTATATTGAATGTCCGACGCTTTTTCATGATTTAAAAGCATATTTTTTTAAATTATATTTATTTTTCACTTTTTATTTTTTTATGATATTGCTGTCACAGTCACGGAATGTTTATTGTCAATTATGACTAACAATAGATATAATTTCTTTATTGCCAGTTAGTATATTTATAAACTCACAACAATGTGTCTTACTACCATTGATAATAAAGGCTATACCTTCGAATATTATCAAAAAAACCAATTAGCTATCAGTATTTGTATTCTCTTATGTATTATATATGTATATTAACTCAAAAAATTTTGAATCTTTAAATGGTTATATCTAATAAACAATAAAAATTTGTTTATTTATATATAATATTAAGACACGTGCGCTGGTATGTGATGAAAACCAAAAATAAAATTATACAGGAATAGTACTGTCGGCGGATGGTGAGGGGGTGGGATGAATGCGTTACAACGGTCTAGTCAAGCCATAGAAGGTATTAATTTTATAAGATGTGTTTTATTTATTTTACTTTGGTCGTATAAATAAATAAAATACAAATAAATATAATTTATAATTCATAACAAATATCACAAGTTATATATGACATACATTGAAAGCCCATAATTTAAATAGGTTTTGTAATGATAAATTAGTGATATTATTAATGATAAATGATAGGTTTTGTAATTTATCTACATTATCACAATTACAATTTAAAAATTTTTAATTACACATTTTAATGTTTAATTTGATGAAAAATTTTGTAGTTTTAAATTAGACATGTAAAATTTTACTAAAAATTAAAATATAATAGTTTTGATTTTAAATATTGCCATGATTCAAAACTAATTTGCAACTTAAAAATATGGCCCATTTAGCTAGTAAAATAAAAACCTTTAAACAACAGTTAAAAATAAAAATAATTTATCACTGAACTATAGTACCTAGGAATAAAATTTAAATTATTATACATATTTAAACAAATTAATCATATTTTTACTTATAAAAATAATCACTATGTAATGTATTTATACAGGGTGTTCAGTAAGTCAGGAAACGGGTTTCTATTGTTCTCATTGTTACAAACAATGAGAACAATAGAAACCCGTTTCCTGACTTATTGAACACACTGTATATACTCAAGATGTTGATTCTCATTTATTAAATCAGAGTCTCAACAGGGTGCTGAAATTGTGCCTCTTTGAAAAAATTCTTCCAATTGATTAAACTATTAATATTTTCTATTAACCTTTTTTAAAATATTACTAATCACGAATATTCAATCACAGCCACTTCTAAGACTCCAAAGTCATTGATAATAACAATGCTGTGTACCTGCTAATATCGATGTCATAAAAAACCAATTAGGTACCTGTATTTGTAAACCCTTGTGTATTATACATGTATATTAACTAAAAAATTTGAAACTTTAAGTGTTTATATCTAATAAACAAATAAAGTTATACTAAAAATTCAAATGCCATTTACTATTAAATTAAAAACTCAAACCTATTATTAAATTCAAAATATGTGTTCCCATTTAAAAAAACAAAGTTGACACCCTTACCAAGTATAAGGGACGAACTTAAAAAGTATTACATAATTAATAATTCAAGAATAATGTGTAACTAAAGATAACCAAAAAATAAAAATGTTTAAATTATTATTACTCTGTAAGTAATTGAGTGGATAATGATAAAAAAATCACCCTGTTATTTAACTAGCTTATAAACTAAAAAAGGAACTAATTAAAAAAATGATTAGAATAACAACTTTTGGACCAGTATTTCAGAAGATATTAACAGTTTAATGTAATAACTGGAGTAAATGCTGCTATTTTTATTACGAGTCATTTCTTGGCTTCACTCCTCCTCTCGCCTAGGTATAAAAATGGTGTAAAAAAAACTTATAGCATTATAAAGTTAAAAATATAAAATATAAAATCGAGAATTTTAACACAAAAATAGCATACCGTTGCTAAGTGGTATCCGGGCGCTGTGGAGAGGAGGTAGTACCCTCTCCTGGCACAAGCCGCGAGACCACCAGTACGGTGGCGAGGACCCTCTGTATCTCATTACAAACAATGAGAACAATAGAAACCCGTTTCCTGACTTACTGAACACCCTGTATATATTCTAATTACTATTAAAATTTATATATTAACACGCTTTATTCTCATTAAGGGATATAGAGTGTATTCATTCCGATTACAAAGGATGATTCTCATATCGTCATTTTTCGTCACTACCTACGAACGGAGTTAAACGGGAACGCAACCAGTGAAGTTAGCCGCTGACTGCCCGGAGGGACTGGCTATGAGGGCAGCCCCCTCAAATCATATCACATTTATGAAAATGGAATCGAAAGGTGTAAATGTTACTTGTTCAATGCTGACGGGATACCAAAAAGGGTAATTGGTCGGACGAACGAGGTGTTGTCGGCTGGGCTGGATCTAGCCAGGGAGCAGGCGGGGCAGCTCTCCGACGTGATAGAGGTGTATCTACCACACAGGCGGGTGGTGAAGATGGCTATGGCACTTATAGAGAGCGTAAGATTGGCCGATCTTCACCTGACTAGCACGCAGGAGGCAAGATCACCTGCACCAACGTCGGAGAGCCGGGTGTGCCTCCAGGACGGTGCATCCCAGACGGACTACTGGTGAGACACTCACGTCCCACCATCTAGGGCTGTCGAGAACGCATCGTCCCCCCTCCCCCTCCAAGGTGAGAAGGTGGTAGCAGCTGAGTTTCCGCTTGTCGCCGCCAACACCAAGAAGCGGAGGAAGAAGAAGAAGAAAGGGAAGAGGAAAGACGCTGCGTGTCCTACTGCGGCCATCGCAGCGCCCTTGCCACTCAGCCCTTGCTCCCTTCTTCTCCAAGCGCTTCTCCCACCACTCCAACCCCCGCTACGGCCACCTTGTGGACAGAGGTGGTAAAGCGGCGGGGGTCCAAAAGGGTGGAATGAGTGACGACGGCTCCCATGGCGGAGGTCCCTGGTGAGCCCAAGCCTAAGCCGCAGCCACTGTCCCGAGGCCCGACTGCCGCCCAGCTTAGGGCAAAAGTCCCGAGGACGGAGGCGGTGGTGATTGGACCACTCAAGGAGGGGCAACGGTACGCCGCGGTCATAAAGAATCTATCTTTTTTTCTGATTACTCATAAACTTTAAACAGCTGTAACTAATTGAAAATCGAATAAAGAAAAAATGTTTTTCAATTGAATTGTTGATTTAAAAAAAAATTGGGGTTATCATTTGGATATTTAAAGTTGATGAATTTAGGGTCTAAGAAATGATAGGAGAAAATTAATTTTTCATATATATTAGCCTATCAAAGAATCATTATTGTTCAAAAATTAAATAATAATCAGCTCTAATATTTTCGAAGATATTTCGCGAGATGTAGTTATGAATCACTTAAGTGAATTAAAACTACGCCTCATTTTTGTTTTATTAATAAAATATTTTATAATGAAACAAAAATAATGTATTGCTACATTTTAACAAACAATTCGTGACTGAGACAGTAATGTCATAAAAAATTAAAAAGTGAAAAATAAATATAGTTTAAAAAAACACGCTTTTAAACAATATTTATTTTTATTAGTTTCATAGAATAGACAAATGTTAAAGACGTTTTTGTTCAAATATAATAACCAGAGCTCGTATATTATAGCATTAATAAAATTGATTTTAGCGATTCAATATGCATTTAAAAACACCACATTAAGCGCTATAAATAGCACTAATAACAAAAAAATATGCAAATTACAATTTCAATATAAAATTCTTTTAATAATAATTTTTTTTAAACATAAATATTTAAAACAGCTTATATGTTACAGTTAAATATTTTATTTTATAGTATATATTATTCCATTAACTTCTATTTTATATATTTCGAGTTGTCAATAATGTATAGAAATGTCTTAACTCCCTTGTAAAAAAAGGAAGAGGGGTTCTTTCCAATCTAGCAATTATAGGTTTGCCGAAAGCTTAGCAAAGCCTAGCGATGGTATTTCTCTTACACAATAGAATTGTTAATTTTATTTTTCCTACAAAATTTGCTTACTTTTTGTGTTATATCAGTTTTTTTTATAAGGTTTTAATTTAAAGAAAATTCGTTTAAATTGGTGTAATCAGTTCCAAATATTTAAAAAATACACCAACTATAACTATTAATCATGAACAAAAATTGTTAGGACTAAAGGGCTATGGATTCAGAATTTGCACTCAAACATTAACCAGTAAAATTACTCCCGTTTTAATTGAGGGACGTTTATAATTTTGTACACATTAATTTAACATAAATATATTATGATAGAATCTTAAACTGTTGTAACTTTATAATTTATTCAAATAAAATTCTTCCAACTAAAAAAACTAAGTTTAAAATATTTTTATAACACAACAGCATAACTGTTACATTATACTGAACATAATTTATATTCTTGATAACAGGATAAAAAATGTACGTAAATATTAATATTTTAATTAAAATATTTATTTAATTATATCTACATACAACCACATAAAGAAATACTAATTTATTTTAGTACTAGTGATTATTTATATATTTATATTTATAAAGGTAATATAACACAGAATGTGCTCTTTTTTTTTACCTACATATTTCTGCATAGTATATATGTCTATAGCAAAGTGTTTTAATTAATAAAAATTAATTATAAAACAAGTAAAAAGGAATATAATTTTAAAACACGGTTAAAAATAGTAAAATAAAATAATAAACATTAATTTATTAAAATCCTCCTCTAAAATTGTTTGACGAAGTTTGAAAACCACAATTTCCTGGATAACCAGGAGGTGGATTGTTAATATTAGGCATTTGAAGAGGAGGTTGAGACACTACAGTTGGTTGATGTTGAACAGCTTGTTGACCACCTTGTTGATTGCCATTATTTTCACCCCATCTGCTAACTCTTTCTCGATTTACTGGTGCAGTTCCATTATTATTATTATTTATATTATTCATAACATTAGCTGGTACATTATATCCACTACGACCTCTTTGATTACCACTTGCATAATTACCTCGGTTGGTATTTTGAGAACTAGGTACGTAACTGTTAACATGAGAATTTTGACTACTATAACCACCACGACCACTACCACCTCTATTAGAATAAACTCCACGATTTGGGGAACCATAGCTACCACGGTTAGCATGGGCTCCCCGAGATCGGTTGTTTGAACCACCTCGATTGCGATTGGATCGATCCACTATAAAATTGAAGTATAGATTAAAGATTTATAAAGATATAAGTATAAAACCAATTATTTTAATTTTAAATAACATTAGTCACAAGTGAATAATTTTTATTACATAAGTATATATATTTATTTAATTGATTAGATATTTCCAGAGAATACTTTATAGTATATTCCAAACACAATTCAACATTTTTATAATTTTTACACTAAAACAATTATTAATACTATTACATTTTAATTTAAAATTCATAAATTTAGTTAAAATAGTTCCCACTAAAGCATTTTGTGTAAAATTATTTATTTTATTCGCTTTTGTTAAATTATATCACTATTTTTTACTGTTTTTTTAACTGTTTATATTAATCCTTTACAAGTATAACTTACTTTTTCCAAATACTCCCGCAGCAGCCATTTCAGCTAATTCAAAAAGTTTAGGATTGACAACCTGTTTGGCTTCTTGAAGTACAGATATGAGATCTTTAGCTTGACGAGCATTATTAGGAGTAACAAATGTAAATGCAGTCCCAGTGCGACTAGATCGCCCTGTTCTTCCAATACGATGAACATAATCTTCTGATGAATTTGGATAATCATAGTTAATTACATACTTTACATCATCCACATCTATAAACATAATAGTTCATTTGAATTAATACTAAACTTTATACAACATATGACAAAATACATTAAATATTCTTGAGTATTGATGACTTTGAACCATAATATAAACATCAGTTATGTTGATATTATTATTTGTTAATTAGAAAAAATAATATTCATCATAATTTTAAATAAATCCCCTCTCCAATAAAAAGCTTTATTAATGATTTCTTAATAGTATCGTTAAATTTAAAATTATATATATATATATATGTGTACACTAAGAATATATTCTTATGACTGTTCTTGAAAATTTACTCAACTCCACAATATATTATTATTTTATTGAATATTTGGTCTAATAAAATAAATTGAAAAATAAGTAATTTTATTTAATAATAAAATAAAATTAAGGTTAATTAAATACCTAATAAATTTAAATAGAAATGTATAAACAAGTTAAATTCCCTAACTATACAAATCATTATACTTAGTTTATGTAAATAAATTATTATTATTTATTTTTCAATAAAGTACATGTTTAATAATGTAAATTGTAATTTATAAGGCATAATTCATAGGTTATAATTAATATATTTAACCTTTCATTAGGTAGGTCGGGTCTATCAGACCTAAATCTTTTCTTTTTTTGTTTCGTAATTGTTAAAATATATTTCTAAGTATGTCTATGTAATTGTTATTCACATTTAAAGAAATAAAGTTTTACCATACAAGAGTAAAATCAATTTAATTATATGGGTCTATTAGACCCATGGTATCTATTAACATAACATTTTTTCACCTACCTAATGAAGGGTTAAATATGTTGGATAAAATTTGCACACATAGACAGTAAAAAGTAATTTCCACCTTTATATTAGGAAAATTTACATTTAAGTGTTTTTTTTTTTTTTTTGTGAGTAACTTTGAGAAAAAACAGTTATTGTGTTTTAAATATAAACATAAAAAAATCAAAATTCCATTCAAAATTTAATCTTTTAATAATGTCTAAAGTAGGGATAAGGTTACCCTTTAATTATAAAATGAAATAAAATATATATAATACAAAATATTTATGTAAACAACAAAATGATGAAGTATAACATCACTTTCATTAAAATGAGACTTGGTCACAGACAGTTTTGTATGGAGAATGAAAGATCAAATCAATAATTAGAGATCAATCCATCTCTTTATTGACAGTAGAAATCAATCACCCTAGATTTTTATATCTTACACTACTCATATGATTCATTATAATTATATCATTATTGGACAAATATATTCGATAATATTGTTTCAATAAATAAATGTTTTTTTCCCACAAAGCCCCTCAATAGTTTGGAAATGAAAACACATAATTTTTTAAGAATTTCAAATATTTACATATAAAATAAAAATATTTAACGGACATAGAAATATAATTAGATACAATGTTAAATGTTTTAATTTAAGCAACATACACAACTATCTGGAATGAAGCATACACCTCAGTATGTAGATACCTGGGTTTCATTCTTTAATGCTGCCTTATGTAGATTTCTCTAATCTCTTTACCATAAACAATAATTTTAAGAAAAAATGTTAAATGTCAAAAGCATAACATTAATTCAAGTTAAGAGCATTCACAAAAAAAAAAAATCAAAAAAAAAAATAATAATAATAAACTAAATAAATAACCATTTGATATTGAATGAATAATAATTTTGAGTATAGACTAAATTTTCATATTTTTAAAAAGTTTTAAATATTATACTGATTTAATATAAAATTTGATTGAAAAAAATGTAGCTTGATTCAACCTAATTTTTTAATTTATAATTGATAGAGACATTTCAATCATTTTTTAAAAAGAATGAAATAACATTGAAAATATTTAAGTACATTCAATGTTATTCCAACCTTTTTAAAAATCTATTATCAAATTTTAACAAGACTAATACATTTAACAAAAATGTTATTGAAACATCTTTCAAATGCAGTTTATTTTTGTATATTAAGAAAAAAATGTGTAACAATACCAAGTATCAATATAAAAGCTAAAATAAACTACTTAATTTTATATTAAAATCAACAATTTTCTAAGCAATAAGTATAATAAGTAAAAATAATAATAATTCATGTAACTTTTTTTGGAGTAAGTATAAAAGATAAAATTTATAACGTGTACATTAATATAAAAAATAAATCCTCAAGACTTACTCAAATTGTGAGTAGAATTACCAAATTAAATAAAGGTTACTTCATATTAATAAGAACCTATTTAAATAAATATAATATTTGCACCTTCATATCAAGTTACTCCTCAGTGCCTATCGAGAATGTCGTATTTAGATTAATTATAGCAGCAGAAATTCAACTATCCGTTTAAAAAATACCTTAAAGCAACTTACTATATGATACTAGTTAATCAAATTTTTATTTAGCCATTGAGAAAATCTCATTTGATATTAAAGAATAGGTAAAAATTTTAATAATTATTTTCATTAAACACAATTCCTGAAGTTAGTTTCTAAAAGCTGATATGTTAAGTTTAACCATTTTTCAAAATGTAAAAACAAATTTTTAATTTCAATGGTGTTTATTTCAAATTGAAATTTTTAAAATGTAAAAAAATCTTAATATAACTGAAACATTATTTTTTTGGAAATTTATACAAAAAAAACTAAGAACTCATTTTCATAACCTATCAAATTTTGAATATAAGGCGCAGTAGAATTAATAAATAAAATCCTTACAGTAATCATGTAGGATGACTATTAAAGTATTCCCTTTATAAAATTGTATATTTTAAGATTTTAATAATTTAAGAAATAAAAAATCAGTCATAAAAATTTTTTTTGTGAGAACAGATATAAGTTATTATAATTTTGAATATTATTATTACTAATAAATGTTTAACTCTAAATTCGACTAAAAATATATCTAATACTCACAATCAGGTTAATTTAACTAAAATTAAGTGTTCGGTAAATGCTATAATAAATCTAATTAAATTCCATTAGAGATAGTTAAATTTCTGTATTTTTTTTTTTTACTTTTTAAGGACAATTTTATAACATAGCCTGATAAAATTTTGGGCTGATGTATTTTATGATAAAATATAAGCATATTTTACGCTCAGATAAAAAACTATTTAAATGTTTAAAAAAATCAGAGTAGAAACTAATCTTAATTCAAATAGTCTAAATTTTTGTAGACTATTGTTAGTTAAAAACAAAATAAAAACACCAGCCCTACATTATAGCAAACATCCTTGATTTTGAAATCAAGAATTAACATTAAAAAAATAGGCTATATTATATTACGTGCCTTGAAAACCATCCGATGAACTCTGACATTAACCCGAATGGCTGAGTGAGTAGGTACAAGACCACTGAAGGCATCAATACATAAACAATTGGTCTGGAATCTGGATTCCATCCTTGAGTTTTGCTTTGTCTACCGCAACTTACCCAAACCGCGTGCTGCCACGTCAGTTGCCACCAGAATGTTTGCATGACCTGTACGAAATTGATTCAATGTATGGTCACGTTCATTTTGAGATTTATTACCATGTATTCCTATAGACCTCCACCTGAGTCAAAATATTTATGGATTCTTTTGTTTATTATTTAAAAAATAATAATAATATATAACCTTACCCATTTCGATTGACCAATTTTACAATATTATCAACAGAACGCTTAGTTTCCACAAAAATGATCGTTTTATTATCAGGTTGTGAAAATATTTCAGTTAATAAAGCATATAACCTATTATTTGAAAATAATAATTATTGTCTAATATAATAAAATTAAGCTTGAAAAAATTATAAAAACATAGCTGGTAATGTTAATTACTAACACATAAACTTTAAAAAAATAAAAGCATAAATGGTTTTTTTAGTTTTTTTCTAATTACTGGTGTAATTTAAATGTATTTAAGTGGAAAAATATTGTAATATAAAAATTTTGTAAAAAGTTCTTATGTTTTTAATGCATTAAAATAAAACATACTTTTGTTCTTTTTCAAAATCATCACAAACATCTACTACTTGTGAAATATTATGGTTGGCTGATAAGTTAAGAGATCCAACGTTAACTTGGACATAATCAACTAAGAACTCTTCAGCTAAATTTTTTACCTCAGGTGGCCATGTGGCAGACCACATTAATACTTGACGATCGGGCTGTAAAATGTAAGCAAAATTAATTTTTTGATTTTTCAATATAAAATATAAAATTACTCTAATTTGCTCAATGATTTTACGAATTTGTGGTTCAAAACCCATGTCCAACATTCGATCTGCTTCATCTAAAACTAAGTATGTGCAACGTTTTAAATTAGTAGTATTCCTCTCTAAAAAATCAATAAGTCTTCCAGGTGTTGCAATAATTATTTCTACACCACGTTCTAAATCATCAGCTTGAGGACCTTTAGGAGCACCTCCAAACACACATGTATTTCTTACAAAAGTTGATGTCCCAAATGCAGTAGCTACTTGTTGTATTTGTTGAGCTAGTTCACGTGTAGGTGCTAGCACTAATGCTATTGGACCATCATATCGTAATAATCGGGGTTGATTATTTATGTGTAATATAGCTGGAAGTATATACTGAAAAAATTTAATATAGAAATAGAAAAAAGTAATTACAGGTAATACAATTGTTGATAGTAAAATTTAATTTAATTTGTACATTAAAGCAAATTATGTTTAAATGTCATGAAGTCCAGATAACTGAGACTATGACATGGAAATGATACTAAGACATAAAAATAAGTTTTTTTGAAATATGACAAGTGTTTTTTTAGTTTACACATTATTTCACATTTTTTTTATTAAGTTATTAGGGTTTCTAGTTTCTTTGTATTCAAAAAAAAAAAAAAAAAATTGATTTTTTTGTATTTCATACTTTTTTTATATCAATTGTTTTATTATATTTATCAAAATATTTTAAATTGGTACCTATAGTTTAAAATAATAAATGTCAAACAATTACAGTTATAAGACAATTAATGTCATAGTAGAACTTGATACAGTCAATGGGAGTTGACGACTAGTTATCGAAAGTGAACTGGAAATAATCATATGAAAAAAAGAAGATATGGGATTAGAACCTGTGAGCTAAGGCAATGAAGAGAAAATCCTTATCACTAGGATACCATACAGTTATGACACAGATCCTGATACACTTCCATTTAGGTTGAAAACGTTAAGTGTGGCTGAATGAAACACAGCACCATGTCTAAAGCAAATTGGTCAAATAATTCAAGATTCTATTCTTTTCTTTCAAAGATTATTATTAAAAAATTTAGAAGCGGTTTAAAAGTTTGAGTTTCACTAGTATAAACATAATATATTATTAATATTAATATTAAATTGTTAAACTATTTTTATTTTTCAACATAAAATAAATTGTATAAGTTTAGATTTATTTATGTTTAGAGTTTAAATATTTTGAAAAATTATTAAAAAAAAATTTGATGTGATTTTTAAGCACCTCTTTAGTAATTAATTAAATAATTGAATTTAAAAAAAAGTATCTCTTTAACAAGGTAAAAATCTTAATTATTGTCAACAAAATATTTGTAATAATTCATCCAGTTTTCAAAAATAATTTAAATATAAAGTGAAAACTAAAAATATTAATATCATCCATTTCATGATTGTAAATTATTTCCTTTATTACAAGGACTGAGGGAAATTTTTTAAAATTAACTGGACACAATGGTGATCTTTTGACATATCATTTAGGAAAATTGATCTAGTAGGAGTTGATCAGTTTTGTCTGCAGACACAAAAAGTAAAAAAACATCACAGATTAAAACTAATGCTTTCTCTGATACACATCAAAATAAAAATAAATATAATTAATATTTTCAACAATAAAGTTAATTAAAATATTTGTCTAGTTTTCACTAGAAATTATAATTATTTTATTCACTATATAAGTTCTCCATCAATGGAGATATATGTTTGATATATACTTATTTACAGTATTTTTTTTAAATTACATACAGCAAGAGTTTTTCCAGATCCAGTTTGTGCTATTCCAACCATATTTCTACCACTCAGTGCTATTGGCCAGCTGACAGCTTGAATTGGAGTTGGAGAGCTAAATCCTTGTTTCCTTAAATTATAAAAATTAGTCATAAAACATCAAATAAATTTTTTTTTAAACTTTCCATAAAATAATTTTTAATTAACATTAAATATAGATTAATTAATATAGAATAATCAAGATGAATAGTAATAATTCTGAAATATTTACTTACTTCACTTCATTCAGAACATAATCAGGTAAAATCACTTCATTAAAATTCATTATCGGATTTGGTACATTGTTTCCAACATATGATATTTCTTTTTCTTTAACAAATTTTTCTACTTCCTCTTTTGAACTAAAAAATCAAAGTTAATTTTAATAAAAGCATAAATTTGTAAGATAGGTGAATATATATATATATATACTAACCGATTTAAAACTAATGGATGGGGAGTGTAAAAATTTTTTTGAAATGGTTGCAATGTTTCATTTTCCCATCGAGGTTTTCGCAAAGATCCACCAGGTTGTTTATTTTTAAGGCTATTAAAGTTACTACCTCCGCCACTACCACTACTTCCTCCCATTAATCCACCTCTTTTGTATCCATCATTTTCTCCACCACCACGATTTCCATAACCTGATCCACGATTTCCGAAATTTCCTCCTCTAGAGGTACCACCTCTTGGAGCCCCGCGATGTCCTCCACCATAACTTGCACGTCTCATTGAAATATTAATTGTTCACAAAAAAAAAAAATAAATAAACTTATGGGAAATTTTAAATTTGTAAAATTTTATTTTTAATCAATAAAAACAGTTGTCAAAAACCAGTCAGCACCTGAAAAAAAAAATTAATTTACAATATTATGATTATTTTGTAAACAATTCTCAGAAAAAAAATGTATAATATGGACTAAAGAGTAGTAGCTATAAATGCAATTGGAAATATAAAAATTCAAACAGTTTATAAAAAGTTAAATCAACAAATTAACTTGATAAATTAGTTTTAAAAATGTTTTCAACTTATTTTCAACAACAGTTTAATAGAAACATATCTTTCTCAATATAAAGAATGATTTTATAAAAATTTTTTTCTTTTCAAGAGTTAATAGTATATATGTTCTATAATTATCAAAAACTAAAATTTTTTGGTCCTCTCCCAACTTTGTTTCTCATAAAATTCAATTTTTTTGGTATCCCGATTCACCGAGTCCATTTGTCCCTAAGGAAAGCTTCTCCTTTTTTTATCGCCCTTATCCCATGTACTTGGGATACCCTTGTCTTAAACTTCCACTTGATACAATCTCCCACATTATTAATGCATACATCAGTAGTCCTATATTACATTCAATGACATCTCTCCATCTTTTTTGATCTTAATCTACCTCTTATTCTAGTATAAAAATTTTATACCAGCTGTCAACCTGACGCAACTTCATTAATCACTTTTTACAACTAGTAGAATGGCCGTAAGATTATTCCTATTCCTTTCCACAGGGAAAGTATCTTAGAAATGATATTGTAAAAAAAATACCTATAGTACTAAAATTATTTAATTTTTTGTGTCTTCTGAACAAACCAAAAAAATGGCGATATCTGGTTATTGCAATGGATCTTTTAATTAATTCATTATTACTACACTATTATTACTTACTAAATGTTTATATTTCTTTACTACTTTTCCGGTGTTTAATTTCAATGAAATAGCTTATTAAAATTACTGATATCAATTCACTATTACTATATAACAAATAATTTTATTTCTAAATAATTAATTGATTTGCTATAATGCTTCGTTATTCCGATTAATATTGAAGCTAAACAAGAGAGTAAAATACACGAAAAGTCTATTCTTTTTATGTATACAAATGCAAGTTTTGGATAGATCTACTATAGATTTACTGAACGAGTTCCGAGTTGGAGTATCAGTGACGCCGACCGAGTATATTACTAACATGGTAAGCTTAATAATGATAAATATTTTATTTTCCCTGCCATTTTGTGATAATAAAATAACCGTTTGAACGTAAGCGGTTATGTACTGCATAGACTTTGGTAATTTTTTAAGCTCACCAGTAAATTTAATATTTCATTATCAATATTGTAATCTAGATTGTATATGGTGTAATAATATAAGGTTAATTATTAAATTATTAATGTTCGTTAAATCAGTTTGATGATTTTCCGCATCACTTCGTCTTTTGACTACATGGCTTAATACAATCTTATTTACTCAAAATTTTATAATTAATTATTAAATAATAAACTGTGTTATGGTGTATTATTGTATACAATATCATATTATGTGACAGATACAGTGCTTCAAGTTCCTTGACAAAAGGTGGGGGTGTTCTAATTATTGCTAACAATGCTTTTATCACATCAAAAATCAAATTAGATGTAGGATCCTTAGAATTAATATTAGTTTAAGTTAAAATTATTTCAAATAAGAAAATAATACTCGGTTGCGTTTATTTTCCTCTTAGTTTTAACCCTTTTTTATTTCAAGATTATTTCAATATTATTGATAACACAATTGCTTTATATCTTGATACATCTTTATTACTATTTAGTGACTACGACCTTTCTCATTTAAATGATTCTATGTTTAACTTAAATTTAAACACTTCTTCTTCAGAATCTATATTTTTTTCAAAATNTTTCAAGATTATTTCAATATTATTGATAACACAATTGCTTTATATCTTGATACATCTTTATTACTATTTAGTGTCTACGACCTTTCTCATTTAAATGATTCTATGTTTAACTTAAATTTAAACACTTCTTCTTCAGAATCTATATTTTTTTCAAAATTTATCTTTGATAAATCTTTTTTAAATTAACACTATTTTTAATGCATAAAGTTCAATGTTTAATTTTATCAAATTCTCCTCTCGTTTATGTGTATAATGATCCAATTGTTCCTATTGAACTCTATCATCCCCCTATATATAATAATTATTCTTATCAAAATGTTTCCTCTCAAATTACTTTTTCAGAACTCTCATATGATTGGACTAAAGGTGATTATCAACCCATAATATAGTCCTTAGATACATGTAACAATGCAATATTATTCTTGCTCATTCTGGTTATAAGAATATTTTCCAAGTATAAAATTTAAAAACTAACTGTTTTAGTTGTAAAAACTTTTCTGGATAAGTCATTAAAAAATGATTTTGAAGATTCCTTTTTCCTTTGTCAAATAAATTAAAAATTTTTTTAACTTTTTTATTATTAAACACAAGATAAAGACCTCTTCTACATCCCACATCATCCATAAAATATTTTGCATATTCTACCATTAATTTAATTTAATCTGCTGGTAATACATTATCTTTTAACAATTTAGCTTGTTTAATATTTTTTATGTTGTTTTCTCATTAGAATATTAATGTAATTTTATAGTGCTATAAAATGTATTATTGTTTTTGTAATTATAAATTTAGTTATTTTTCTATTAAGTAAATTATTTATTGTACATTATTTTAATCATCATTACATTATAATTTGTAATGAATTGGACTTGGGTCTGTTAATAAATAAAATATTAATTGGATTGGATATGTTCTGATTATCAGGGATGTGTGGAGGAGGATGATTTCAAGGGCCCACTTAGGTATAAGTGATGTGTAAAGACACTTATAATATATATATATATATATTATAATCTATAGTATTGTACCTGATAGAATTGCACCAGAAAATTTTTTTTTAGACACCACTCCTTCCGTATTGTGATTATTCCAGTAATACAATAAGCTAGTACAGCAGTCTCTTAGGTATAGAGAATAATTTTAATATTACATTGTCGATATACATTCAATAGAAAGATCTACATATGAAATATTTGAAAATCTGACAAAATGTATTTTCCTTTTTAATATAACAAATAATACATGTGTCTTTTAAACCAAAATCAATTTAAAAATTACTAATCACACTTGATGATTTAAAAACTTTTTCTCCCCTTTTAAAAATACATATGTGTCTTCTATTACACCAATATTTTTCAAATATCCGTTAAACAAATTAAAGTTAATTTAAGTTACCAAGACAATACAAAACAAAAATTTTAATATATTTTGTTAATAATAAATATTATGTAAATTTACAGAAAATAATTAAACTATTTCTTTAACATAAGTAGAAGTGTTCTAAATAAAATTATAAATATAATATGAATTCAAATAAATATAGCTTAAAAAACACACTTTTAAAGCACATCAAACAAAAAAGTTAAAAACAAGCTTAAAACAATAATAAACGAAAAATTCTAGTATTATTGTGAAAAAAAGTGGGTTCAACTTTGTGTCATATTTTTCGTATATTGAATGTCCGACGCTTTTTCATGATTTAAAAGCATATTTTTTTAAATTATATTTATTTTTCACTTTTTATTTTTTTATGATATTGCTGTCACAGTCACGGAATGTTTATTGTCAATTATGACTAACAATAGATATAATTTCTTTATTGCCAGTTAGTATATTTATAAACTCACAACAATGTGTCTTACTACCATTGATAATAAAGGCTATACCTTCGAATATTATCAAAAAAACCAATTAGCTATCAGTATTTGTATTCTCTTATGTATTATATATGTATATTAACTCAAAAAATTTTGAATCTTTAAATGGTTATATCTAATAAACAATAAAAATTTGTTTATTTATATATAATATTAAGACACGTGCGCTGGTATGTGATGAAAACCAAAAATAAAATTATACAGGAATAGTACTGTCGGCGGATGGTGAGGGGGTGGGATGAATGCGTTACAACGGTCTAGTCAAGCCATAGAAGGTATTAATTTTATAAGATGTGTTTTATTTATTTTACTTTGGTCGTATAAATAAATAAAATACAAATAAATATAATTTATAATTCATAACAAATATCACAAGTTATATATGACATACATTGAAAGCCCATAATTTAAATAGGTTTTGTAATGATAAATGTTTAATTTATCTACATTATCACAATTACAATTTAAAAATTTTTAATTGCACATTTTAATGTTTAATTTGATGAAAAATTTTGTAGTTTTAAATTAGACATGTAAAATTTTACTAAAAATTAAAGTATAATAGTTTTGATTTTAAATATTGCCATGATTCAAAACTAATATGCAACTTAAAAATATGGCCCATTTAGCTAGTAAAATAAAAACCTGTAAACTACAGTTAAAAATAAAACTAATTTTTCCATGGCTGAATTTATCACTGAACTATAGGTACCTAGGAATAAAATTTAAATTATTATACATATTCAAACAAAATTAATCATATTTTTACTTATAAAAACAATCACTATGTAATGTATTTATATATACTCAAGATGTTGATTCTCATTTATTAAATCAGAGTCTCAACAGGGTGCTGAAATTGTGCCTCCTTGAAAAAATTCTTCCAATTGATTAAACTATTAATATTTTCTATTAACTTTTTTTAAAATATTACTAACCACGAATATTCAATCACAGCCACTTCTAAGACTCCAAAGTCTAAGACAAAAAGAAAGAAGTATATAAGTTTTTTATAACTCTAAGGACTACATAAATTGTTTTTGTACGTCTATAATACATCTATTAATGAAAGTTAACATTCTAATTTTACAATATATTTTAAAACAAAAACTATTCTACTTTTAAAAAGTGGTGATTTAAGTACTAAATTAGTAACATCCAACATATATTATACAATACACATACACTTCCAAAATTACATATTGGATTAGTCACTCATATAAGTATTCTAAATGTATGTAAAAATATAAATTATTAATTAAACCTGTATTATTAATTTATGAAATGGTAAATTTGACAAATACATTAATTTTCTATTAATAAAATTTTGTTTGTATTACTTTATTTGTGCACAACTAAATTAAAGCGTTATATGATAGCAATTTTAATCACAGTAAGATAATAACTTATAGGTGTCTCTTTTAAGATGAGTTAATTATCCAGTTTACATATAACTATGTATACTATCATTATATATAGAATTTATTTTGAAAAACTAGATTTGAAACTCTCAATTAAGACTTAATTAGTAAATGTAAAAAATTATATTCCAATAATATTGCATTAGTAAGACTAGCCCACTAAGAATCATTTCTAAGCAGCCTAGTCTTGTAACATGAAGAATTATTACCTTTCATATTGAATGAAGAATATAATTATCTCTAAGAAAATCAAAATGGTGGATGAACTACAGTTCCATAATTATTTATTACTTCATATTCCATATTTTTCGACGGAGTATCTAAAGGTGCAATATTATTTGGTTCCTATAAAAAAGGTTAAAAGTATAAATATTCACTCATAAAAAAAGGTAAATGAGTTTATAAATAAAATAAATACCTTATCATTTATTTCTGGAAATATAGTACTTAAATTGAAGTTGGTTAATGTATTTACATTACTACTATTAGAATAGTAATTGGTATTTTGAGCAAAATGCTGAGCTGGTTTATTGAAACTAGAATTTGTCATATTAAATGATGTTGGTAATGGAATATAATTTGGTATAGTGTGTTTTGTTGTTACTGGAGTATAAAAATTTGTACTCAGCTGATATGATGTTTGTTTATCCAAATCTTTTCCAGTATCATATAAATAATTACTATTGTGGTTATAATAAGTATTGATGTTTTCATTATTATTGAAATTTTGTTTTTGCCCAGTTTTGTAATACATAGTTTGTTTACTATTTGACCAAATTTGATTTTTAATACTTGACTTTGAATGGGTATAATTTTTTTGTTGATGTTTGATTAGTGACTCAGCACTGTGATTAGTTGATTTACTTGAATCATGCAAATATTTTGAACGCACCCATGACTGGTCTTGTTCAAATAGATTCGAATTAGTATAAAAATGTTTTGTTTGACTTTGATAATTATCTTTATTAGTTTTCTGATTTTGATACACACAAGAATAATCCTTAATATTTCTTCCTTTATCTTTATCATTTGTTTTAGGTTGTTCAACTAATTGACTAACAGATAGAAAATTTGAGTTTATAGGTCGTGATTTCATACTATTGTAATTGAATATAGTTTGATCATTATTAGGAATAGTTAAACTATCATTTTTCTTATTACAATCATAGAGTCGCTGATCATACTGAGTATTTGAACTGTTATTCAATGCCAAGTCTCCTACTAATGTTGGCAAAGTAGAAGGCATATTAGAGTCTAAATGTGGGAGTAATGGTAGAGTTTTTGATGGTGACCACGAAAAAGCTTGTTTAGAGTCAGATTGTACATCAAAATGCACATCAAAATTATTTTTCTTTTGAAAGTTTTCATTATCTTTTTTAGAATATGTGTTTTGACAACTTTTATCAGTCATCCAATTAACTAAGGTATTTTTTTCATTTTGTTTCTTTTTTTGTTTTGGTTTATGTGGCCATATTTCACTATAATTTTCTGTATCTATATAAGTAGTTGTATTCAAATCATATGGGACATAAGAAACATTATTTGTAAAGACAGTAGAAGTAGATTTATCATTTTTTTTTGTATTTTTAATAATATTTTTATCATATGAATTATAATTTGAATACCTCCAGAGATCAGAACCTGTTGATGATGTTTTATAGTATGAAGAAATGTCATTATAACTAGCTTTGTGATAACTAGAAATAGATGATTGAGAAGTGGATAGTGATTTGAATTTCCTATTGTCTTTATTAAAGTCATACAGTTCATTACTTTTTTTATTAGTATCTAAATAATTATCATTAAAATATGTTTTTTCATTAAATACAAAATTATCTTTATCTTTACTTTTATTATGATCTTTTTCACAATCTTCAATATTTTTTTGGAAGAGTTCAGTAGCTGGAGATTCAAGATTTCCAATTTGAAGAATTGTAGTTGGAGTTGTTGAATTTATATCACTTTGTTCAGTTTCATTTAAAATGTTAGTATTTTTTGTATTTGAAACAAGAGGAAATGAAAGCAGGAAAGCTTCCGTTGGTGACATTGAATCTGCGTGATGACTTCCCACCGGCCCATTGAGAGTACTGAATAAATCAGAAGGAAAATCGTTACTAGGTATGGGCAAACGGATGTCATCAAAACAAGACATAATATTTTTAGCAGTTTCCATTGATTTCCCTTGATTTTCATCACTTAAAATATTTAATGAGTTTACTACAGCCAATGTATTTTGTTTTGTTGATTCAGTAGATAAATTATTTGATGTATTGTTGCTATCATTGGTTTCAGAATCGTTGTGTTTAATGATATTTTTAGATGTACTGGAACTTTTATCATTATTTAGAATATTTTTTTCACTGTCATTTTGCTTTTCATCTTTTTCTTGATTAATATCTTTTACAATAGCTTCAATAGTATGATTTTTATTACATTTATTATCATTAATAACAAGTGGTTCTGGAAAATTTTTGTCTATTTTATCACTACTTATGTCTATTTTTTCTTCTACTAATTTTTTGTTTTTAGTTTTACTAATGCATCCAACTTGTACATTACATGCACTTTCATTAGAATGTTTTGAATTATTTTTAGCTAAGTCTGTCTTTTTTAATAAATTATTATATGATGCTAAAGATGGTATTGGTCTCTTATTCACTGAGGTAGTGTTTGTAGCATCATTTCTTTTTGGTACAATCAAACGATCAGAGTTTTTGTATTCATGCAAAAGTAATATTTTAGGTATATCATACAAAATTTGAGGTTGGGGTACAACAGGTAAAGTTTCTATTTTAATTAAATGACCATTTGGAAAAATAATTGTTGGTTTATTGCTAGATGTTAACATAGGTAGTTTGATTGATTTATTTTGTAAAATAGTTGGAGATGGATTTGGCAGCAATCTTGGTTTTTTTTTTAGTTTTTTTAAACAACAATACTTATTGCAAGATTCTTTTATTTGTTTTGACTTACAACCAGTTTTTAAAATAATTTTTTTCAAATTTTTATCTTTTGGTAACTGTATTTTGGCTTCTCTTAAAATTGAAAATAAATATTTAATTTTATTACACAATTGAGAAATTCTATTTTTTAAACGCAATACTTCTTTACCTATGAATTAAAATTTAAAAATATTTTCATGTTAACTATATAGTAAAAAAGTATAGTCATTAACTTTTTTTACTTACGATTGATATTAGATTCTTGAAGTTTTTCATTTTGTAAAACTCTAATATAATCAACAGCATGATTTATAATTTCAGCTTTTCCTAATACAGAGTTTGCTTCTGATATAGGTAGTACTGTTCTCAGTTCTTCAAAACTTACATTTAATCGATCTCTTCTTTCTTTTTCATACATTCGATTTTTTCTAAGGAGATATTTTTTTTAATTAATATTATTTAAAAACAAATATTTTAATTAACACTCGATAAAAAAATAAATTGGTCTAAACTCAAGTAAAAATATAATACTTACGATGGTTCTTTTTTACCACCCATAGCGTAAAATATAAAAGTTATAATTCAAGACATAGATACTAAAGTTTATTTATTGTCTCAAAGCGAATTGAAGTTAAAACACAAATATTAAAAACATAATCTTTGGATGAGTTAATAATGTAAAATATTTTGATAACAACTAATGTGTTTATGAGCGAGATCTTGCGGTTTAAATTTGTGTAAATAAATTATGACTTCTTCAAAACTATATTTTGAGAATTAAAAATATAAGATATGGAATAGGCGACTGCTTCTTATTGATACATTTTAACAAAGACAAACTAGAAAATTATAGAAATTGTTAAAATTAAATGTATAGTTCAAGAGTAATTTTGAAAAATTATTCTTTAATTTATTTTGAGCGATTTATTATAAAAGTCTTTACTACGCTTTAAGGCTTATTTAGATTTTACTGGGAAGTTGAACATGAAAAGAATATTCATACGCCCTCCACATTGTATTAATATTTAAATATTTATTAGATCACTGAATATTCCTACAACAAAGTTTCACAAAATTGGGACCCTTCAAATTGACCTTTCCACTTAACTTTCAAAAATGTTTTGTAAATACCCCGAGCTTTAACATAAATTAAATAAAAACTTATATATATTTACTATAGGTAAACAAAAAAATTGTCTTGAAAACTAGTCTTCTATAAGAAAACGGCCCCAAAGTTAAACAAAATATATTAATTTGTTTTCAAAAATCACCGTGTTTCCTATTACAATTTTCTGTTTCAAATATTTTTCAATAATTTATGCCTATATTTTAGGGCAAACGTTATAGTGATATAAAAGGGGGATTAGTATACTCATTTAATTCACCCTTGTTAAAAAAAATGATTTAAGTGTTAGTTATAAATATTTTCAGAGTTTTTCCAGCTTTTAATATTAATCAAATAAATATATTTAAAATAAGGGGGCTGCCCTTATCAAAAAAAATCTACCAATGGCTTATGATAAATTACAATTTCATATTTATTAAAACTATATTAAAAATATTAATTTAAACCTAACAAATATTTAACTTAAAAAAACCACAAAAAAATTATTAAAAATTGGCGGATACATATTTAGTGGACAATGTTACCATTATCAACGCTAAATACATACTGACCGCAAAAAACCCTTATATAACTAATAATAAAATTCATTTTACTATGATACAACCCTAGTTACCTTATCACCTAGTGACATAATAACTATGTAATATTATCACATTTTGCCAGTTTACTAATATTTAACACAAGTTTACTAGTGGATTTTTTAGTGAGACAAGATCCCAATTAAATAAATTGTTCTTATTTTTAAACATTTCTATTGCCTTTCATATATAAAGTTTTTGTAATTATTTACGTTTTTAATTAGTTTTAATGGAGTGTTCTTCTTCTTTTTCAGTATTCAATCTAACAGCAATATTCATTTTTCTCTATCACTAGCCTTCCTTTTCAACTCTTGATATGAATAACATCCTTGATATTCTATTATATGATTTATATATTATAATCTTGGTCTTCCTTAATGATTGTTTCATCGATTATTCCTTTTAAAATTAATAATTGCAACTCATCGTGTCTTAAAAATGACCTATTCATTCATTTCGCCTTTTCTGTATACTTTTCCATTTATAATTTTATCAGTTGAACTTATATTTTCCATCCTCTTGTAGCACTACATTTCGAATGCCTCTATTTTTCTCTTGCAATAGTCAATGGAGTGATTATGTGTCAATAAATGTTCAGCCACAAGAGATTTATCAAATGCTTGATTTTTAATGTTTCTTAAGTGTTCTTTTAACCTGACCCCTATATTACTTTTTGTATATCCAACGCAATATTTTTTTCAACTTTTATATTATATTTTATATACAATTAATTACGATTTCCCCCTTTCTTTTACTTTAGCTTTAGAGTTACCTAATAAATCTCTTAAATTATTACTTTTAGATGTTACTAATAAAGTAAAACCAACATTCTTAAAAATTCTAGCTAGTCCATTTATGATGCCCAGATAATTTAAAATGGGCAATTTAATTACTCTTCTCTCACGATAGTGAGTGTAGTAGCTGTCCTATTTTCTTTATTCCACTTTTGTGTTAGGAATAATTTTGAAATTACGTTTTTGTTATACCCAATAAATCTAGCTATTATTCTTATAAAAATATATATTTCTTATATTTTTCCCAGTTTTTTATTAAAATCTATATTATTTATCGGAATATTTACAAATATGTAAACCATACATTTAAAAGCTGACATTTTGTGTTGCCTGCTGTAGTTAGAATTGTTCGGAATGTACCTGAACGTGTGTTTTTCCAATAAATTTCAAAATTTGTTATGTAATTAATATATGAATTTAATCGATGAGTAAAAAGAATTTAAATGTTATAAGAAGACCTTCGTGTTAAAATCTTTGTTTATTACAGTCGGGTATATAGATGATAAAAATATCATCTATATACCCGACTCAAATTTTTAGAAAATAACTATAGGCGTGTTTTAAATTTGTTTCGAACCTACTCATAAAAAGGTTCTACAAAAAATTGTGATAGCGGATTTTCCATTGTTTTATCCTCCATTTGCTCATAAAATTAAAAAAACATTTTGACCTATACATAACTTTGTTAAATTAATAAGTTCACGTATTTAATCCAGTTCTATGTTTTGTTCCTTTAGCTAGTCTTTAAGAAAACCAATTGTTTTATTTATCGGAATACTCGAAAATAAGGCTTTTACGTCAAAAGAAATAAACCTACCATTATTTTGAATAGTATAACCAGATAATTTTTGAGCTAAGTCAATATTATTATTAAACGAAAAGCTATCGAATTTTTGAATAGATGACAATACCCTTATTAAGTGTTTAACCAATTTGGAGCATTAATATTCGACACAAATGGTCTCATTCTATTTATCTGCATTCATTAGAAATTGTATAAACTCTTGTATACCTGTTTTATCTTGCTTGTCTAGCTCAATATAATGAACTAGATAGACATGTATCGCGCATATTTGGGGGCTTGGAGATATATCTAAAATTCTAGAAATACTATACATAATAAATTTTAAAAAAACCTAGCACAGGGGGGTCGCGGCACAATATTTAGTGTTTAATTTTAAAAAATTGGTGGAGTATTCCAAAAGCTACATGATCTGCTAGTTGCTTATTAATATCCTGATTAAGATAAAGTATACGAATGAAAGAGGGATTATTAAAAAATAGTATTTCCCATAAAAAAATTATATTGATCAATACACTTTTCAATGAGTTATAGCATTATAAAGTTAAAAATGTAAAAAATAAAATCGAGAATTTTCACACAAAAATAGCATTTGGTAGCCATTTTCACCGTGAAGATAAAATAAATGCCGAAATTTTTTTTTTTAATGATAAAGTATATTACATTAGTTTTAATTTAAGATATATATAAAAGTGTCAGACTTTCCGAAACATTTTCAAAAGTCAGGTATAAAACTACCTTAGGATAACTAAAAATACATTTTTACAGGAATAGTGTGCCGTCGTGAGGTGAGCGAGGCGTGGGGAGGGGTGAATGCGTATAACAGTCTAGTCTAGATGACAGAATATGCGATAACGCGTGGCGTTTGGAGAGATACATACATAACACATCGTTCAATAATGTGTGTGACTAACTAATTAAAACACATTTTTTTGCCAAAATTCGTTTTTATTCATCAACATAGTCCCCTTTTAGGGAGATACAATCATTCCAACGCTTTTCCAATCTTTCAATACCGCCTTTGTAGAACGATTTTTCTTTGCCTTCAAAATAGGCTTCAGTTTCAGCGATGACTTCCTCATTTGAGCCAAATCTCTTTCCACGGAGCATCCTTTTGAGATCTGCGAAAAGCCAGTAGTCGCTGGGGGCCAGATCTGGAGAATATGGTGGGTGTGGCAGCAATTCGTAGCCCAATTCTTGCATTTTTGCCATCGTTTTCATCGACTTGTGACACGGTGCATTGTCTTGGTGAAACAAGATTTTTTTCTTCGCCAAATGCGGTCTTTTTTTGGAAATTTCGGCCTTCAAACGCTCCAATAACTTTATATAATAGTCGCTGTTGATGGTCTGACCCTTTTCGAGGTAATCAACGAATATTATACCGTGAGCATCCCAAAATACAGAGGCCATAACCTTGCTAGCCGATGTTTGTGCCTTTGGACGTTTTGGGCGGCTTTCACCGGTTGCATGCCACTCAGCAGCCTGCCGATTGGACTCCGGAGTGTAATGGTGGATCCATGTTTCATCCATTGTGATGTACAGACGCAAAAACTCCGACTTATTATGCTTAAAAATGTCCAAACAAGCCTTTGAATCATCGATTCGTTGTTGTTTTTGCTCCGGTATGAGCAAACGCGGCACCCATTTGGAAAACACCTTTTTCATACCCAAATGTTCGTGTATTATGGTGTGTACACTGCCTGCTGATATCTTTAGGATGTCAACTATCTCGAGCAACTTCACTTTTCGATCGCCCATAATAATTTTCAGTGTTTTTTCAACGTTTTCCGGAATAACAGCGTCATTTGGCCGTCCAGTAGATGGAATGTCATCGGTGTCTGTACGACCACGTTTGAATTCGGCATACCAATAACAAATGGTTCTTTTTGATGGAGCAGAGTTCGAATAATGTTTTTTAAGCCATTCCTGGCATTGAACAGTATTTTTTTTTTTTAAAAAGCAATGATAAATCAAAACACGAAATTGCTTTGAATTCATTTTTTTTGAAAACTCAAAAGTAGCGTCACTTAAAGCACTGTAACTTGTAAACTAATGGTCGGATTGACATATAATTTTGACAGTAAGCCTAAACTAAAAAGGTTCACACTTTCGAAAAAAAATATTGATTTGGTATTAGTGGAGCCATCTATGTGTCAGTCACACACATTATTGAACGATGTGTTACATACAGGTGAAACTAATATAAGCGTGTTAAAAAGTATACCAAATAATAGTTAAAGACATCATGCATCCATAAAAAAAAGATTTATATTGATCCATACATCTTTCAAAAAGTTATAGCATTATAAAGTTAAAAATATAAAAAAGAATTTTTTTACAAAAATCGTATTTTTTTTATTAACTTTGATGTCTGTTTTCACCATGAAGATAAAATAAAGTTCGAAATTTTTTTTTCCATAATATAAGTTGTCATTTTAAATCCCCCCTGTGGGCAGGTAAAGGGTCAGATTTATAAAAAAAAAATATACCGAATGAAAGGTAATAATATCATGCATTTATATAAAAAAAATTATATTAATTTGGTTATTTTTAAAAAAGTTATGGAAATTTTAAGTAAAAAAAATTGAAAAAATTTCGAAAATTAGCGATTTTTAAATTTGTAATTTTTTTGGAGGTTTCCCCCATTTACGGGGAACGAGGGAAATTTTTTCACTTTTTGAAGGTAATGTCTTCGACCAGATACAATTTGTGATCTTTTGACGTATCATTGAAAGAAATCGGTTCGGTGAGAGCTAAGAAAAAGTGGTAACAAACACAAAAANGGTTCGGTGAGAGCTAAGAAAAAGTGGTAACAAACACAAAAAACCCAGCTTAGTGGGATCGCGGCACAATGGAAACGAGACATAGTTGGGTCCAGTATTGATTGAATCTGACAGTGACTAAAATCACTATCATAAGAAACGCTTCGATGCAAATCTGTAAATGATGTTTAACTCTAAGAAATTGGTCGATAATTACAAAAGAAACATCAACTTCTATTTCCTTAATTATATCCAGATTAGTAATTCTTAGATTCAAAAATATAATATATAATTTTTATAATTAATTGTTTTCAAATTATTATTAATTTTGATTTTTAAAATGTAAAAGTAATCATTTTTAACCTATTTTTTTTGTGAAAGTTTATAATAAAAAAAATAAATTTATTGCAATAACTTTTAGCTCAACTTGCAAGTTTGAATTTGACATCATTAAATAGTAAAAAATGGTATTGTTAAGATTAATATGGAGTCAGCAAATTTTATAATTACTATTTATGGTAAATTTATCAAAAAAGCTCGATTTTTTTTGCATTTTTATCGTGATAGATCACTTAAATAGAAATCATAGTAATCAAAAAACCAATAAAAAAAAAATTAGTTAAAAAGATCTATTCAATTCATTGTATTATAAAATTTGATTATAATTATAAAAATCTATTATAAAATTGAGGTGATTTATATGGGTGAATTCATGATTTATATAGTGACATGTTACAAAAAAAATTGGAATGTTATAGTCTGGTAGTAGCACACATAAATAGAGTTAAAAAATTAAAAATGACAAAGTAAAATTATTTACTTCTGTAGCTTAATACTTTGATCATATCAAATTTAATTCGACAATAATACTTTAAAAATATTAGAAATGAATGATTTTAATTGTTTGTATAGATAAAGCTGGTTAAGTAACTTATTATTTGATTAAGGGATTTTTTCAATTTTTGAGGGTAATATCTTCAACTAAATACGCATTGTAATCATTTGTCATATAGTTGAAAAAGTAGGTAAATTGATGGTTGGATAAATAAATCCTAACAAAAAAAAAAACACAGTAAAATAATATTAACATGAATAAGAAATTTCTTCTTATGAGAGGAGATTACAGTGATGGGATCTTTGATATTTATTGAAGTTAATGAATCTAAATGAGATAAAAATTAAATTATTTAAAAAATTTTCTAACATAAAAAAAAATGCAAAATATAAATTTGCCTTAGGCGGATTTGAACCTGATACTCTAACCATGTAAGACTCGCCTTACCGATTCGACAACTGTTCGTCACTTTCGCCAATAAATAAAATTGGCAATTTAAGCTAAATTAAATTTTAACTTTTTATATTTTATAAACTTTATTCTAAGTCATAATATAAGGTTTAATTTAAGATTAAATAAAAGTGTCAATATTTCCGGAATAATTTCAAAAATATAAAAAGCTTAATTTGTGTACAAAAATTGTTTTTTTAATTCCCCCTTAGGTTTAGAGTCAGATATTCAAAAAAATTATATCAAATGAAAGAAAAATATCTCAGGTTTCAATATATGAAAAATAATTTTAATTTGTTTATTTTTTAAAAAGTTATGGCAGTGTTAAATATTAAAATATGTCATATTAAATAGTGATTTTTACATAAAAATTATAAGTTTCATTAAATTCGACGGCCATTTTCCTATAGAAGAAAAGGTGTCGGGACAATTTCTTTTTTTTTAACTTATTGTATTTATTATAAGCTTTAATTGGACATATATTTAAAGAACGCAGTGTTTCCGGAACATTTTCAAAAGTTAGGTTTTCAATAATAAAAAAAATTAAGTTGTTTTGTTAATTTTTAAAAAAGTTATTGTAGTTTTAAGAAAAAAAGTGAAAAAAATGACGAAATTTACCGATTTTAATAATTGTAATTTTTTTGGAAATTTCTCCCATTTATGGGGAACGAAGGAATTTTTTTCATTTTTAAGGGTAATTTTTAAGGAGACACAAAAAAAACACATAATGGTAAAATTAATACCTTCTCAGCTTCGCATCGAAGCTAAAATAACAACAATAAGAAAATAAACTAATCTAGCAACAATCACACGTGTTAAATAATAATCTTAATTTGTCTGAAAAAATATATTTGAAACTAAATATGTTTAATGAATTTTTATCAACCAGTCACATTCTTAATTTGATCATTTTGGAGATCATGAAATCGAGTGACTAGTGTTAAAAGAATCACNAAACTAAATATGAATTTTTATCAACCAGTCACATTCTTAATTTGATCATTTTGGAGATCATGAAATCGAGTGACTAGTGTTAAAAGAATCACCTTGTTTATCAATAGACTGAATCAAAAAAAAATATTTTTATTTCAAGCCCTGGTTATTTTTATAATTCATAAAGTTTATAAAACCTTGTGTTAAAATGTACAAAGAGTATAGAGTATAAATTACAAAATAAAATTATTTACTTCTGTAGTTGAATACTTTTATCATATCAAATCTAATTAGACTATAAATACTATTAGAATATTAGAAATTAATGATTTTAATTGTTTGTATGGAAAAAGCTGGTTAAGCTACTTTTTATTTGAATAAGGAATATTTTTTCGATTTTTAAGAGTAATAACTTAAACTAAATACAAAATGTAATCATTTGACGTATCGTTGAAAAAAGTAGGTAAATTGATGGTTGGATAAATAAATCCTAACAAAAAAAAAAACACAGTAAAATAATATTAACATGAATAAGAAATTTCTTCTCATGAGGGGAGATTACAGTGATGGGATCCTTGATATTTATTGAAGTTATTGAATCTAAATGAGATAAAAATCAAATGATTTGAAAAATTTTTTAACTCAAAAAAAATGCAAAATATATATTGCCACAGGAGAATTTTTTGAACCTTATACCTTAAGCATGAAAGAGACAAGTGTTACCGATTCGGCAACTGTTCGTTGCTTTCGTCACATGAAAAAATTGGCTATTTAAGCTAACTCAAATTTAAAAATTACTTTTTCGACTTTAAAAAAGTAAAAAAAATTAATAAGTTTAATTTCTTATGTCTTATGAACTTTATTCTATGTCTATTAAATTATATAATATTCATGAAAGTCTGTGTATTCCTCTAATAAGATATTTTAAAATAAAATAAAATACAAAACCCAAAATTTTAATACAAAAATAGCATATTTTTGAATACGGTAGCCATTTGCGCATAGAAGATAAGGTGTCGGAACAAATTTTTTTTTTTCATTTTATACTAAATGATATAACCTTTGATTTGATATGTTTAAAGGACGTAGTATTTCCGGAACATTTTAAAAAATTAAGTTGAAAAAGTTAGTTTTTGTAAAAATGTTGCTATTTTAAATCCCCCCCAGTGAGCAGGTTAAGTGTTAAATTTTCAAAAAAATGATATCAAATGAAAGGGAAATATCTAAGGTTTTAGTATAAAAAAAAATTATGTTGATTTTTTAAAAAGTTATAGAGTTTTAAGAAAAAAAGTGAAAAAAATGACAAAATTTACCGATTTTTAAATTTGTAATTTTTTTGGAGATTTCCCCCATTTGCGGGGAACGAGGGAAAATTTTTCAATTTTTAAGGGTAATGTCTTCAACTAGATACGATTTGTGATCTTTTGACGTATTGTTGAAAGAAATTGATCCAGTGAGAGCTGAGAAAAAGTGGTGACAGACACAAAAAAAAAAAAAAATAAATAAACACATCATGGTAAAATTAATACCTTTTCAGTTTCGCATCAAAGCTAAAAAAGAATTTTGATACACGCCAGCTACAATAGAATCATTTTTTTATAGTTATAATTGCGTCATGAAAATATCGTTCTGTTACATTTAAACAACAACTTGGGACTAAGTGGGCTTAATCTCTCAATTGAATAATATCCTCCCAAATATAATTTTTTTTCGTAATTTATTTATTTAAAAAAAAATTTCGGTTTAGTATAATTACTCAGCACCTCCAAAAATTTCATTCTAGTTGTGCTTACAATTAATCGGTTTCGCCTATTTCTTATGTAATATAAAATATTTTAAAAATTAATATTAACACACAAAATCGAATATTTATTATGATTTTATTGAGTTCACCAAATGCTTCAATTTCAATCTATTGTGGTATTTAAAGGTACAAATTATGGTTCCATAATTTGGATTATATATACTATATATATTATGATGTTCAAATTCTTATTTTTCATAAATTTTCTTTTGAAAGCAGAGGAGACTAAACAATTTTTAAGAGTTAATTGTCATCTGTATTTGGGGCCTAGTGCATGTACCCTTAACCTCCATCGAATACGTCCTTGGAGATTATATCGTTATGACATAACATTCATGTTTAAAAGAGAAATAATTAAATTTAACAATTGACTGAAAAAATAGGTGTATAATTTAAATACAATTATGCTGCTACAATTTTAAGTTATAATTAATACTATTTTCCTTAAAATTCTCACCATAACATATTTAGTTCATCATTCCTATTGGACAAATATTTTTAAAATTATACACATTTTTGATTTGTAACGAAATTAGTTAAAAAATTTGGAAGGTATACAATGTTTACCAATTTATTATTTGGTGAGAAGTGTAGGTAAATTTTGTAAAAATTCAACTGTATACTCATTTTTTGCGAAAAACTTTCTGAATACGTCAAAAAAGCTACGGAATTACAAATCTCCAAATTTATTCCACCACTGACTATAATAAAATTTCAACATGTATTATCCTAAAAATGTTTAAATACAAAAAAAAGTGTAATAATTGTTTTTAATATTTTTAAACCGCTAGCAAAATAAATTTTTACATAATATAAAAAATACAGATATAGTGGCATAATTTCATAAAATTTAGAGATCGTCAAAGAGATGATTAAAAAATGACTTTGGTTATACCTCATCAGACATGCCTGGATTAAGACATTGGAAGATCAGAGATTCTCATAATGTTACACTTCATACATTCACTTAGGTATGTTATTTTATGGCATAAAAATCATATCAATGACACGATACATTTGTACAGCATAAGTTTAAAAGTGACAAGACAAATTTTTTGGTAGAATATCTAGTTCTTATGTAACAGGAATATTAAATTAATTTAACAAAAATTTTATCTATCAATTTTAATCTTGAAAGCAATAAAATACATATAAAATTTAATACTAAAAACAAAATTTCATAATAATTTATTAACAAATGTATAGTCATTTGTTCATTAAAAACTATTCAAATTATGTCATTTCAATTACATAAACAAAACTAAATTTTTTTTTATTCGCAGGTATCACACATCATCTACTGGAACAAAACATTTTGAAAATAGTGATTCCCTCGAAGATTTATATGTATCTGACGACATCATTACCTGACAGTATTAGACATTTTAATTCACTCTAATCCTGCCAAAGTAAGACGTTAACAGATTCAGAAAATGTAGTTGATATTTCATTCTCATCCATAACATTTATGTTCATCTGTAACAAACGCAGGTTGCTATAATTTATATTTTTTATAAAATAAAATAAAGTTTTTTATGAAAAATTGACTGGTTGGCATTTAAAGTCTATTTTCCATAAAAATCTTTAACTAAACGTATATTATTTTTTAAGTCGATAAAATTAAAATCTCATTTCTAAGAATAATTATAATGAACTTTTAAAAAATAAAAATTTGAATAGCATCCATACATTTTACAAATCAAAATTATTAATAAAGAAAATTAGATATCGACAAACATATTTAAAGATATATGATGCAATATACAAGTAATATACATTAAATATTGAAATTTAATAAAAAAATGATTGTTTATTAATAATGAAAAAAAGGAAAGTAAATGACTAAAAAATATCGTTCCCACATTTTTGATATATCAGAATAATAACTAAGATAACTAAATATCATTGGGCAATTACATTAAATATTTATATATAATTAAAATAAAATAAATACATAAAAACGTATTATTTAAAGAATTGTATTTTACTTTTGTAAACAATATGATAAATATATAAATTTTGAGTAACTAAATTTTAGAAATAAGTCGTTAATTTATAGAGAGAAAAATACTTAATTACATAATATTAATAATAAAACATGAAACAGTTAAAATTATTTTTTCATTTTACTAACCTGTTGTGATAAAAAACAAATATATTATACCAGCTGTAAATTGATCGATGAATGATTGGTACGTGTGTTGTAAAAAAAGGTTTTAAATAATTTCTTGGCATGCAAATGAAAAAAATATAATTTACTTCGAACAAGCGTTAAAATAATAACTTCAAGTTATGCAATAAAATAAAATTGATTAGTGTAAACAAATAAGAAAAGCCGACCACGCACGATAGACCTTTCGGATTTTCAGTCCGACAGCAAACTGACGCACCATGTACATCAGCTCTTACATAAATATATCAGTGCGCGCAAAGGTCGATGAATACTAACGCACGGATGGATGACCTAAGCTGTAAGGAGATAACATGCAAACATGATCTTTAGCCTTTTTGTTTGAGGCAAACTGCCTTATCTAACGTTGATAAAATAGACTCCAAATGCGAGGTTTCAGTCGACTGAATCAATATGTGGTCGTGGTAATGATGAACATATTGTATGCACATTTTTTCGATTACAAATATACACATACTCCGAGTTATCGTCGTTTATCGACGCTCCTTTGAATAAAAAGTGTGTATTAGTAAAAATTAATAATAACCATGATTTTAAACATTAAAAATAAATTTTATTGAAATATTTCCACACATTATACATGCTTATGTTTCAAGTCATTTGAATGAAATAATCGAATGAAAACTACATAAAGGTGAAAAAAAAAATTGTTAGTTTAGTAACTACAAAACCATATTCCGAGATCATATGATTAATAATCTAAGAATGATTTTAAATATCATAAAAATACTATTCTGTGTAAATACAAAAACAATGAATAAATAAATAATGCCCAGTATCGCATGAAAATAAAAATTATAACACAAAACACACCTTTCTGATCGCGTGTCATTTAAAATGCTAAATTTGACTAGTATTATTTATGATTCAATAAAGCACTAGATTTAATAACGAAACAATTTTTGTCAAATAATTACTTAATTATCGTTCAATTTATTCAGTTTCGAAAATGTTTAATTATACTTAAATTAAGTTATAAAATTACATATTTTAAAGTAACTACCATTAAAATAAACTTTTATAAATGACCGCTGTACACTACTATATTGACAAATTTAATGGTATGGAGTCATGTGTCATTTATCATACGAATATCAATATTACTATGAAATATATGTATAAATGTTTTAAATTTGCACGGAATACGAACAATATTTGTTTACGAATAATATTAAATAAAACTGTGGCTAACGTCGTTGTTATCAACTAAATATCTAAATTAATGTTAATTAATTTAATTTAAACGAGCATTAAAGAATGTAATTAAGAAGGTTGAAAGTTCTAAAGACATCTTTTTAAACTAATAATGACAGTATAAATTATTCATAATTTAGATTTAAAATGACATAAATATGTCATTCAACAACTTAATTTTAAAGTTTTATTTCTACATTAAAGCAAATTAATTGTATAAGAAATAAAAATTAAAAAGATTTTTTTTTTTTGTTCGTGTTAAGAAATTTAAGTTATATCAAATTCCATTTGTTTTGTACCAAATCTATTGGTTACAATACTTTTGGTCCTAAATATACATTCAAAATATTCAACTCGAATGTTAACAGTCAAAATTAATTACATGAACAAATTCAACATTTGACATTTCTGCCCTTTGACACGACACAAAAAAATAATATCTAAGTTACCCAACTTTAAGTATAATATTAGTTGTCTTATTAATAATTGAAATTTGAAAAGAGAAAAACTTATGAATGTCACATATTTGATACAATATTGAAATTTTAGAATTCGTTTTTAAATTATTTTTCAATAAAATATATATACATTTATTGGGAAAAATGTTGGATAAATAACTGTAACATTTAGTTGTAACTCATATTATAATGATGGAGTAGTAAGATAATTATTTTAACTGAACTAACATATCTGCTTTAGTCGGCTTAATTTATTAGCAATAGATGCCCAATATTAAAGATTTATATAATTTATTGGATATAATAAGTTGAAATCAGGAGCATAAGAGGAAAAGAAAGTTTTGTAACAATTATCTTATTATTTCAAATTATAATTCCTAAAAATCTGTCACTAATTAACAAAGAAACATACCAATGTGGTTCGCCAAGTCACACTATACCCATCGGTCTTTATTTCTCCACTTATAAGTCCACTTGTAGGAATATTTTTCTAGCAAACAGTAATATAATTTATAACAATTATCTAATATTCGAATAAATTATATATTGTATATTTAATGATAAATAATTGAGCTAGTATATACAGAAGTAGTTTCATAAATAGGCGCGAGTGCATAATTATTTTTGGAAAAATAAAGCGATAGTATAACTTAATATGTAATAAAAATATTTTATAAAAAGCACAGTTAATATGAACTTTTTTAAACAATTTTAAGTAATTAAAATTTGATTTAAATGCGAGAATTTTTTTTTTCAACTGAACAATTAATAATCTTTTTTTTCAACGAGAAGTGTATACTTATTGTGTACAATAAGTATTTGATGCAAAATGTGTTAAATATTGTTTTTAAATTCTTTAAACAATAAAAAAAAAACAATAATATTTTAAGAATTATCTATCATATATTAATAAGTTATAATTAAAAATTACGTTACCTATGTTTTTAGTGGAATAGAATTGGTTCAATCATTAGAAAGCAACTACGTGTTCAGTGAACATTTCAAATCGAACTTAGATCTCAGTTGAGTTTGCTCATTAACGATATTATAACTAGACCGTAGACGATATCCTTTGACCTTATGATTAGGAAATTTACGCAACAAAAAAGTCCGCCTGGGCCATACAAAATATTATCATGATAAAAATTTGCGTTAACAAGTGTATACTAACATTGAGAACAGCGTGCAAAATCAAACACTAAACATATACTAGATAACAATTAAAAATAGCTGTTATTATTCATAAAATAATGTTAAAAATTATAGGCGATGTATAAGTATTTATAAAAAAAAAAAATATTTATCATTATAGAAACGATAAATTTTTATAATCGACAAAATGATAATAAATGATACGATAAAATTAATATCACTGGACTACCATCAATGGAATGAGCATGTTTTAAATGTAGAGCGTTATCTTTATTATTGAGTACATCACAATGAATTCTAACACATGTACAGATACATTTTACAGATTATTACCTATTTAATTAACAAAATATAGATAGTAATAGACAACGTTTTGAACGAGAAACGCGCGCGTACATCAATAAAATAATGTGATGCGATAAACGTTTAACTTGAAAACAAAACCTGAACGAACGGTTGACAGACGCAAACTGAAAAAGGCGTGGCCGTCGTGTTTAAAGGGCTTTTACAAAGCTAACGGCCTCTACTACGGCTGTTCATTTATAAAAACCGCCGTACAAAAGCTTTTTCTCCCCGCCACAATACATTTGTTAGCACTGCATATTAGATTTTTAACTAATCGTATTTTCTACATGTGTCTGGGAATGTGTGTTAAGCAGATTCTCTAATCTTATCGTCAAAACGCCGGGCGTGAGATAACACGTGCTACATTGTGATAGAATGTGTCACAAAAAATATTATATATACATGATCACACATTCAAGTATAGAATATTTTACCATCATATTGATTCATAAACAAAATTATCATTATCAAAACTTCGGTTGCGGTACAGAACAGATAAATCAGGAAAAATTTTCCTATTGAAATATAATTACAGACAAAATGGCGGTTTGTAATAAAACAACATATCATCTAATACATGCCTATAATTTATAAATTCCGCACGTGAATTTTAATTTTATGAAATAATTCCTATGTTCTAGTAACACGCTATATTTTTGAAATGCTTGTAACGAAGGAATTATTTCAAATTTAGCAACATGAAATATGAGGCACACGCAAACAAATGAATTGGCACTGATAAGCGTATTTAGATTAGAATGTAACAGTTCTTATATTAATTTTTAAATAAATAGGTTAAATTTATTTGTCATTTATCAAACAAATATTATCATCACATTTAAAAAAGCACAAGATACCATCATAAAATAATTTTAAATGATAAATTACTGAAATGAAATATCAATATAATCTCAATTTCAATTTCGAATATAAATTATTATTTTCAATAATTATTTTTTTACATTATTAGCTATTAACTTTCAACTTTCGCTTAACACTATAAATCAATAATTCAAAAACATTAATTCATATTATATGCAATACTTGCTTTAAGTTTAGGTATCTTAACATTAAATACTATATGAAAAAGTGAATTTCAATAATACATGCCAAGTATGATAGTAAAATATGAAAATATTAGTTCTTATCAACTTGTATACTTATTTTAAATTGTGATACTTAAAACAGACATTAATGTTATCTGAATCTATATTCTATTTGTTCCAAGTTACAAAAAAAAAAAAAATACACCTGATTAACAAATTAATGTTACAAATGGATACGATTTCGAAAAAAAATTAATAAATTGTAGAATTTCAATCATTAAACAAGTGTTATTATATTACTTTTATTAATGTCATACACACATTAAATGTAAGGTGAATCTACTTTAAATAAAACATTTAGATCTCATGATATATTTAAATTATTACTTGAAATTAATTTATGAGTAATAAGGCCACACAAAATGTTGAAAAAAGAGCTCTTAGTTATTGTCAGCGCGCATAAAAACAATAGTGTTATACACGAGTAGGAGCAATAGAGTTTAATAGTTAAAACAATGTGTTGCTTGGCAACTTATTGGAATATTGAAGAGTTCAATATTTTATTGAAATTATAATCTAGATAAAATATATTTTTAATTCACATTAAAATGTGTAACACTTATCAATAGTCTACATTTTTGGCTGCTCAAGAGATCATTAAAACATTTACTTTTTTATGAGTTATTTATATCGGAAATAGATAATATATTTTAACTGATAAAATAGTCATGTTTTTTCATCCTGAAACATTGAAAACAAATGTTTCAATATAATTCATAAGATACACAATTAAAAATTGATATGTGATTAATGTTTTGATTGTTCATTATTCAAAATTACTTCTTTTTAAATGCAACATTTGTATTATTTATGTGTAGGTTGAATGATACTATTTAATGAAGTATTTAACAGTGAACTTGTAAATGAAACGATTGTAAATTGTATGACTGATTACTGCCTACCGGGTGGTTAGCAGCTGTCTCGGGACTAACGTTGCCTCGCATAATGCTACATGTTAGTAAGGCTTGTTTAACTGACAACTAATAGAAGACTGTAAAATGAAACTAAGGGCTCACACTACTTAGGTTAGCCGCATGTGTCTGAAATGTATCACAAATATTTATTAATGTAAAAAAATGTGTTTTAATACTGTTATCATCGAGTGGGGTTTTCATGAACAAATTATGTAAGAATTTCTTACATATGTATCGTTGACGTACCATGTCATATGAGGCATTAAAGAAGAATATATTGATTCAGATTTAATAAAAAATGTAAAATATTACCAACAGTACATAATACATTTAAAATAATAAAATTAAAATACATAATACATAAAAAAAACTATACGACACAGTAGTGATATACCTACCAAAATGTTAGCATTCAAAATGTGAGAACATAATTGTGTTTCTAACTATAATAACGGATATATCTAGTTGTGGAATACATACATAATTCGTTAGAAGTTTCATGTTAGTGGTAATTTAGTAAAATTAAAAAATACGATAAATGTAAATCAGTTGATAGAATTTAAAACAGGTGAAGTGTAATTATAATTGTTGTTAACAGCAAATTTAAAAGTCCCTTACACATTAATGTAGTTCATAAAATTAGTCAACGTTGTATAGTCATAAAATATTATTACATTTTAAATTGAGCAGAACTAAATTGCCATCAATATTTTCTACACAGACATGGCCTGGCCCGTCTACCACTACATCAGATGTGTTTAGTCAGCAACTTAATAGACCCGTTTATTCTAGTAATAAATGCTGATGACCCTGATTTCGACCCCTATGGCAGAACACGTCTTGTCAAAACTAATTTGACATTTTATTATATAATATTATATGGGTGCGATCATCGACAGTTTCCTCTTTTCAATTGAACGACGATATGGATCGACGACAAAATCCTATCGAAGCTAATTAAAAATTTAATGATTTAATAAAAGACTATAATTATTAATTCCATTAAAAAAATGTACTTTAATTTAATTGTTAAAAATTAAAATTAAAATTAATTAATATAATACCTCTGCTCAATTATATCAGATAGTGCAAATTTAAATTTTCGGTTAACATTTCGTGTACATACAAAAATAGATAATTTACTCACAAATAACAATAATAACCTAAGTAAAAAGAAAACAGAAATAAAGAATGTAAAATGAATTTGCTAATAATAGAATGTCTCAAAAAAGGCGCTGCGACAAACCTTATCCTCCGCCGCCGTTTATGTAATAATAATAGACAACACATCGACGCATTTACAACTTTCTATAAATACAAAAATATTAAATGACCATAATTTCATAGTGCTCCAAAGTTAAATTACAATAAGGATATTCACAAGCAGAGGAAAATGCTTATGTACGACAATATTTTAGGAACCACCTGTATCACTCAGGTTTTATTTAATGAAATTCTAATGAAGACGGAGAAATGCAAAAACCAATGATTTTTTTTCAACATTCACATACAAAAACAGGTCAAAGATCGTAAGTGGTCGATATTGTAAACACAATGTCAGTTAAGGATAAAAGACTACTGTATAGTAGACCCTTTATGTATAATGTGTAAATAATAACGAATATGGATGGGTGTGGTGTGGTAATATCCGTTGTTTAATGCCACAACCCTATTCTGGTTTTATTGTCTTCGATTTAATTAACAATATAAAAAGAATATATTTATGTCTATAATGATAACTTTACGCGAATAATGATGGGCGACATTTTCTCAGGGCGGAGTCTGGGATGCGGATCTATGAAAAGGGGAAATAAAACGGCCAGGGAATGGTTTTTTAATGCGTTTGCGCACCAAAATCTCTAAAACGGGAATTTATTTACGTACAAATTTTAGATCTAGGAATCAAGAAAACTGACTTTTTACTGTAAAGTAAAAAAAGAAAATCAGTATCCTGGATAGTTTCTAAGATATCTATTTTATTTCTTTTACATTTAAACCGAATTGAAAAGGGTTTTATTTATGTTTTTTCATTTGGAGCTAAATTTGTATATTTTATTATTCTATAAAAAATGAATTTTTATTTATAAAATAGATTTGAAAAAGACAAACTATATTAAATTAATAATATTTTTACCAATAGACAAAAAAATAAATGAATAAATAAGAAATATCACTAAAAAAATAATTTGATAAACTAAAAGGCATGGAAAATGAAAATTTTGTTGGAATTAGCAATATCAATTCTATTCTTCTTAATCCATTGAATTTATATTAAAATGAAAAGTTAACTATAAAAAACACTATTTTAATAGCCATCTAAAAATGAAAATTATTTATCTACTTTAGTTTATCCCCACTGATAAAATATCGCATTTAAGTGTTACGTAAGACTTATTTTCTTACATTTATTTTAACTTTTACATATAGATAATAAATCAATGAAAACTTACAACATACTTTCCAAAGAATCTTTTATCCAAAGTTATCCAAATTTTTTTTTTTTGTAACAAGTAAAAAATTTGGTTGCAGCAAAAAATTGAAAACAATCAAATTACATTTGAAATATAAGTACCATCCAATATACACATACTTTTTTATATACATGTTATCCAATTTCATTTGGCATCCTAAATTTAATGTATACCATCAATACTACTCGAACATGTTCGAGTAGTATTGAAAAATGTTATTATTATATAATAACATTAATTAATAATATATATTATTAAAAATGTTAGTATTAAAAAATGTTGATAATTGAATAAACTTACAAGTTATATATTATAAAATATTTTATATTTTACATTGTAATCAAAAATGTAATACAATTTTATACCAAAGACCATTGATTCAAGTACTAAAAAAAAGTTTTTTTTAATTTATTAAAAAAATATACTGGCTATTTGAATATTAAGAGAATATAGTAAAATTTTCAAATAAAACTATTAAATGTATAAGTTAATGTTAATTTTGACGTTTAACGCAAAACTTAAGTAATATTAGAATTTCTTAAAATTATATATATATTTATATAGACAAATGGAGGCAAATCTGTGTAGCGGTAATGGGGCTCCATGGCCTTTGAAAAGCCGAAAAAGAAGAAAAGAATATATATATAAATTACAAAACAAAATGAAAGAAATTTTAAAGCGATTCAATAAGATTTAAAAAAGTTAAATCTTATTTGTTGACTTATGAGTTAAACCCTGTGTGACAAATCAGTGGCATAGTATCGTTTTAAATTTTTATACAAAAGTCAACATATGATTATTAGAATTTAAAAACAATTGATTTATAAATATGAGGGGTCAAAATATTATCTTCGTCGTGAATTATAAACGATCGATAACATAAAACATATTTTTAATATATTATACAGTCCATGAAGACCACCTGTATGTAAGTAATCGATTATCGATAACACTTGGCCCAGGTCAAATAAATGCGACCCCAAAATAATGATAAAAAACAAGTACAAACTCCAAATTTCTATTGGATTTTTTTTTTATCTATATTTATTTCATGAGACATTGAATAGAGGGCAAATGTATAACATCACAATATCCTCTCGAGTATATTAAAGTCTCGGTTACTTAAGCTAAAATGCACATCAGATTAATGGTACACCTGGAAGTAGGCCATCTTATAAAACAATCTCAGTGTTATATGATTATATTTTACATACATCAGTTATATTATTCCTATCAGTAATATTAATTAATATTAATATTAATACATACGTTTCTTAGAATAAGTTAGATTTTTATGAACATAAATATAAATTTTAAAACAATGAAGAAATTAAAAAATATAACAATGGCTTCATGGTTTTAACGAGGAAACTTAATAAAAATCTGATATTAAATTTTTAGTATTATTTCAAATATAATTTGATTAAGTAATGAACATGACAACAGTGATAAGTGAGCATGGACATAAATTAGGGTATTTGAAGGGGCTTAGCCTCTTCAAAATTACAGAATAATTACAAATATATGATTAGATAAGAAAATACGTGGAGGGAGAAATTACACATAACGAGCCCCTCCAAAATTTTTGTAGAAATTGCACCTATACATGAGAGTAGATGTCACTAATATTCTACAATTTACCTTATTTTAGTTTATAATTATTCCATCTGGATTAATCTTTAATTGATAATCTGTAGTAATTAATAAACATACATTAAATGAATAATTGACATACACAGTTTTCAAATTAACCAAAGACATATAAAATTCAGTAGATGAATCTGAAAAGTGTCGTATACCTACACTTTAAGTTTTGAACATCATTTAAAGGAGATTCTTAAGAGGGTGCTAAAGTACTTTTATTCGGCGCATCAAAATACGTAAAAATATTCTTTCTCTTAAAATTACGCCTTGCTATTGTAGAATAATACTAAAAAAGCAAATAAAACACATTTTTTTAATATATTTTAAAATTGATATAACCAAAGATAAGTATGAATGTACACGTAATGAAATCAATAACATAGACATTCATTCGATCCATAATTGATAATATATATGTCTATAAAAAGATTGTGTCAACATCAAACATTAATTTCATAAAAAAATGTATGATTCCATTTCTTAAATCAATAGTAAAAAATCTTTTATAAGTTAATTTATTTCGCAAATCTAAACGCAATTGAAAATTATGACGTTGAAGCTTTCAATTTTTTTAAATAATACCAATTGGCGTGTGATATTTAAGAAAAGTAGTAAATTATTTCATTCAAGTATAAAAAAAAAAACTCGTAAAGAACAAATCGAAACTATTGGAAGAAAACTGATTACAGCTTCATAATATCATCATCCTGTAATTATATTTCGTTAAGGATGATCATTTTAAAAGAGAGTATTTGTTATTCTTTTAAATAATAATAATAAATATTATTTGTAACGTGGAAACGAATGATATTTCAATAAATCCAGTTTAGGCATAATATATTTCAGTCCGTTTTTGTAGTGAGGTTCAGACTGTAAGATTACTTAAAAATTCAATCATTGGACTCGCACGTTGTGTTAAGCAAATTAATTAACAAATCGAAGGTAAGAATTTACGCCGTTTGTTTTTTATACATCAAATACTTAGTTATTTTATAGGTTATCAAAGTTACGTCAATAAAACAAAAATGTTTGCTTACCAAACAAAACTTCGTACGGTTCAAAGTATCGGCTGCTCATAACAAACAATTACTGAACATTAGCGCGGACACTCGACAGCCGTCAACCTCTACACTGTCGCATTATCTTGCTCGGTTCATGCCGAAACGTCTACTATTGCGCGCATAGAGGGTTATCATTATTAGGCAGTACGGCTAAAAGTGTCGTGCATGACAGCAACGTAGATAGCGCAAAGCACAGATGTTGGTTCCCCCTCGTCGAGCAACGTGGTTGTTCGTGTCACATAACGTATGATATTATAATAACATATATCATATACGTTCGGTGGATACATGAAAATTTGTACGCAATGAATAATGTGAACACATGTTAATAGGTTTCAGTATAAAACGTATTTTTTAAACAAACGCGTTTACTCGATGATCGAATTTAGGGGAAGAAAAAGCAAAGGCAGAATAACCTTTTTCCGAAATAATTACTATTATCTCTGTTTGTACTCTTTCAAGAACCAGTCGCAAAACTGGATGAGACTGAAGGCTTCACGCATTTTTTTAATAACTGCGTGTATCTTTATGACAATATTTATTTTGTGTTCTTAAAACGTTTGTAAGGGAGTAAGTAAATTAATTAAAAAACTCTTTTGAATCAAATTAGCGACTTAATTTCGGATGTTTCGGGGGAAATTGCCTCAGACACATCATTTTAAATCTTTGATATTCTTGTTCTAAAAAACATAAACTACACCAGTATGATTAATTTTGAGATTTATTACGAGTTCATAAAAGAACAGCACACCTTTCCCCGTCAAATGTATGTAGGATTACGAAATGGGTGTACGCAAATGAATACTCTGTGTACTCGGTAAATTAGCGATCATTTATGACGCTTCTGTATTATCAAGCAATTTACTAAGTATACTATGTATACGGTTAATAGACAGACACGTGCTCAAGATTAAAATTTAAGACAGGTCCGGTTATAATTATATTTATAATTTAGACTTATAGTACCTAGGTTTGGTTTTTGCAGGGGTGTTTTAACGAGTTTTTGTGGTCATTAGGAATTAAACATTTAATGGGTCCCGTACCTAAAACTGTAAACAGGAATAAAGCCTATAGTTCCGGACGGGTATACACGCTGATCATGTCATCGAATATAAAGTTGAAGAGATTAAAGAAACAAATAATTGATTTCAAAATAACTGAATTTAAAATTGAGAAATGCTATCTTTTCAATGCAGTTGGTTTAGGATATCGACGATAAATAGCGCTTGGTTAAAAAATTCTATGTAAACTTTAATCCATCGAAGGAGTAGTTATTTAACTTTTTAATTTTGCACTCGTTTTATTTTTGTCACTTTTGACTCCTTCAGAAAGTATATTTCGAATTTTCTTTGGATATTTTTTTTAATATTATTAATTCGTTGTATATTTACTATAGCAGCCTTTATTTTAAGCAAATGCAAATTTAATCAAGACGCTATCAAAATATTCTATATTAACTTCTAAAAAAATATCTAGCAACTACACTTTTAATAAAATTCAAATTTTAATAAATCAAATTTACAATGCTTTTTAAATTGACAAGGATGTTTATTATCATAAAATTTATAGATTTTAAAAATGTTACACACTCTGAAGTCTGGAGTTGTAAATAGAACTGTTTAATTACATGTTGATTGTTATGTGCTGTAAAATTTCAATAAAGCAACCCGATCACGAATACATATAATCAATTCATATAAAAAATAATAAGTTGGAGATATATTTTCTGTCCCCCTTATCAATAACCCACAACTACGTCCCTTCATAGAACGTTTATTATCAATGAATAAACTTAAACATTTTAACATTTACTCAGCTCATTTTAGTTCAGCGACGAAAATATTAAAGGACGAGATACCACACTAAAAATGTATAAATACATCTCTTTTTTTATAAAATGCATGTATTAATAAAAGTAATGGTCTATTTGGGATGCATACAGCGTACACCCATCAACAATATTTTTATTTAACGTAGATCCTTGACAAATAATACATATGTATATTTGTATTGAATGATTTACGCTCACTATTCATATACCCTGAAATGCAAAAATGGTTTATGCGAAAATATCACTAAATATAAGCTATAAAATGATGTGATTTTTCGTCGTTATATTAAAATCTTCACTATCATCATTTGTCTAAATTTATAATTACTTCTAGGCGAATAAATACTAATCATACCTCAGAAAATGTGGACATGTTTTTATTATAGCGCTTTCTAAAGGAATGAATCGTAACTGTAAACTTATTATTCGAGTAAAAAATGATAAACAGATAGCGCTACATTACTAATTTTTATATCACAAAATAATATACTTCAAGGATGACCGGTTGAACGTTGAATGTAGATCAATGAAAAACCGGGTTAGAAATTCATCACAAATAAATTGTATAACAATTCAAAGTTCAAGGATCAAATTGTGTTTAAGTTAACATATTTGTAATTATATTAATTACAATTCGTATCACATTATTATACAATTTTTATTGTTATAGAAATCGTTTTTAGATAAAAAAACTACGTTTTAAACATACTAGTTCAATAACCGTTATGATTATTTGGATTAAGTCCATTTTAATATGAAAAAGATGCAAATAACTTAATATTTTTGGAAGAAATAAAATAAAATAATCAATTAATAATTGTATTCTATATATTATCAGTACTTTAATATAATTTATTTAGTTACTTTTATGCGAGAGCCTCCATATCATCATGTACGATCATTTATATCTTAAAACGGATCATCTAAAAGGTTTTGATAATTATAAAGTAAGTTGTACACATAAATATTTAACTGGTTAATAAAAATTCTTGTTTTTTAACAAAATTATTTTAGTATTAATTTGTAATTTTTTTATGGTTAATTTTATCAAGTTACAACATTCTTTTTTTTTTAAAACTATCCTTTAAAAGGGTTTATTGATTTCTTTTCAGATACTTTTTAGAAAAATGAAAGAAATAATACTTAAAATTAGAGAAATGTGTCAATTAAAAGTTATTTTTTTATATTTATTTTAAATACAAATGAGTAAATGTAAAAAATATAAGATTTTTTGATTAATATGTGTTGCAATTTATGGTAAATATATGTACTCGGCTACTATTGTTTGTACATATGTAGCAAAATCATCTTTCTTACTCCTTATCTTGTTTTATTGAATTGGGGCATTAAAACTTGTAATTTAATGAAGTAAATGACTATTTACTTCTAATAAGAAGTCTTTTTAGTTCAAAAAACGTTTACCTTAATATTAGAAAGAATCTACTAAAAACGTTCATTGGGAGAGTAGTATCAGAGTAGCACTAGAATGGAAAATATAAGGAAAAAAGACCATTAGTAAAATATGGATTGACATGATAAAAGAAGATCTGAAAACTTTGAAAGTAGAGAACCGAGAGGCATTGGAAGATAGAGAAGGGTGGAGACTAGTAGTAATGATGTCAAAACTGTTAAAGAGTAGATATGACAAGAGAGGAAAAAGAAGAGTATAATAATGGTTTAATGCTACTTTTATTTAGCGTAATTAAGTACTGAAGGGTTAAATAGCAAGTTACTTAAAATTCCAAAAGTGTGCAAAGTTGGTAAGCCAACTTTATTTTTAGGGTCCACTCTAGGTACGAGCTACCTGGACACAGGGCAAAGGTTAAAATTTTCATTTTTAGGTTATTTTTTTTATAAATATGAGATAATGACTAAAAAAAAATGTCATCCAAAAATAAAGTGGGCATTATATGAAGTCTGCATCTATGATTTTATTACTTGAATTTTTTAGTTTTTAGTCTGTATAACTTATTTTCTTTTTAAATTATATGTAGTTTTGTAACCTATGTTTGTTTTAATTTTTCAGTATAATGCAATTGATACCAATCCATTGGGGGTGTATGTTATGCATCCATTTTGGAATTTTACTATTAAAGTATGTGTTTTTTATTATTATTATTCATTTATATTTTATAAATTTTTATTATATATTAGCAGTAGCAAATTAGTAATAATACAATATTAAATTAGATATAATGTATTTTTTTTTAATTGAAAAATCATTAGTCATAACTTATTTTTTTATTTTTGCTGTATATTGTATAAAAGTTGTAATGTTTATTACAACCTAAAAGTTTCTTATTGAAATTATAATATTAAAGTCTAAAATAAATTTTTATAATTATTTAATTTTTATTCTAATTCAATTGCTGTTAATTTTCATTTTCAATTTTTTGTTTGTTGGCCTTTAAAATATCAATGTACTTGTACCTAATAATTTAAACAATTCGTTTTCAGTTTATTCCTAGATGGATTGCACCCAACTTATTAACATTTGTTGGTTTTCTCTTCACAGTGGCAGCCTCTTTATTGCTTAGTTATTATGATTATGGGTTCTACGCTTCAGGAAAGTTATACAAAGGTAGCTCTATACCAAATTGGGTATTTGGAGTTGTATCATTATTTTTATTCATATCTTATTCTCTTGGTAAATATATACAAAAATACATCAAACTTTTTGTTTTATAGTTTTACGTATTTATTAATTGGGTTTCTTAAAAGATGGTTTAGATGGTAAGCAAGCCAGGCGCACTGGTACTAGTGGTCCTTTAGGAGAATTGTTTGATCATGGACTAGATTCATGGACAACAGTTTTTATACCAACAGCTCTGTATTCAATTTTTGGACGCAACGATCCAACTACTATTGAACCAATTAGAATGTATTATATATGTCTTATGGTATTCATCAACTTTTATTTAGCACACTGGGAAAAGTACAATACAGGAGTGTTGTATTTACCTTGGAGCTATGACTGTTCAATGGTTGTAAGTAAAGTGAAATAATTATATATATATTTATATTTATTTTAAAATATATTAACATAATAAAAAAAAAATAAGTTAACATAATAATTTACAAAATGTATTATATAAAAAAAGCAAGACATTTTTGTAAACTTTCTGGTAAACAAAATTTTCAGAAATAAAAAATAATGAAGTGATACTTGGGTATAATACTAACAATTTTAAGTTTCTGAATTCTTAAATTAAAATTAGGTACTATGAGCTTAACTTTAATAGATAATATTTTAGTAAGTTCTTACTTTTCTTAACAATTTCATCATTAGTATACTTATTTTAGCTTCGATGCGAAGCTGAGAAGGTATTGGTTTTACTAAGATGTGTTTTTTTTTTTTTTTTTTTTTTTGTGTCTGTTACCACTTTTTCTCAGCTCTCACCGAACCGATTTCTTTCAATGATACGTCAAAAGATCACAAATTGTATCTAGTCGAAGGCATTACCCTCAAAAATTGAAAAAAATTCCCTCGTTCCCCGTAAATGGGGGAAACCTCCAAAAAAATTACGAATTTAAAAATCGCTAATTTTTTCAATTTTTTTTACTTAAAAGTGCCATAACTTTTTCAAAAATAAACATATCAATATATTTTTTTTTTTTATAGATTTATAATATCATTACCTTTCATTTGGTATATTTTTTTTCATAAATTTAACCCTTAACCTGCCCACAAGGGGGGATTTAAAATGACAACTTTATCACAAAAAATTAACTTTTTCAACCTGACTTTTGAAAATGTTCCGGAAAGTCTGACACTTTTATATATATCTTAAATTAAAGCTAATGTAATGTTCTTTATTATGTAAAAAAAAAATTTCGGACTTTATTTTATCTTCACGGTCAAAATGGCTACTGAATGCTATTTTTGTGTGAACATTTTCGATTTTGTATTTTACATTTTTAACTTTATTATGCTATAACTTTTTGAAAAATGTATGGATCGGTACAATTTTTGCATGAGAAGTAGCATTCATATACATCTTTCATTTGACATACTGTTTTTTTAAATCGGACCATTTCCCTATATACGAGGGGGGTTCAAATCTAAAAAATGCATGTAGAAAGTAGAACTTTTTCAACTTAAATTTTGAAAGTGTTCCGGAAAGTCTGACACTTTTATATATATCTTAAATTAAAGCTAATGTAATNCATCTATGCCACGTCACCACTGTGCCGCGACCCCCATGTGCTGGGTTTTTTTTAATTTAAACTAATTTTTTTTATTAGAGTAAATTTTTTTCTAATTTATGTACAGGGGATTTTTCACAGGGTGACATTGTTGTCACAGTCAAGGATTGTTAATTATTAATTATGACTATCAATAGATATACTTTCTGTATTGTGAGTTAGTGTATTTATAAAGTCACAACGACGTTTTTTACTACTATTGTTAATAACAATGCTGTGTACCTTCTAATATTGATAATAGTTCAAATTAGAAAACTAAAAAAAAACTTAATATTTTTGTATATTTTGAGTATGTATGGTAAATATACACCATTCTAAACTGTACCTACCCTTCTACATACCCATTATAAGTATTGTTTCTTATATTGTTACTCAATAAGTAATCGTCCTAAAAATGTTATTGGTTCATAAACATTGTCTGCAAGAAAGCTCTAAATAAAATAAAAGTACTATTTTGAAATTTTTAAAAATAAAAAATTTTAAGTTTATCATATTATAAGTGTATAAATTATAAGAAAAAAAATGTTAATTGTATCAAAAGTTATAAGAATTGTTAGTTAGATCTGATTCACCTGTATATATGTATTTTTTCTTATAATTAATTTTTTATTTAAAGGGTTTAGTATTATTTTTTGCTCTCACTGCAATTGTTGGGCCAGAGAGATGGAAAATGACTGTGATAAAACAATATTCTTTTGGTCAAATTACTGAAATTTTATTTTATATTACGACATTCATAAGCAATGTACCAGTTTCTATTTATAATATCTATGTGTGAGTTATAAACAGAAAAGTGTGTAATATTTAAAATTATTAATTATTTCTTTTGTACAGTTGTTATAGAGATAAAACAGGCAAAAATCTTAGTTTGTATGAAGGCAGTCGACCTTTAATACCTTTAACTGTATTTGTATCGCTTTGTTTAATTTGGATAAAGTACTCATCTACAAATATTCTAGAAAGAGATCCTCGTATGTTCTTCATGATGAGTGGAGCTGTGTTTTCTAATATTTCAGTAAGTATTTAAATTGATATTGCTATGTTATTTAATGATAAGATTTTCATACTATTATTTTTGAAAGCAAATTATTTAAAGTTTTACGATCTTGTAATTTATTTTAACAGATCTTTGAATAATTTGTTGAGAATTATAACAAATTTTAACAATATTAGTTGTGTGTTTTTTAGTGTCGTTTAATTGTTGCTCAAATGAGTAAAACTCGTTGTGATGGACATAATATTTTGTTGACGTTTTTGGGTTTTGCTGTAGTTCTAAGCATATATCTACCTTCCATTGAACTATTGGTTATGTATCTCATGACATTGTTAAGCATATTGGCTCATATTCATTATGGAACATGTGTAGTGAGTAAAATTCATTTTACTTATATAGGTGATCAAAGAGTAAGAAAACGAGTCAATTATTACAATTAGGAGAGCAATAAAAACTCTTTTCCTTACTTATTGACACTCTTTATAATGAAATTATATATTGTCAGTAACATCAAATCTTAATAGGTTAAACAAATGGCTGATCATTTCAACATACAATGCTTCAAAATTCCATGTAATAAAAAATAATTATTATGTTTGTGTGTTTTATTGATCTACTTAAATAGATGAGTTTTACCAAACAACATTAAATTGAAACTTTACCAAACTTTATTTTTAATGTAATACTTACAAAGTTAAAATGTAACCTTTTAGATCAATTGATTGTTGTTTTTAGGTTTTATTATTAAATACTTACAATACTTTATACAATTATGGGCCTTGTTTATTAAATATTTTAATGTATTAAAAACATATTGCTAATTAACTAACATAATTAAAATTTAACCAACTTCCGGATAATGACTACAGAAGGCAAGGCTTAGTTTATATATATATATAAAAAAAAATTAGAAATTTATCTGTTTTTTACCAAACAAATTTTGCACATGAATTATTGTACAAATGTTTTATTTCCTTAAATAAATTTTATTGCTTAGGTTATTTATTTGCAAATTGTACATCCTAACAGTTTTATTTATATTTATTGTTTGAGTAAGAATTTAATTTTACTTAAGTGTATATTGTTAACATTTAGATGGATAATGATTATGTACTTACAATCAAAGCTAGAAAATAATTCAATCTTTTAGTTTCATCAATTTATGTATTATAATTTACTTTTATGAACATTACTTTTATAAAATTAATAGTTTTTCAAATTAAAAAAAATTATATATTTCAGTTACATTTTTGTAATATATAAATAAAAATGATCATAAGTATTATTAAGATTTATTCCAAAACATTAATTTGATCAGGTATATTAATTTTGTATTTATTTAATTTTATTATTTACAACTTTTTAATTGAAAATAGTGAAACAATTAAAAAAATTCATTCTATAACCTAATAACTTATAAGTGGTATAAAAACAATTGGTTCTTTGTTATAATTTAGTAATAAAATATTTAATATAATACATTTAACCGATATTAGACATTAAATTCTGTTGATTTAAAAAATTTATTCTTTAATAATAACAGGTATACCTCTTGCAATTAAAGCAGCATTGTTAAAAAAACTCCTAGTTGTTTTCCTAGCAACAGCTAATGTACGTAATAACTCACGCTCTCTATAACTTTCACAAGGTTCTATAAAATCCTTGGGCCATAATTCTGAAAATATAAACATAATTATTTAATTTATAAAAAAATATAAGCAGATGCTTAGAATCCAACATTAAGGAATTTTTTACATTTAAGAAAAATATTTAATATTAATATTGAATTATTTAAAATGTGACTTTCCAAATAATAATATAAACCAGATGTTTTTGATATTTTAGTATTATTTTAATTATACTAATATAATAACAATATTACAAAAGGATCATTATTAGATAATTATAGTTAATTTTTTTAATATATTGGAAATTAAATTGGTTTATTGATTGAGCTCTGAAAATCTTAACAAATTTTAAAAAAAAATATGAAGCTATTATTTATACACTTTTCTAGAAAAATTAAAAATGAATATTTTTAATAATTTTTTAAAAGACAAAAAAAAAAGGTACTTTGAAGAGGGTATTTAAAAATTATTTTGAGCGCAATCATTATGGATATCAATTCATAGTAGAGAGGTAAATTTCCACGCTACTATACATTTTAAAAGTAATTTGAACTCATACAAAATTTCTAATTACACTACTGGTTCAATGGAAAATACTTGGTGTAAATTTTTGAAGACAAAACAAAGACACCATTTTTAAATAACACATACAGGTGCATTAAGTATTCCTAGATTTATGTTACATCGCCTAATATGTGTAATAAATAAGACATAACATATTAACTCATTTTTTAGTATTTTGAGATATATCATATTTCTAAAATGAGGTTTAAATTTAAATTAAATTTTTTTTTTAATCTAGTCTAGTATTATTTTATTTTATTTTTATTAAATATACGGGATAAACCTTTTGAACATATATACACATTATACATATCAGTTATACATTAATTGTACAAATATGATAAATAATAAATTAACAACTATTCAGTTAATTATTGGCAAAGAAGAAATGAAAGGTCAACGTTGGTATTTGACATCATACGTGTAATAGGCTCATTTTTAAGGTAATTAGTGGAGGCAAAAGGAGCAACAGATCGGGAATGACGTTGAGGAACTCTAAAACAAATTAAAGAAAGCAAATAGGAAGAATCAATATTACCTTGTAATAAACTATTTAGGAACTTAATACCCGAGATCCGTCTACGCTCAGCATGCAAAACTGGTCCTAGTTGAGAAGCAACTGGTTCACAGTTGTGGGGTTCACAAGGGATATTCAATCTAAAACTAGCATATCTCATGAATTTACGCTGAACCCTTTCAAGTCTAATAGAGTCATTGAGCTCATGTGGATCCCAAATTACGGCACCATACTCAGCAATAGGGCGAAAAAGTGCACAATAAAGCACCTTGTATGATAGACCTAAACTAAATCCCTACATAATCTTAACACAAACCCTAGAGTTTTAAAGGCTTTACAAAAAATATGCTCAATGTGGGGTTTAGGATCAAGATCACTACTAAGAATAAATCCTAGATCAGTTACAAAGTCATTAGAACATAAAATCTTAGTAGATCCGAAATGATAAACATATTTGATAGGTGACTGAATCCTGGCAAAAGTCATGGTCTTACATTTAAATGCATTAAGGGATAGCCCTAGTAAATTAAACCAATCAAAATCACTGTAATAAAATACAGTCATCTAAGGAGGATATATGAGAGTAGAGTTTAATATTATCTGCAAAACATAAAATCTGGCTATTGACAGGTACACTTGTTACACTGTTAATGAATAGAGAGAACAGGAGCGGAGATAATAAACCTCATTGATGAACATTGGATATAGCAGGATAGATATTAGATTTTACTCCAAGCAATTTGACCCATTGGTAACGGCAAGATAGGTAAGACGAAAACCAGGACAGAAGAGGTTAACTGATTCCGGATAAGTTAAGGACCTGGATTAGGGCATTGTAATTAACTGAATCAAATGTCTTGTTGAAATCCGTGTAAATGGTATCTACCTGTGTTTTCAAATTAAAAGATTGGTATAAATAGTTGTTAAAGACTAAATTACAGGTAATGGTGGGACGACCAGGGTGAAAGCCATGCTGTTCCTTCATAAGAATTTTATTGATCAAAGGTTGGATACAATGCAAAATTAACAATTCAAAAATTTTGGAAATGTGTGACTGGATTGAAATCGGATGATAGTTGGAATTATGTACATTTCATCAATAAGTACAAATTTGTATTAATAGGATTAAAAACTAGTAATGTTATTTTATTGAGGTTACAGTGTTGGAAGGATCAGGGCATATATTCCATCTAAAATTAAGAATATTTCTATGCTACAATATATTGCAACGATAAAGTTTCATAAAGTTGGTACTTTTAAAATAAAATGCATATAAATTTGAACTCTAGTTAATAGAATATGTAATTTCCACGCTTTCATGACATTTCTTCATTTAATAAAATCTAAAAAATACTTTTAAAACATATAATTTATATATTATGTAACTGAAAATTTAACTGTCGATCATAAACAAAAAATAAGGTTTAACTGTTGACTACTAGTTTGATCCAAATACAAAGTAGGATTGTTTTATATTACATTTAGTCTAGATTTAAACTTAAATATAGGAAAAAAATACATAAGTATATAAAAAAATGTATACTATGGATGTTTTCATAGTGGAGAATATAGGAAATAAAAATCCATCATTATGAAAATAAATAAAAGGTTAAGATGTATTTTGGAGGGAATAGTATTAACAATATTTATATAACAAAACTTGAGAATACCCCTGATATATACATTTTCAAAAAAGCATATGGCTTAAACATATTGTGAAATAGATAAAAAATTAAAATTAATAGTTAAATTACTCATAGAATTACTTGAAAGATTTATGGGGTTACCAGGAAGCCATATATTAAGCATTGCTCGGGCTATATTATCAGTATCTAAACTTATGACATTCCAAAGCATACCAATTAAACAGGGACTAAAAAATAATTAAAAATTTAATACAAATATCAAAAACAAATAACAGAAAAACAATATTTATTACCATCCAGCTTTAAGATATCCGTAAGAAGCACCTACAAAATTGGTTCTTCCACCTTTATCTGAGTGCTTGGCACTAGAACATCCAAATAACATTGGAACTGATTGTAGATCTAGTTTGTCTAATTCTAAGCTATGTAAATATTGAGTTCCATTGCCATGTCCACAATACCTAAAGTGGGTTGAATAGATTTGAAATTTAGTTACTTCCTAATCTAGCAACAAAAATTTCTAAGTTATTTTATAATGTGTTTTAAGGAGAAGGTTGAGGAATATAAGTACTTAAAAATGTATGTCATAACCTGTTTAATTATAAATTTTATACAAATTTTCTTTAGCTACTCCCTATTATTCCCTTAAATACATGTCTGTAATTATGTGATTAAAAAAATAATAATTTTGATATAAATTTTGTTAATATAATATTTGTATATTCAAAATTTATGTAAAAATACACAAATAAAATATGAAAAAAGTTTCTAATACAATCAATCCTTTACAGTTATGACACTGTTGGCTACACAAATATTATTGGAAATAAACTGTAGTTTGATTAAAAATTTAATTATTTGATGTCTCTTTTAGGTATTTTATTGAATTATATACTTTTTTTTTAAAAGCAACAGGCACAAATATAAATGATAAATATTAATTCTTTTTTTAGGTTTTTTTTACGTTATTAAAAGAAAAAGTTTCTTTCACTATTACTTTTTCTAAAATCAGTTAATGTTTTGTTTTTAATAAGTCATTATCTAGTTTTTATCTTACAATATAATGTTATTTTTTCTTAAAATTTCAGTAAATTTTTCTGAAGTAGGTTCTTCACTATGTAAACCTTGCCAATTTATATCTCTTTCTTTTAAAAATGATAACATCCTTTTTTCTGCATTTGATAATGTTTTATCTGTATTTATCATATAGTAACCATTTGTATTTATTTCCCTAAAAACATAAAATAATAATATATTACTTAGGCCTTATTTTAGATACTCACATTAATCCGTTACATATGGAACTCTTATGCTTAACAAATAATCTGTGAACAACATGTACAGATGGAACTCGAGAGACTGGATGTCTCTTTAGATAAGGAATTGTTTCCCATGGCAAACATTCCAAGTGCTTTTATAACAAAAAAAAAATTTCAAGTATAAGAAATCAGTAAATAATAATAATTATAACTAGCATTCAAAATAAAATGAAATATATCGTCTAAACATAAGTTAAAAAAAACACAAGAAGTCCCTATTAAATTAATTATTATCGAAGTGAACATAATGCCCATGCACTCAGACCTTCCCTATTAAATAAAAAACAATGACAAAATATGAAGTTTTTTAGAAAAAAAGGCAAAACATTTAAAACAATATAATAAAATACATTAGTTCTCTTAGAATAAAAAAATCCAGCACAGTGGGGACTTGGCATAGTTGTGTCCATTATAGATGATATCTGACAGTGATTAAAATCACTATCATAAAAAAAACGCTTCAATGCAAATCTATAGATAGTGTTTAATTTTAAAATAAAATTTGATTATTTCAAAAGCAACATGATCTCCTATTTCCATATTTATATTATGATTACAAGTTTTATGATTTATCAGTGTAATATAAGAATAAATATTATAGTAATTAAATACAGTATGAAAAATCACATTTTTTTATCAAATTTTATGTTCATTTTTACCATAAAACAAAATAGTCTGAATTTTTTTTTTTCATATTAAAATATATAAGCTTTAATTTAAGATAATTATAAATAAGTGCCAGTATTCCAGGAACACTTTCAAAAATTAAGTTGAAAAAGTTGTCATTTTGAATCTCCCCCCGTGGGCAAATAAAGGGTCAAATTTATTAAAAAAAATATATATATTAAATGATAGGTAAATACCTCATATATCTATAAAAAAAATTATATTAATTTGGTCATTTTTGAAAAATTTATGGCAATTTTAAGTAAAAAAAATTGAAAAAATGTTGAAAATTAGCGATTTTTTAATTTGAAATATTTTTAGAGATTTCCTCCATTTATGGGGGAACAAGGGAAATTTTTTTTAATTTTTGAGGATAATGTCTTCGACTAGATGTGATTTGTAATCTTTTGACATATTGTTCATCAAAATCGGTTCAGCTAGAGCTGAGACTGAACGTTCAGACACAAAAAAAAAAAAAAAAAATTAATAAAAAAAACACATCATAGTAAAATTATTATCTTCTTAGCTTTGCATCGAAGTTAAAATTAATACTTTAAAATTACAAAATTAATTAAGTTTAAAAATTTTGTAACAGAAAATTAATAATTGAGTGTTTAACTTTTGCATATAACTTTAATAAATATAATAATATAGTAATATTTAAACAAAAAAATACTACTTTTAAAATAAAATGAAATGGGGTAATTGAAAATACATTTTTTTTAAATAAATACACTATTTTGAATTTTCATGAAATATGATAGTAACACATATAAGGACTAGAACTTTTCAATCTAAAATAAACTATGTTAAATATTCTAAGAGAAAAACTGAAGTTTTAATTACTCTATTTGTTTATACTTGATTCACCTAGCCCTAAAATTTCTATTAATGTATTTATTTATAATAAAGTAAACTGAATTATATCTTATTTTTTAAACAAAATTTTATATTCAATAATTTTTAATTACTTTTTATATTTTATAAAAAAATATATTTCGATATATATTGTACGTTTGATGCAGAAAATTATTTATTACTAAATTTTATTTAAAAATAGTTTTTATTAACTCACCTCATCTAATATTAACATAACAGCATATCTTTTTTTTGTAACTAAATAAGATCCATTTAATCGATAAGTATTAATGGCAAATTCCAATTTAATTTTATCACCTTCTTTACATTCTACTTCTTGAAGAGCATTTTTTATTTCAATATCACTTAACATTACAGCAGCATTAGTTATTTGATATAAAATCATTCTTGATCGATCACTTATTACAATATTTTCACTCCTAAAAAAATATTTATATATATATATACAATATACTATAATTAAGGATAAGACATACATTTTTTCAGAAACTATTGAACATTTTTATTTTGTGTAAAGGAAAATATTATTTGATTTAAAGTTTTTTTCATCCCTTGAAGATTAAAAAACCTTAACATTAACTTTCTTAAATGATAACCCCTATTTTTAACTTAATGTGATAGAAAAAATAAAATTACAAACACTTATGTTCTTATAATTTTATTTTATTTGATCAACTGTTCGTTTCTTTTAGCATGTTCAAGTAAAATGTTTTTGAACCAAATTTCTATTGTTATTCTACTATCTTGTATACAAAAGTTATTGATAACTATTAATAGACATATACTATTATATTCCAAACAAGTTTACTATCATACATTGTTGAACGACCGATGGGAAAAATTTTCTTAATAACTACCATAAAAATAATTAATGGCCCATTGAAACAGATTATTATTACCTCCAATTCTAATTCTTAATGAACCACTTTGTATATACAACATGATTAATTAACTATATCCCACACAATATCTTTGAAAGTATAAGTTATTATTATATTAGTATAGACTATTAATTTCTGAAAAAAATTACATATAGTATAGGCCAAACGAGATAATTTCATTTATTTTAGTTTATTAATTTATTTTATGAAATAAATTTTGCGTTAACTATTCATTTGGAAATCAATAAATATTAATCAATAAAAAAATGTAATTTTTTAGTGTATATTTAAACTTTTGGCCTGTACTGTATGTTTTATACTTTTAAAGGTAAACATTTAAAACATTTTAAATATTTAAACATTTAACACATTTAAAAAGAAATTATTTTACTTAATAACATTATCAATCACTTCCAAAACTTCATTTGCAAGTTTGACATCAATGTAATTACCCATAAGCAAACAAATCCAGTGTTTCAACCAACTTGAATGAATTTCTTGAGAAATACTCTAATTATAAATAAAGAGTTTTTAATCATTTTAACTAATTGAAAATTTATAATTAGTAATTGAAAGGTCATATTATATATAAACGATCAAATGACATTATGTATTTATTCTAAACCTTTCTATTTACTAAAATTTCAGAATCTTGGCATGTTTTTTTTATACATTTATTTTATTTATTACAAATTTATTCACTGACTTGAATAGAAATTGATGCAGCTTCTCTTAAGTTACGAATTTTAGAATGATCTTTTACTTTTTTATCATTTGTATCATCCAAACTTTTTTTTAAGACTTCAAAAATTGATTTTTGACCAAGGCTAGTTGTAGGTTTATTTATCTTTACAGTGAATGGTATTCTATACATAATCAATTATTTTAACATTAATTTTGTATAAAAACTTTTAATTTGTAGGTTGACATACATTTTGTTACAGAGTTGACCACATTGGTATCTAGTAATAAATAGATCAGTCATTTCCATTGACATTTCTGCAGGTCGTGGAGTGACTATTTCTTTTGATTCATAACTTCTAGTAATCTGAATCAATGTCCATTCAGGTGGCATTTCTTTTAAGCGATTCAACAAACCATTGTAGCCATCATTAACATATTTAGAATTTAGTGATAAACAATCATTTAGATCTGTATCAATATTAGTACTAAAACAAATATAAATTTAAGAAAACAATTTTTAAATTAATTATAAAATATTCAAATTGAAGTATATGATGTATTAGTCATAAAAGTGTATAGAATTAAAGACATGTTGCCTTGAATATTAAAATTATATTAAATGTTATGACAAGACACTAGGTTTTAAAGTTCAAAAACTACTAAAGTATGATGTATTAAAAAAAAATTAAGAAATGCTCTTTAAATATACTCCTGAATATAAATATAAATGTAAACTTTAAAAATAAGCTTCTAAATTTGTGTTGATACAGCACATTTATGAGTTGTCTTTGATTTTGACAAATAAAAATTTATAATTTAGGCCTTTGCAAGACTTACCTCTGTAATAATTATATAACATAATTATACCTACCATTTTTCCTCAGTAAATATGGTATTATTTATAATTTTTCATATATTTTCCTCATACAATAATAATATAATGTAGTAGTAGTAGTATATACACGTACTTAGGATGTATGGATAAAGAAAGTTTTGAACGAATTCCTCCACCATGTGATTCAGATAGGTAAAAAGCTGCTAATTCATATTTTTTCAAACAATAATTAATATAAGCTGCAGCTTTATTCATATCTAAAAATTTGTTAAAATGAATTAAAACTACTAAAAATGAATTGTATTTAAATTTTATTATTATTATAAAGTCTATTGAATAAATAATTTAAACAATTTTTTTATGTAGTTTGCTTTGCAACATGCTTTCCTGCTAGAGTCCTAACAGTGGACTAAGCTGTACCTAAATGGGGCAACACTAGCCCTATATAATTTATATCATACTAAAAGGCCATTAGCAGTTTCATGTAAATATAAACTCTCAACTAACAACGATAACAGGCATTTTTTTCTATTTAATATTATTTAAAAAATAATCTGACTGGATCTCTAAAGATGTTGGTGGTATCCAAGTTAGGTAAGCGACGACGGTAAGTATACACAAACCAAAATAATAATAATTAGTAAACAATAATAGTATTTATTTTAGAAACCACAATAATACTGTATGAGTTAAGTTATCAGATCACTAAAAATAAGTTGCGACAAGCTTGGTAGAATGTCTTCTTTATGTTTTTAATTAATTTGAGAAGAGTGTAATCCATTTGATTATACCCGCTTATCGCATACTAATAGTTGAGCTGTAGGGACATTTGTTAATTATTAATGTTGGTGAAGGATGAATAATTTGTCATAATAGCTCAAAACTAATTTTAGCATATTACTACACTGCTTATAACCAATATGGTTTATAGTGCTGAAATATTGTAAAAAAAAGTTGACATTTTAGGGAAATACCATGGTATTATAAAAAAATATATGTCATTTATTTAATGTATAAAAGTCCTAAATTTCACTCAAAAAAAGGATGACTATGTTTTATACATTATTTTCTACAATAAATTAAAATTTTCAGTTTCTTTTAAAAGGAAGTTATTTAAATTTATTTTTTAAACATAAGTTAAAATTATTTTTAAAGACTTACTTTCATAAATAGGAAATGGTAATAATATCATTTTTTTCATTTTAGAAATACTTTCTTCAAGATCTTTCATAGTTGAAATACATAATTTATCAAATTCAGATGACATTGTAGTATTTAGGGTTAAAAAAAACTTCACAATTACAATTAAGATATATTTTTTATTTATTAATATACGTAATTATCTTAACATTTTAATTAATAATAACACTTAGTATTCAAATACAGAACAGGACTTTCAAATCACCATTCTAATTATAATAATGTAGTTTACAGCAAATGTTTATGTTATCTAATTTATACATTTAAATTTAACGAATGAATATCTGATATCTGTTATCTACTGTTAAAATTTCTGTTTATATTATTAAGACATCCAGATTTTTTTTTTATTATAATTACTTGTGTAATGGCGCTAGCGCTATAACTCCAACTGTAATCATTATAAACAAGTTTTTTTTTTATTTAAGTCTGCCTTTTATTTTTTGAAAAAAATTTTTGAAAAGAAAATATTATAAAACTGGGGAGCTATGATCATAAAGACTTCTCTAATTATTGTATTAAATAATATGTATCATCTCAAAATCACTATTTTGTTAAGTTTAATAAGCTGTTCGACATTGACTGTGTAACATCAGCTGCTTTACTGTTAGATAACAGGTGCTTTGGTGGCAGGTGGCTTCCATTAACTTCGAAAATTTTAATTATCGTTATATTAAGATACAGTGAAATTCTTATAGAACACTTGATAAATTTACTTGTAGTTTTTGTTTTATTTTAGACTTTTCCTTTGATCTCATCTATGAATATGCTTGTAAGATTTTTGCCATAATAGACTTAGAAAAATATGAAAAAAAAAACAAATAGTGTGTAAGCTAATTATTCACATTATTGAAATTTGAAAATAAAATTTAGATGCATTATTATTAATAAATTATCTTACAAAATATTAAAAAAAATGTTGATTTATCTTAAAAATTTAAAAAGAATAATAGACGTTTTACTAGCAAATCATATTAAAAATCTTTTTTTATAATCTAATGTAATATTTAATTCATATTATAAAATGATGTCATTTCTTGGAAATTTTTTCAACGATACATCCTTATTCACAGGTTAGTAACATTCTTATATCTTTAATATTTAATTAACAAATTATAACTATTGTTTTTTAGTACATGGAGTTGATATGGACTTATGGCTCTGGATGACATGGCTTTTATGGCCATTGATTGTTACATTTCTCTTGCCTCTTACCATAGTATTATTATTCTATATAACTGGAGTTATTTTATATATATATAAATTGCACAGGTACAGTCTACATTATTTAATATTTCTATGTATGTAAGATCATAACATAAATAACATGTCTTCAATATTATTCAATCAATTTTTTAAAATACAACAGTAGTAATTCTATATATTTTGAATGTCATGATTTACCTATGATATACTGGATTTAATTTATTTCTTTAATTTTGTTATTCTTGGTATTCCTTTTAAATAATTTTAAAATCAATTTATACTCTAAAAACAAAATGTTTTCTTTAGGGAAAGACTTATTAATGCCTATGAAAATAACTTTTGGGATGGTGCATTGCATACTGTATCTGCATTTTGGGATGCTCATGGATGGATTTGGCATGGTATATTTTTATATATATTTTGTAAATAATAAAAAATTTAAAATAAAAATTGTTTATAATACATTAAGTTTTATATCATAGTTTTAATTAAAGTATTAAGATAATATTACATAATTTATTTCTAAAATAATAAATGTAAGCATGTGTTAATAATATCTTAAACTAATCCTTAAGCTAAATAATGTAAAATTTAAAATAAACTCACCAGTTTAAATGAATAAAAATTTTTATTTTAAAGGATATGAAGTTAACGGCTTAGAAAATGTACCAATTGACAGTCCTGCATTGTTAGTTTACTATCATGGTGCTATACCTATCGATTTGTATTACTTAATTGCAAGGATATATTTAATGAAGGCAAAATTAGTTCACACTGTAGCTGATCACTTTTTATTTAAATTGCCTGGTAAATATACTTTAAATATATTTTAACTAGATTATTAAAAAAAAGGAAAATTTTAGGATGGTCAATTATATCAGAGCCTTTAAAAGTTATTCCTGGTACAATTCAAACTTGCTCTCAAGTTTTAAAAGAAAATAATCTTCTAGCAATTTCACCAGGTGGTGTTTATGAAGCTCAATTTGGAGATAGATATTATAGACTAATGTGGAAAAAACGTATAGGATTTGCTAAAGTTGCTATAGACGCCAAAGTTGTGAGTTAATTGATATAAACTTTAATTTTAATGTATTAATTTAGTTATACTATACTAATTTTTATGTATATCTAGCCTATTATACCTGTTTTTACTCAAAATCTTCGAGAAGCTTTTCGTTCTATAGGTATTGGACGTAGATTCTGGTTACGATTATACTTATGGACGAGACTACCAATTGTACCTATTTATGGATGGTTTCCTGTAAAACTGCGAACTCATATAGGAAAACCTATTCCATATGATCCACATTTATCAGCAGAAGAATTACAAAAAAAAGTAATTATCATCCTAATTAAATATATTAAGTTAAGAATACAACAAATTCAGGGTTTTAATAATAAAATATGTTAAACATTTTTATAATTATCTTTGAATAATGCAATTTAAATCTTTTTTAAGTGTTGAATATATTTTTCTTCATAATGAGAAGAAGGAATTTTTCTGAAACAAATGATTATTAAACAATGAATCATTGGTGAAATTTTCAGATATTATAAAAAGATGATCAACATTATTTCTATAGTAATGTGTTAACTGATAAAATAAGAAAATTAAAATAAATATATTAAAAATGTACACATTTTGATACTTTGTGCAACTTTTATTGAGTTTGAGCTATTTAAATTCACCTAAGTTATACATAAAGAAAATGTTAGTTCTAAAAGAAATATTTTTTTGCAATGTACATACAGGGTAATTTTCTTAGGTGATGTGAGGTATCACTCTGCATAAACTAATAAACTATACACATAATTGATTCCTCTAGTATTGAACTATGATATCAACTCTAGGAATCGACTAAAAATTCAAACCTTAAATTATTTGAAATTTTCCAGTCAATTAACTCATGGTTTATATTAAATGCTTTATAAATAAGTGCTTGGTATGTTTGCATTGACATTCCCAATGTTATTTTTTCATTAATATAACCATACAGCTCGTTCTTACTATTATTATTATATTGCTCAAAGTACTACTTTTAATTAAAAAAATCCACATTCTATAATTTAATTTATTAAACTGTATTTATTTTAATATTTATATATATATTAACTGCAGCTGGATGTAATTTTCGGGAGTAGAGAGGTTGCACTATGTCTAGATGATTAAAGTTTAAAATTGTTCAATAAAGTTATCCGAGAAAGGAATAACTATAGTAATACAATAATTTTCTTCAGGTAAATTTGTAGTTAAATTAAATTTATGTTTTTGATGTCCAACAAACCATGGTACTTTTATACCTTCTTCATTATCAATTAATATAATGAGATCATTTGCTTTTTTAAAGAAATTTTGGAAAATGTTATATCTATATTATTTTGCATATTGTGAACTTCGTGTAACACAAAATCAATATATTCCATTGCTTCAGTTAAATCACAATTTATAGATTGTAAATTTGTACACATGAGCAATATTAGAGAAAAATTAAAAATGCTATGACCATACTTATAACAAAGTTGTTGGTTATAACATTTTTTTCCAGTTGTACAGTTTTTGATGACAAAGGATTAATAATACTAATAAACTTTGTTCTTGTGTCACGGACGATACGATTACACAGATAATATACCTACTGAATAACGATAGCCGACTCTTACACTCCTGCACAATAAAAGTGCTACATATTTATACAAAAGTAATTGACTCAATATGGATAATTTTCAACAAGTTAATTTAAAATTGCTACACAAAATAATATGGAACTCAAAAATAGTAATAAGAGTTATTTCGAAGAAAAATATGACTTTTTAGGAATAGCCTAGTGATTTGAAAATTTTTATGAGAATTTTGCAGGTATAATTTATTTATATTTTGGACCCCTGTAGAGTTATTTCAAAATCCTCCGAATTTTGGAAATAAATAAAAGCCCTATGTTATACGCTCCCAGGATACCCACTCATATATTACTACTAAGATTCAAAAAATTTATGCCTTTTATTGTTATTATAACTATTTAATCATAATATAAGTTTATATTTTAGAAGTAATATCAAGTGATGTTCCCTTTTCTTAAGTTGACACATTTTCAATAATATTAAGATCAAATTTACTAATTGTATACAGGTTCAATTACATAGTTTTCATTAATTTTTGAAAGAAAGAAGTATGATTTTTAAAAATAAAAAATATATTCTAATTGTAAATATAAATTTTAAATTATTGTATAGTTTTTTTTCTTAAATGTTTAACTTTCTTTCAACAAAGCAACTTAAATTTTGTATTATAGAAAACGGAAAAACAACATGGCATTTCTTGCTATTTTGCAATGCCAGAATATAACATTATTTACATATTTATATGCTACTATAAATTTCTTATATGTTTGATATGTTCATGAAACTAAAGTTATTTAAATATTTAAGGTAGCCATTGCTATAGAAGAACTAATAAAACAACATCAACGAGTTCCTGGAAATATATTAAGAGGTTTATTAGAACGTTTTTATACTCCATCAAATTATTCAAAAAAAAAAATTTGACATAACTTTTTACTTTATGACAATGTTCAAACATTATAAAAAGTATTAATACATTGAGACTTATTTCTTTATTATACTGTGTTTTTTAATTAAACTTATGTATATATTTTTTAAATTAATCAAATATAATAAAATTAATTGTACCCTAGTTGAAAAATTTCTTAATGTGCAATACTATTATTAAAAATATATATTACATACATTTCATTATATTATAATTAATATATTATTCTATAAAAAAAATTCTTATTAGATGTAACAATTTTTATCAACATTTCTAATAATTTTTTATAATTAATATATTATTTTTTTCGATTAAAGATTAAGAATTATTTTTCAAAATAGTACACTAAACATAGTTTTTATATTAAATTTGAATTTAAAGTGTATAAATATATCTTCAAAATTTATACTTTCAATAAATAATTCTAATTATAATTAATAAATGATTTAAAAAAAATACCTTTCGTAAACAATGCACAACAATGAATGTATCATAAAAAGATATTAGAATGTTAACCAAGTCTCTGTATAGATTAGAGTAAGTGTAATTTTTTAATTTGTAATAATGACTATTAAGAAATTTATAAGTTCCATAAGATTTACTTAAAAGTATTTTGTTTATCAAAACAACCTAGTTTGGTTTATGGTGTCCAATTTCTTATTGCTAATTTGTTAGGTATTTTAAATAAAACATTTGATATAGAACTAAATTTTAAGAACAAATTATTAAATGTTAATATTTATTTAATGATTAATTTATGCTGTTTGTGATGTATTTTTTAACTTTTCCTAATTACAAATTCCTTACATAAATACCCCTGTTCAATTTCAAAATGTATTTTATTTGCAAAGTGTTACTTTATAAATATTTTAAAATGTTAATTTATATTATTGTTTTATGGAAGTTATTTATGTAATATTTTATCTTGTCTTGTTAAAATATATACAAATAAATTTTTTTTTAATTTTTGTTGTCTACCAGATGTCATTACAATGTAAAATTTTGTTTAATGTTTGCAAGCCTGTAAGGTAAAATACTTTATTTTAGTATTTTTATATGATTATACCAAATTTTATTTTGAAGAAAATTATAATTGAGATATTTTATTACTACAACTCCTTACAAATTTGACTTTTATCATAGTATAGACCCAATGTCAAGATAAAACTGAGTGATTCATTATATTTTAATAAAATAGATTTTTAGGTGTTTTAAATTTGTTTAATTAATAACTAAAAATTACTAAATTATAAGCTAATATTTAATTGTAATTCTTAGCTTCATTCAATAAATTATTATAACTTAATAATATATATAACTTAATATAATATTAAATTATTATAAACAAATTTTTATAACTTAAAGAAAATAACATTTTTTTCAAGAGCTAATGTAAAAAAAAAATATATATTCACCTAAAATTGTATTTGGCACGATCCATTGGGAGATTTAAATCTTTTAGCCTTTATAGTTTTTAAATTACAAATGTACATTATATAAGTGTCTAGTAAGTAAGGAAACGGACTTCTTTTGTTCTCATTGTTTGCAACCGTTTCCTACTTTTTGAACACTGTAAAGACAAAAATAAACATTTTATAATATGCTGTATTATACCTATTGATTATCTTTTTTTATTTTTCGGCTGACAATGTTCATATTTTATATAAAAATAAAATCAGCGAAGTGTTTGAAGATGGTGACAGTATAATTAACTCGAATTAATTTAACTATGAAAGAAAAACGTATGTCGGTGAAAAAATAAATAAATTTAACCAAATGTCATAAATTAATTTTAAACGACAAAATCTTAGAACATTTAATACAGTCATAACATTAATTTTTTAACTATGTGTATTTAAATATTGCGAAATCAAGGTATAAACGTATAATGGTCGTTTTAAACAGCATATTCGGTGAAATGAACTAGAATTGTTATCAAAGAAAACCCTGGTGAAGCGAACAATTTAATTAGATTTTGTTTCCGTAGATGTTTGTTATATTATTGTTGAAGATACTTTTTTTAGAAAACAAAATTTACAGAAAAAAAATATATGTGTAGAACTATTATTTTATTGTGTACGCCCACACTCGGTACACGAGGACGACAACGATTTTTCGTGAATGGGTTCGACTACGGTCCACCTCGAGACGCTAATAATCTTTGGCCCCGTGCAACGTTTCTAAAACCGATAAGATCGTATTAATAATATAATAAATGATTGTGCCGGTCGTTTTTGATATCTGGAAGTCCATCGCGGTATATACCACACACGATCATCATAATATGACCAGACATTTTAATCACAACTGTGTTCTGTGTATCTTTAGGTACATGGATGTGGTTAGTTGTTACAAGAGATGCGCGTAATAACGATAATAATAATATTTCAACAACGATCATGAAACTAACACAGCGATTTAACTTGACAGTTTCATATGACAAATATTTTATTTAATTTTTTGCATACGGTTTTATTGGTAATTTTTACTTTTTTTGTTTAGCTTTTCACTGAAATTATCATATTTTTATTTTGAACTATTCGAGGATATGAATTTTATCTCCGACGAGTTAATAAAACCAATTTGATTAATAAAAATTGATTAAAACCAATCAATTATGGTAACGTATTAAATATTATTAACTAAAAAACGATTAATATTTTTTTATGGTGTAAAATGATGATGAAAATATTTATCTTTTAAAAAGTACAAGGAATATTTTGAATTTTCAATTGTTCGATTTTTAAAAAATAGTATACTTATTATAACTTCAAATAAGTTATCGTAATATTATACAAATTTATAAGAAATTGTTTAATTTTTAACTCATAGCAACCTGGAGATCTTAGTTTATAACAATAAAAAGTCAAGTTTAAATTGTGCGAATGTATAATGTTCATTTAAAAATTAGGCATTACAAATTTAAATAATAAAAAACACATTTACAATGAATAACGAAATAAAATAATTACAAAAGCCAACAATTTTATTTGCACATTAGGTACAATTATATAATAAAATCCATGAATTATGATTATATTTACAACAAAAATATTCGATAGTAACATAGTTACATTATACTAAAAGTTCGTATTATTGCACAGTGTTTTGTATAGTTTTGCATTGAATAATATAAGTAATTATCTTACTTTTTTATCTCGTAACTATAAACAATGTTTAAAACCCTGTTTTTATTTTATCTAACTAAATAAAAATTATTAATTTTGTCCAATTTAACTTTAACCATTACATTGCATGTACGATTACAATAAAAAATCACAGAAATGGAAAACGTTATGCTTGTACGTTTAACATAGTTTTGTTGTTCGTTTAAACATGTCGAAAATAACATATTATTCGAACTAAATAAAAAAAACATTACATTGTAAGAAAATAACTAGATAAATGTTTGATTTGACACAGTCGATAAATTTTAAACTGAATCCTAACAATTTTCGTGGGAATTTCAGCTGCTGTAACAAGTTTTTCTAACGTCTGCCAATATAACGCTGAAGTCTTCATCCGGCTTACCACCAGTTAACACTTGACCGGCAGCTGCGGCTGCGGCAGCGGCGGCTGCAGCTACGTTTTGCATATTTGTTGTTGCCGGAAGGTTTTGTATGTCTGGATAATGCTGCTGGAGGCCACCAATCCCGTCTACGGCAGTGACAGTCGAATACCCGTCGAATTCTGTTTTTATACAATTATTGAGCATGTAAGATCCGTGGTGATGTACGTGATTGTGAGAATCTACTCCGGTTTGTTGATGGTTTAAGTGTTGTATAGGCGGCGGGTAGTAAGCGTTGTACTGTTGCTGCTGTTGTTGATGGTGATGGTGGTGGTGGTGGTGTTGTGGTGACGATTGAACGAAAATGTTGTGTTGTTGTTGTTGATAGTTGTGGTTGTTATCTGGTTGTTGGTGGCCAGCCATGTACTTAAAATATCGGTCTATCTCAGTGCTACTGCCACTCACCGTTTCTATTTCGGAATGCTGAGATCTGGGTCGCTGCAGATTAGCCAGCAGCAATTCGGAAGGCGTCTGATGGTGACTGCCACCCATAAAGCTCATTTCCATCATCTCGCCGTTGCTACTATGATGGTAGTCGTTGTTTTGTTGTAACGGTGCCATGTGATGCTCGTCCTGTAACTGCAAGTTGCCAACTACTGAAATAGAAAATATTAATATTAGTACAGAACAAATTCAGAAGTTATTGTAATATAATTATTACAATTATATAAGTAATATATTAATGACTACAAATTTCCAACCAGTAAAAAGTATTGAGTCAATTATAGAATCATTTGAGTCATGTTGTTGTTTAATATTATGATAAAATTGTATGACTAAAAAAGATTAAAATAAACGACTTGAAGGAACTTGACTAGCATTTGTCTTATCAATACGCCATTGGTCATAGACATAAAAATGAATAAACTAGGAACGAGTGATTATTTTTGAAGCTTACACGACTTAATATAAAAGAGGATTTACCAAAGATATTTTTTGCGTTATCGTGATATTTTATTTTTTATTATATTATTTTAAGATGTAATATGTATAAATTTCAAATTATTATATAAAATTAATGCAAAATAAGCAAGTCTTTCATTAAAACTCTTCGTATGAAGCAACTTCATACGTAACACTCGTAAAAGGCTTATCGTTCCTAGTTGATGCATTTATATGTCTATGGTTTTATTCATTTTAAAGATCTATGCAAGTGATAATAATGAAAATGAAAAATAATTTTCTTTTTCATATATGTAGCGAAAAATATATACCATGGTATCCGTCCGACTGTCTCATTGTAGACGGGCTGCTGCTTGTATAAACAGTACCACTGGCGTGTAATCCACTTGTCGAATAAAATGGTCTATTGGCATAATGTGGTGGTTGTTGTTGTTGTTGTTGCTGCTGCTGCTGTTGTTGTTGTTGCTGCTGCTGTTGTTGTTGAATTTGTTGAGAACTGGGACCTAATACCTGTTGATCTTGCGAAGTAGCAATTGGTGGATAAAACGTTCCAGTAACTATACTGTTATTTTCGTAAGCCAGACGTTGATTAGTGCACATCATAACCATACCTTTAGCTACTCCCATGGCAGCTATAGAACCTGGTACAGGTTGATAGGACGGTATCTGGTTGTTATTGTTATTATTGAATTGACGGTGATGATTGCTGTTGGTGGTTGACTGCTTTTGACCATAGTAACCGGCGAAGTCGTCAGTTTCGTACTTGACTTCGGCACGGTACTGGTGCAGATCTTTTGATGGTGGTTCCATCGGTGAAAGTTCGGGCGTGGGTAGTGTGGGTGTCTTACTAGTTGCTCGACCGTTGTTATCAATCGCTGATGGAGCGGCTTCTTCTACGGCTCCCGTTAATGATGGCTTTTCGGGATCTGGGCTACAAGTGGGTGACGACTCAGGTGTAATAACTTCAGATACTCTAACTGGAGAATAAGGACTTTCACTGTTAGGATAATAAGGGGACGTGGTTTTAGACGGACTGTAGGGTTGATATGCGTACGGCTGGTGCATGGCCGGCGATGAATACGAAGAACTCTGATATGGTGAGCTGGGTGGGTACTGCACCAGCTTCACCTGGCCCACAGAGTTGGGGCGCCTAGAGTTTGGAGATTGGCTGGCGGCTGCAGAAGTGGCTAAAGTGGGAGATCCTGCTCTCTGTTTATTATGTTTCCTCCGTCGTGGTCGATATTTATAGTTAGGATGCTCTTGCATGTGAATCACTCGCAAACGTTCAGCTTCCTCCACAAATGGTCGACGGTCCTGTGGTGTTAAACTTCTCCATTTTTTCCCTATAACCATAAAATAATATATTTGAATTAATACCACGAATAGCTTACAAATTTATTATAGGATTTAAACTAGGATTAAAGAGCAAAAAGAAGATCTATGTTTGCAAATACAATGTAATCAATAAAATTATATAGAAAAATGATAAACTCAAAACACAATACGAAAGTTACCTACATGAAAACTTTATCATAGTCAAGTATAATAACATTAAGTGATCTTTGTCAGTCAAAGATATTTATAGGATATTTGTACACCGATGTACCTCCACAAGTAAAAAGATTTATGACTTTCTATTTTTAAGAATTTTATTTAATTAGGTCATAATTTATTTATTTAGAATTACCTACTTCTTAATATTAAAGAAGAACTAGTGTAGTAAATAGCATAATTATTATATTTTGTGGGTTTATACACATTCTAAATGTTTTGAATGAAAATGAAAAGATACACATCTGAGACGCCCCTTCCAATATAAATCTTGCATTGAGATTTAAGTTTTCTTCAGCAATTTATTATGGCTAATAATCGGAAATCTTAATAGTAACTCTTAAGCCGTTGAAGCTTAGGTAAAAAACGGAAATGTGTCATAACACGAATTACTCAGTCATTGATCGATTGTTATGTGCAGCCATTTTAAGGGTGCAGTTTATCGTCCGATGTGTCCATAGAGAGTCGTAAAGATGTTATCGGAAATAAATCCAGAAGCTGTTCGGGTATTATCATTACCTTTGTCATAATAGGATCATAATATTATGTCAGGAAGATTTTAAAAACTCAATGATCATAATACTCAATCTTACATGTTTAACATAAATTTATGAGGTTCATGTAATAAAACAAGTCAAAAATAATTACAAAACGGATGACAATATAATGTTATATTGTGTTGATCAACACTTTTTTTAATGGAAATAAAAATGTTTTCTTCAGTCAGAATTCATTAATTTATTTAGTATTACAATAATTTGACTGAAAATATCAGCTGACACTTATTATAATTTTAATAGAAACACATCAAATAGGTATCAAGGGGAAGTATTTTTCATATTTCAATTTTATAAGTCTAAATATCAATGTAATGTCTTAAAATTTACTATACTATTTACGATTCGTAATTACATTAATAAGAAAATACTTATTTTAATAGAGTATCACTTTATTCTCAATATTAAAAAAAAAATTTTTTCATTATTAATATTTACACTAAAATTGTATTTCTATAGAAATTTGATAATTGTAATTGATAAAAAACATATGTAAAGCTACATTTTATTTAGTATTGTGTGTTCAACAGACATTTTAATATTTTAATGGCTATTAACGTTGTTGATCGAGACGCAGAGCGAGTGCCAACCATTTGGCACTGGTCTCAAATGTCCATTTCTATCGTGACTGCCTTGTTGGGTCTAATAGGTGGCACGATATTTTACAGAATATTACTACTGTCCGATTTCAAATGTTTTCTCTATAATGAAGTAATAATTGTACACCAGACAACCAGAAGCGAATATGAAATTCAGTTTGACAAAAAAGAATGGTACCTCAACGAATACTGCAATAACGGGTTCTCAGTCCCAATACAGTCTTTTGTCTTTTCCACTTTATGGATACCAATTTGCATACAATTCGGTCGTGGCGGTTCAATATTAACCGAATCATTATCGGATGGCAATAAAAAGTACATGTGAAACGAGTAATGCACATGAATGTATAATTTTTATTTGTTACGATAAATTATTAAAAGTTATTTTGTAGGATTGTTTTAGGTCAATGGAGATTTGTTTTTTGGTCAATTTTGTTCAACTTGCTATACTGGTTCAAATCGTTAAACGTCGCTTTAATAGTCACAAATGGGTATCAACGTTTTCGAGATAGTGTCCTTTTATTACCAACTGACGACAAATTTCAAAAAAATTTGTAATTTATTTTTGTCATTAGCAGGATTATACTTTTTAAACGAATTTTTTTCTCTAGTCATGAAAATTTGAAAATGATTTTTTACGCGTCCATAGTGAGTGTGTATACGAATATGTTTAAAAATAATACTATGAACATTTTAAATTGTAATGAAGATTACTTAATGATATGACTGAGATAATCGTCATAAGAATCATACGTTATCGTTGTAGACGGTTAATAGACTATAAACACATGAAATTGAAAATACTTTTTGAACGTCATCGAATGTTAATAACTATCATGAATTGCATATTGTTTTCTCCCTTACCACAACCCAATGTCTGTATTGTTCCAACATTATTAATTATCTTTCGCGGTTCTAATGTTTTAGTTTCTATTACAAACCAGTCTTCAAACATGATATTAATAAAGGATCGACCAAAAATTATAATTGAGCTTCTTATATCATATTATTGTTGTCTATATTTACTATTCGATATTGTTTAGGTGATACTATGGACTCTATACTTATCATGGACAATTGGTTTGGTAGTAGCCATCGCCCGGTGCGTTTTGGGCGTCGATTTTGCTCTTAATTACGAGAAGGATGACGTGAAGACTAACAATTCAACACATTCCTTAACGCCGTCAGAGCAATCATTGCACATCAGTAAAAATACAGATTTGTCTGACGAAATAAGATCACATCACGAGGTTATGTTCGATGTTGATCGATCAACTAGTAATCGTACAACGGAGAACATTTAAATGTATTTATGTGATTATTTAATTAAAATATTGAACATTTGTACAATGGTAATGTTCTGTTGCATTTAATGACGAAATAGTTCTTTATAATGTTATGATTTTTTCCGTAATAAGTGGGGCCTGTAATCCCAAGACCTTTTATTGGATATTTTTATAAATTAGCTGGTATCGCTTATATAAATCGATGAAAATAATAATATAACAACAATAAGATGACCTGACGACGCGGGTCAACGTTGTTCATGGTGTATTAGGTGTCGGTGAGTGATTGATATTAAAATTCTTTGGTCGAACAAATTGATTTAAAATATCTAAACGAAAAAAATTGACTTTATTAAATGTGTGTTTTTTAAACATTTATTGGTAATATTAATGTGGGTATAGTAATGATAGTTTTAGAGGGAGTAAGGGACAAAGCGACTGAAAAGATGGGTTTAATGACTGGCGTAAAGGTGTGAAGTGATGTGACGGGCGCCCAGATCATTAATAATGGACACCGTGGGATGTATATAACAGACCAAACAAGGTGTTTATCAGCACTCATATATGAGATGAAATTATTCTCTCACCGCATGCTGTCTGTAATCTTTGATGACTGCGGGAAAGTTAGTGAATATTATCGAGTCTGACAGAATTAATTTTTGTCTAAACTATCTTAAGTTATGAACATTTACTGGGCTAATATATGTTTTTATTTCAACGGATAAGTTACCTATTAAGTTCAGTATCAACGTAGCCGACTCATATTTATTACAAATAAAAATATTTACAGCCCGTAGTCACAACGATCCTATTTATTGTTGTTTTGTAGTGATTTATCGAATTTGCATAAATGCGTTGTCTGTACAGAACGGTCTAATTGGGATTCGCGTGCTTCGAGGAGCGCGTAGGATAATATCAGTACTTTAGGCGATACAAATAAATATTAAAGTTTATGCGACCAACAGATGGTTTTAATGAGTCATTAGTAAAATGAGGAACATTGAAGTAAATTTATTTTTGACGTCGTTTGAAATATGAATATGATTAAAAGCTTAAATGTATTACTGAAAGTGTATTCGATAATTGTTGTTGACTTGGATTCGAAAGAAAAACGTTCTAGCAAATTTTCTCTGTTCTACTCAACAATTTTCTCATAAATTTAATCCCGTTTCTGTATAGTTATTTTATTATTCAGTGGAAATAATAAGTGCGAGAGATTTATTATTAAAAAAATCGTTTCATCATCATCGGTGCACCTTCATTTGCATCAAAGCTTTTAAATGATTGGAAGATTTACTTTATGTATAAAAACTGTGATAACACGCAGCCAGAGTAAACAGTAAAGTAATAACAAACGTGGCGAGATTAAAAGTTCTAAAATATATGGGCAATTGAACAACGAACAACAGAAAACAATAATTTCAACACGTTCTAATCAAAATGTAACCGAAAACACCTTTATGGTCTTCAAGTATAAATTGACTGAAATGTTTTGATAAAACAACTGCGTCGGGCCGAGTTAAAGAGTGTTTAATGATGTTTGGCGATGGACGACAAAACAAAAACGCCTTTCGTCGTTCCCATTTAATGTTTTCGGCGGTTGGAAGCGCGACCGGCAGGGGGCTACCCCTCGTCGAGCACTAGGGCCCCAAGACCACCCGGCGGGGAGGAAAATGCATGCTGGGAGCGGTCCTGCCGCGACACCAAATCGCCTTCCTTGGCTGGGTTAATCGCGGACCAACGCGCTGGTTCCATCAGTTTTGTAACTCAAACGAAGCGCCGCCTCAATTAAGACGGTTTAATTAGAGAAAAAGATAGGTGATAACAGATCTCGCGTGGTCACGCGTAGAATATAAAAAAACCCAAGCGCATGACGCGAGTTCGTCAAAGTGTAATATATTTTACCTGATAGTATTTTTATTGTACTTGTGTTTTCTTTGAAAATATAAGTTTTTTCAGAATTAGTGTCATATTTAATTTGATCATGGAGACTGTTGACAATTATTTCAATGAAAATCTTGAATAATATCGTCGTGGGTAGCTTTAGAAAGAAAAGTTTTTGGTCCGTGTAAAAATCGTGTTATAAGAAAAACTCGGTTGAAAAATGGCATTTGAAATTAAGTAGTCCGTAGAGAAAATTAGTAGAAAGGGAATCGCTAAGAAAGCATTTCACCATATCTAAGGAGAATCGAACCGGAAAACAAAGTCGTGTGGTCGAACAATGCTAGGTGGACGTGTCAGCGGGTGTTTTATCGTTGAGTAGGCTCATTTTGTAGGGCTCTTACTATAATAATTGTTGACTGAATTATTTCACTTGGTCTATTTATATTGCAGCGAGCGTGATGCATAT